CTTGTTTGTTCTCGCTAAACTATCCTAGCCTTGTATAATCCGTAGCACACGAATTTTAGCCCCGTCGTCCAAAGTATAATGACCAGAGACCCTCTAAAATCTATCCCAACTATAACCATATATTCATCATTATTGTCGTGGATATACAAAGAGTTCTTGGAAGCAATGCGCATGTCCATAATTACCATAACGTCTTTTATCGGCTAGACTATATCGAGATCACTATAAGGTCTAACTTAGCTCTAAGCATTACTTCCGGTCTAGCGGCGCTTTAGCCTTAATAAATTATTAGCGCCGGGTCCTCTCGCACCTCTTGCTCGTATTTTTTGATAGTCTTGTCTCTAGAAGAGTTTTTAACGCGGATCTTTTTTATCCCCTTTAGCCTGTGCTCGACTATGCTCCTTAGGAGTGATTTTGGTGGTGTCGGGTGTAGTTCGCGGCTAGGTGCAGGGCGAACTGAGATGATATATTATAGTTAGTGACTCGGGCATAAGAATTACGGAATACTCAGTACCTACTATCACGTTATTAACTCTCTGGAGATGGATTTAATGTCTGACGATAAACCCCGTATCGGACTGGATAAAATGTGGGATGATGTACAGCCCTACTGGTACTCGGTCTTAGTGACGGCACTGAGCGGATAGAAGCAGATGGAAATGGAAGTGGAAAATGAAAATAAAAATGGAAGTGGAAAATAGCAGAGCTTTACTAGCAGGATAGGGGTTAAAGAGATATCTAACCCCTGAAGGTGAACTAGGCATATCGGGTGGCCACCTGATATGGCATAGCTTAGCCCTGCGTCTAGAGCAGGAGACATAGACCGCTTGGATCGCAAAGACAAGTGATACCTATAATGACTCGGGTATGTCTGCTCGGATCATATTCATTAAGCCTATCCGAGCGCCCGCATAGCTTATACCATTCCTACCCTATAGTTACCTTGTTGTTACATGTTCCACTTGCACTATGAGCCTGTCCACCGAACGTAGAGACTTAGAAGAGAGGCGAAAGCCACCCCTCTTTTCTCCCACTATAACGCAATCTTTATCAGGGGGGTCTCCTAAGACCACTACGCAGATCCCAGATATTACTGCTAATAAGCGGCGCACTCCTTTCTCTTTTCCTTCTCTCTCTCTTTTCTTTTATTTCCTTTCTCTTTCTTCTATTTTCTTTTTCTTCTTCTTTTTCTTTTTCTATTTCTTTTTTCCCTCCCTCTCGGTATTATTTAGTACCCGTCGTTATAGTTTCTCGTGATCCAGGATATACTAAGTCTCTTCCCCTTAGGCACTCGTAGTATGGTAACCCTAAACCCGGATATAGTATTCAGGGAAATCAGGAGGTAGCGGCCTCTCTAACGCTTAGTCTTAAAATCTAATCCCTGAGAGATTTACACCTACGACGTATCTCTGGTAACAAAGCTCCTTTCATCTATCTACTTAATCTTATATTTCTATGTGCGAGGTACCTAGGCATAACTCTTTACGCTATACTATAGATCTCATTGCCTGTATAAACCCTATATCCTTCTATACGTCGTCCGGCTCTAAGACGTAGGGCATACTATCCTCGTTATAGTCAGGGAACTCAGCTTCCTTATTGCTGACGAGTTTCGACTTTTTCCTCGGCCGAGTAGCAGATATATCCTGATCTGTCCCATATTTCTTTACCGTAGCTTATACGTTAATATGCATAGAGATAGCTCCGGGGATCTTCCCTTTACGGTGGGTATTCCTTAAGTGCTATATCCACTGAGGTTCGTCCTCGATTAGGTCGCCCTATGCTCCCTGCCGCTGGTATTCGGGGTATTAGAACGGCTTTCTAAAGTATCCGACGTTAATATAAGAGCGCTTAAAATGTAGATTAAACCCACTAGACGTGAAATTCTTCTTGTAGAGGGCGTAGTATGCCGTTTTTTCTGATCGTGGCCGTAGGTCTGGGGCATAAAGCTTACCGTGGCAACGTTCTACGTGTGCACTCTATGCCGATAGTCCCTCCGGGATTAAGTGGCTCTCTCCGCGACGACGGCACTCTAGGCAGAAGAACGGTTGGTTAAACGTTTTTATATGCTTATTTCGGACGTGCCTAGTAAGACTGGGTCGATCTCTAAATAAGCCGTAACTAAAGAGATATTACGATCGATCTGTTTGTTTTTTCTGTTCCGAGCTCGATTCCTGAAGGTTGAATAAAGACTCGTCCCTATATAGGTAGGCAAGAAGCCTGTCGGCAAAGAGCTGTCCGTTACTAGTAAACATCGACTTAGCTAGTATCGTTACCGAATTACTGCTTACCTGATATTACTTTAAGGATTTTTAGTGTTAATATAGTATAGGTGCTAAGTCGGTTTTCCCTTAGCACGAAGCCGATCCACTTCGGCAAAATATTCCCTTCTTATCTCGTCGAGTCTTAATTCTTATAACCGTTCCTTAATTGCTCGCACCTTAGCGTAAATTCGATTTACCTCTCTAGAGCTACGGTTTAGGAGACCCTGGACTTTCTAACGTAGCGTGATAATATCGTTTCGGGACTCGAACTTATCTAGATCCTCCTTCGTAACATAGATAGGAGCTCGCGTGTCCCGACCAGTGAATATATTATATAGCTTGGTTAAATTATCACGATTCTCACTAGCTAGCTCCCTAAATCTAATACCTATTAGGTCTGCTTTCTGATATACTGGCTAGTAGCTTACTAGAAAGACGTTGTCGGTGTTCCTAAAAATCTAACAACGCGACTCGGTGGTAAGATAACCTAGCTTATACTATTAGTAGCAGCTATACTAGTATAATAACGAGCACTCTTACTCGCTAGCCGACCGCTAGCCCTAACTCGAACTAAGTAGGGGCGGAAACGTTTATAAACGCCCGTAACTATTAAGACGCGGTTCTATATCCGTAGGTACTGTTTATATTTAACGGAATAATACACTTGTTTATCATTTTAGGTTTCTATTACAGCGGGACATAGTCGATACCGTCTTCTATCGGGCCCGGGCGCAGCACCTAAGCAGGCGCTATAAACCCTGCCTTAAAGGCATCGTCCGTAATGGCTCTACAAACCAGCTTTCGCAACAGGTATATCTGCCAGTATAATGCCTCTAAGATATCAAACTCGACTCTATTTATTAAAATTAGCGGCGTACGTTATAGGTAAGGAAGATAGTATAATATACTTCTCACGTTAATCGCGGTGTATGCGGTTTATGCCTAACTTGACTTAGTGGACTAGAATATTAGCTATGGGAGAAATCTTTATTAGATCGCGGGTATCGCGAAACCAGCCTAGTCTAACGTCTCTGTATTTCATGTTCAGCAGACTAGCTGTCCTCTAGCCACCTATGCTACCAAGCAAAATCACCGTATTAAAATCCAATCTATCCGACGGGCTGCATAGGATATCCGATGCCCTACTCCACAATATCTTAAGGAGCTTAATAATACCCTTATCTGTTATCTCTATCTTCTTAAAGGTTTAATAGCGCGTGAGTCTATATTTATTGGCGATCTCTGCTAGTTTCTTTGAGTATATTAATAGTTACGCTAAATACCGGTCTACCTAAAGGACCTTACCTCGCTAACCAGGCCTATAGGACCGGATACTCTACCGCTACGGGTTATATACCTAAGTATAAACGTGTGTGCTTTATCCGGATTTTATAGGCGTTTTGGCTCTATAATATATTTATCGGTAGCGTGTACTAAGGCGGCCTATATATCCTAAAGCGTGGCTGTAGACGTAATTATTCGTACCTCTTTATACTCCTCTAGCCTAAGATAGATTTAGCGTATAGTGGTCGACTCGATATAGACTTTAAGGAAGGAAATCGCCACGCTTATATTATCGTTCGAAGCTCCTAGGAATTTCACCCAGAATTCATTTTTATTAATGCCCGCGCGCTCCGCAAAGCTTTATCCCGTTAGTTAATATACCCAGGCCCCTATCTAAGGCTGAACTTACGAGGTCTATTCGTTCCAGAGCCTTTCGCGTAGTGCTTTAGCCTTTATAGATATACTAGGCTATAGTTCTTCGGATATCCGGGTCTAATTATGCTGCAGAATTGTATGAAAGCGACTATCGGAAACTCGGTTTACACGGCCCTTCCTCTTTATTATCTTACTAAAGCGAAGGTTGTGTAAGCAGGATAAGAAGAGATAGATCGTCTTTGCTAGTGTAATGGGTTATAGGAAGAGAAGGGAGGGGAGTAAAGCAGGAAAGGAGGATAAGTGCGGGTTATAAGGATAGAGAGAAGAAAGAAAGATGAAAAGGGAAATACGAGAGGCGGGCTCGGGCGTAGGTGGTCCGCGGCAAAGAGGGTAAAGGACGCGGCTGGCTATGCCTTAGCATAAGACGGAATTTGATTTCGAATTTTAACAGAACGCGCTGACTCTAATTTGATTTCAGAGACTCCTAGCGGCTGGTTAGGGGAGGGGGTAGTGGCAAGGAGGAGGGGTGGCCGGAAAGGAAAGAGTGTCGGCGCTTGGAAAACGTCGAGACGGACGGAGGTGGCCCCACTCGCCGTCCTCGCCGTCCCCGCGATGCTCCGGACTCCGTTTCTCCAGAAGCAAAAACGGCAGAGTGGACGGCTAAGGTACGGTATCGAGTTCGCATTGCCGATATTTCGCCGTAGCATGATAAAAGTCCGGGATCCCGTCCGCTCTCCCCTAGATAAGCCAGTGAGGGCCGGATTAGTAGTTGGGTCGGTGACGACCAGCGAATACCCGGTGTTGTATGTTTTTTTTTTTTTCCTTCCTTTTTAAGGGACCGTCTAGAGAGGCACCACACCTTAGCTAGAGAGACACCCAAAAATGGGGCCGTTCCACTGGACCCATATTTCGATGTCGAGGTACACCTGCCCTTGGCTGGATATTCGAACTCATGCGCAAATGCCATGAGGGCGCATTCTATTCCAGTCACATCGTGTATACTGCAGCTCGGCCAACGATCCCTTCTTGCCGTGGAGAGGCAAATCGCATCGATGGACGACGTTCAATCCCTCCAGGAAAAATGGGGAGGTCTAACGTCCTTCCCCCCCTATCTATCTATACCTCCGAATGCTTCTTTTCCGACACAAGAGCCGTGTTGTTGTTGTCGCTACCCAACGTAGCCACCACCTTCTCGGTCATATACTTCTCCGTATTCGGCGCGAACCAGGTCAACCCGACAGCGATGACGCTGAACGCGATGGTGGTGAGGTAGACGGTCTGGAACGCCTTGGCGTTGGCTTCCTGGTAGGCGCGCATGCCAGCGGCGATGACGGACTCGGTCGCGCCGACCACGCCCTCGAAGGAGCCGAGCGCCAGGCCGCCCATGAAGTCGGCGACGGAGGACTCGGGCAGGCCGGCCTCCAGGAGCGCGGCGGGGACGTACTTGGGGATGTTCTCGGTGAGGCGATTGCTCAGGATGACGGTGTAGATGGCCAGCAGGACGCCGCAGATGGCGGCGCGGAGGGAGCCGGCCATGCCGCCGGCGACGCCGATCTCGCGCTGGTCGTGCACGCAGATGGTGGCGTTGGAGAGGCAGATGGATTCGTTCCAGCCGACCCAGAAGCAGCCCAGCGTGACGAGCGCGATGGCCGCTGCTTTGTCCTCGGGGCGGGTGACGATGGAGGCGCCTAGTATTTGCTATTAGCTGTGGATCCTTGGTTGAAAAAGGGGGAGAGCGGAACAAAGAGCTGAAACGTACAGCCCATGAAGACACCGCCGATGAGGAAGACGATCATGCACTGGTACTTGGTCTTGCCAATCTTGGCCGCGAGCAGGCCGCCGGTGATCTGTCCTCCGGTCATAGCGAGGCCGATGATGTTGGCGATGGCGCCCATCTTGTGGATGTCGCCGTCGGTGTTGTACATGACAGCCACTTGCATGGGCCCTGAAATCAATGTCAGCTAACATGTCTGCGGCAGAATTCGTGCCACTTTTTTATACGCACAAAAAAAAAAAGACAAAAAAAAGGGAAAGAGAGAGCTGAGACTCACAGATAATGGCGAAAGCATAGTAGACACCAGCGCCGAGACCGAGCAGAACGATGGCAGCAACCCACTCAGTGTTCTTGAACAAGTGCATGGGCACCAAGGGCTCCTTGATAGGCGCATAAATCTCCCACAGAACAAAGGCGACGAGGGTCAAGAAGCCGATGACGATGGTCGAGATGGTCGCGGCCGAGGCCCAGGGGTACACGGCGCCACCCCAGCTCAGGCCGAGGAGGAAGACGACCAGACCGGCGCACGCGAGGAAGGTGCCGACGTAGTCGAACTGGCGGACCCAGTACCAGATGCTCGACTTGTCCTCGCCGTCCGACTGGTGCTTCTTCTGGAAGGTGGGTGGGAAGTAGAAAAGCGTCCAGAGGGCGAGGCCGAGGGCGTTGATGGCGAGGAGGAACCAGTACACGCCGCGCCAGCCGACCGAGGGGTGCCGGTCAATGAAGGCGTAGGCGACGGACGGACCGACGCCCGAACCGGCAACGGCGAAAAAGTACATCAGGCCGTTGCCGACGTAGCGGTACTTCATAGGGAGCAATTCACTGGGGGACGCGTTACCATGTTAGCGGTCGATCGAAGGTTTGGAGGGGAGTGAAGGTATGAGATGGAGAGAGAGAGAGAGGGGGGGAGAGAGAGACGAACCCGACGACGAAATGGAAGGAAAGCTGCGTCGCGCTCGCCACACCGAGGAATACGTTGCCTCCGATCAGCGCAGGGATCGACGTGGCCGTGGCACAAATGATGCTTCCAATGACGGCCAGGAGGGCTCCGCCGATGAAGTAGTATCGGCGTCCGAAGATATCGGACAGACGACCGACGGGGGCGAGACAGACAGCGAGGGCGGCATTGTAGACAAGGGAAATCCAAGTGTACCGGGGATCCGGGCCAAGATCTTGGTTGATTTGTGTGAGAATCGGGGCTGCGTAGGCCTGTAGGGGATATATATACCAGTCAGAGATCAGAGGACATCAATACAACAGGAGAGGAAGCGATAAGGGGTAAGGGGTAAGAATGCGACGCGACCCGACGTACAAAGGCTGCGGTTCCGGCCCAGAGACCAACGCCAGTAGCTAACATGGTACCGATGAAGAAGCGGCTGCGGAAGTAGCCCTTGGGCAACTCGTCGGACGTGGTCTCATAGCCGACGACCTCGTTGTCCGAGTCGGACATCTTGTCTGGATGGCTCACATGGTCGACAGACGACGACCGGGCTTCAACTTGGGGGGTATTCCCCTCCACCTTATCTGTGGATGCCATGGTATCGACTTGGCTGCGCGCGTGCTTCTCTTGACGGGACGAGGGCAAGGTGAGAGAAAGAGAGGCAGACAGACGAGTCCCAATCCTTGGAGGACTGGGACATGGTCTTGATTATAAAACCAGATCATAGGCATGGGGTGTTTGTGGGACTCTCTGTATTCCATCAGCTACCACGGAGAGCTGCCGGGGACTCGGAGAGTTGCGTTACGCGACGGGGAGCTTGATGAGATCACCCGCCATGTTTCCCCCTCTACCCCTTGTGGTTCTCCTGCCAGCACTAGAAGAAGAGAGCTAACTGAGATTGGTTTCTCGCATAATACGCTGTAACCCTGGCTCATAAAACCGAGCCAAAGCATCACCTAGGTATGCTCAACAGTTCCTGTGGCGACAGAAGCGGCGGGGGTTGCAAGGAACGGATAGAGATATCCGTTGGGGATATCCGTGGGGAGGAGGATATATGCGAGCACTAAGACGCGACCTGAGATTCACCATTCCCACGATGGATCGAATCGAACGAGCTACTACTCATTCAACTCGTTAGTGTTGTGACTGACTCGCGGTGTGGAGGTTGCTTAGGCCTTACCCCGTGGAGTTCTACCCCATAGCCCGGGATGTTGGTATTCTTATAAGGCGCGACGTTTTCCAGGTCCGGCATTCGTTACCCGGGGACCCAGTTCGGTGGCTTTGAAAACACAATCCGACAGATGATCTCCATGGCGTTGCGTTGCTCTTGGGCTTATAATAATACACATGCAGCCTTGACTCGGACAAGCGGGTAGCTGAGCGTTGCGTTGCGCACTCAACATTACCTTTTATTTTCACCGAATTGATGCACTAGACCCAAGAAGGACAGCAGAAGCCAAGCGAACCAAGCCTTGCCGCTCATTACTTGTATGTGCAATATCAGACACGCTAGAGGCCAGACCCCCGGAGGGGTTTCCTGAGAGGCTTTCGGCTCTCCTTGGGCTGGTAGCACAGGCCCCGTGGTCTCCAAAAACCGATAGCTTTTCTTCTGTTACCCCATGACGGGACCACAGGGCGCACGAATATCCATTGCCCCGTCGTATCAGTTTGCTCTCAGTCGGCCGTCAGTAGGGGGCCGTCTCTAACTAAGAACGGCCTAGCGAAGACCCCGTGCGTCTGGGAGATCTAGGTTAATGATATGCATACCGACCCGCTGGGCTGTTGGCCACCCGTTAGCTTCCTCGCTGTGGATTTTGTTTCTGTGAGTGCGAGAAAATTGCCTTTCATCACGGCGTCCCAAAGGAATATTTAGTGTTGGAATACCATGATTATATCGAATTTCGGGATCTGAAGTGCCCACTTCGAGCCGTTTCTTTGGCAATCAACAACCGAGTGACCCTTATTACCCATCGGAAGTGAAGAGGCGAAGGTGCACGGAGTCCTGGATGACGGCTAGGCAGACGAGACGGGATAGATCAGACCGATCATGCATTGGTACCTTATAAGCTCTGCGTCAAACTATCAGGGCGCCTCTGCTGGAGAGCCATCTTTTCACCATGAACGGAAGGGGATTTTTTTGGGCCAGGGACAGGCAACACAGCAGTCGCCTCGTCGTCGTCGTCGTCGTCGTCGTCGTCGTGGTCTACGGGTATATCAAGAATCGGAAGCCACTTGGTGCATGTCAACCGGTGAGAGAGGCACAGCTCTTCAGATATGGGCATGACGATGAGCCAGTATCAGGCAGTATCGGGCAGCATCATCGTTCGTTCTTTTGTTTGAGCTTCTTTTTTCGATCATCTCTGATGTACTGCTAGAGAGGGATGGGGGATGAAGTTGGAGACCCGGGTTCTCGACTGAGGATGTGGGTGGGGGCGTCATATAATTACGTCACGTGATCCATATCGGTGCAAACGAGGTGGGGCCAGGAAGGAACTTTGCCATAAGTCACGTGCCGCATCACGCTCTCCAAACTTCACATCACCAAACCACATCCATCGAAATATGGCCATCCGCCTTACCACCCTTCTCACCCACAACACGCCACCGATCCAACGCCCAAAGGTCCATGTCTCTCCAAGAATGGATAGCTGCGGCCTTTACATATCTGGCCCTGGTCTTTTTGGCAGCCAGCGGCGTCGGGACCGCCGTCATTGTCTTGTATAGACTGTTCCTCCACCCCCTTGCCAGTGTCCCCGGCCCCCGGTGGGCGGCCATCTCAAGCTTCTGGTACGCGATGCAAGTGCGGGACGGCCGTATGCTTGTGCTCGGAAAGACGCTCCATAAAAAATACGGCCCGGTTGTAAGGGTGGCCCCCAATGAGGTCTGGTTTGACAGTCCAGAGGCCTTCAGGGTCATATACCGTGCGTCGTGCAGTCCCATGTTCGCCCCATGGTCATCGGAGGGCTGACTTGTTTGATAGGAGCTGGTAGCGGATATCAGAAGTCTGATTTCTATTGTAAGAATGCTGCCATGTTCATGTTTCACGGAGATATGAATTGATGAACTCACTCACCCTCTTCTTACAGTGGCCACGATACTGCAAAGACCTACAATGGATTGGTGTCTTCGAATACACTTCCCAGACACTCTCGATTTCCTCTCTGAGCGAAATATTGATCGATACCGTCTGCAAAGACGACTGGTCGGACCACTATACCGCATGGACAGCGTCCAGAAGTACGAGGACGCTGTCGACGGCGTCCTGGAGCGAGTCGTCGCCCGCATCCACTCTCTCGATGGCGCCGAGGTCGATCTGAAGGAATGGATGCACATCATCGCGGTCGAGTGTCTCGGCGCGATCGTGCTCTCCTGGTCTCCTGGCTATCTGAGGGATAAGACTGACTGGGGCACCAGCAGTCACGGCTACCTCAGCTGGAGGCGCAAGAGCGTCTTTGGCTTATTCCCTGTCATCGTCAAGGCGGAGCTCATATCAAAGAAAGCCAGCCATGCGTTTGCCAGGATGATGGGACTGACGTACAGGAGCAGAAAGGATCTAAAGCCGTTCTTCCCGGTAAGACTAAGCTTTCTCTCCGGTGCCGCCCAACAATAACGGGACAGATAAGCTAAGCATGCGCTTTTTACTCCTTAGGGTGTATATCGGCATTCTTCACGTCGGATCGCGAATGCGTTGAACTCGAAACCCACAAAATCCTCCAAGCCCCCCAAAGCAGCACCCAAGGATGCGCGCGAGGATCTCCTAGCTGATCTGATCAAACTCCACAAGGAGAAACTCGAGTTCAACGAGACATACTTACGGCGCATGGCCGTCACAAACTTTGGCGCCGGCCACGAGACCATGTGCTCAGCATTAACTTCGATCATGGCCATGATCGGATCGCGGCCATCCGTGCAGCGGAGAGTCGCCGACGAGATCCGCAGCGCCGTCGACCCCGCCCGCTTCGACAACGCGATTTTTTTGCGCTACACCCAAGCCGTCATCAAGGAGGCCCAGCGCCTCCACTCCGTGCTCGGCATGTCGCTCTCCCGCACCGTGCCGCCCGAAGGCCTCCGCGTCCACGGCTACTTCTTCCCTGCCGGCACCACGGTAGGCTGTAACCCCGTGGCGCTCCATCGGAACCCGGAAATCGTCGGCGCCGACGCAGACGTCTTCGATCCGGACCGCTGGCTGGGGGATCCGGAGTTGCGGAGGCGCATGGAGCGGTACAATCTCACCTGGGGCGGCGGCGGGCGGACTTGTCCCGGCCGCCATCTGGCATACCTCGTGCTGTACAAAGTGGTTCCTACGCTTCTTCGGGAGTTTGAGCTCGAGGTTACTTTGCCGCCGGAAGAGGAGGTTCGTTATTACTTCATGGCCATGTTGACGGGGGTCAAGGCGCGGTTTCGTCCCCGAGGAGATGCCGCGTCACAACAGAAGCAAACATCCAGGTGAAAGATTGGCATCGGTGACCATATGGCTGCTATAGGAAGGCAAAGATAGTGAGAGAACATCCAAATCTCGTGGGATCTTATGCTCATTCATGACTTGAGCCTCCGTGGCTCGCCACGTTCGTAAAGCTTGACGCCTTGGGGCTTGAGTTTATTCGAGTGGCGTCTTTTAATGACGATGTACCAATGTACTCCGTAATGTGTGGATAGCCCGGAATCCGGGGAATAAAACACCCGTGACCCCACACTGACATCCCATCCCACCTTAGGTACCTAGACCTAGACCCTTGCTGTCATTCACCATCAATCGTGTCCACCTCCAACCCCCTACAACTTCCAGCGTCTCCTCGCATCGGCGACTCAACACCTTCGTTCTATCGGCTTACTAGCCGCAAACCGCCATCATGGTTCTTCAAGACCTCGGGCGCCGTATTAATACGGCCGTCTCGAATTTAACAAGAGAGCAGAACCTTGACGAAAAGGCAAGCAAGCCACCCACCCCATCACCATCCCTCCTATGTCCTCCTCCATAGCATGTGGCGGCGATTGAAACGGCACTTTTGTCCTTCTTATCATGCTAACCGAAGCTACTCGTTCAGGCCTTCGATGCAATGCTCAAAGAAATCAGCGCCGCCCTCCTCGAGGCCGACGTCAACGTGCGACTCGTCAGCCAACTCCGCAAATCCATCAAGTCGACCGTCAACTTCAAAGACCTCCCGCCCGCCGTGAACAAGAAGCGCCTCATCCAGAAAGCCGTCTTCGACGAGCTTGTCAAGCTCGTCGACCCGCACTCCGAGCCCTTCCGCCCCAAGAAGGGCAAGCCCAACGTCATCATGTTCGTCGGCCTGCAGGGCGCCGGCAAGACCACCACCTGCACCAAGCTCGCCCGCCACTACCAGGCCCGCGGCTTCAAGTCCTGCCTCGTCTGCGCCGACACCTTCCGCGCCGGCGCCTTCGACCAGCTCCGCCAGAACGCCACCAAGGCCAAGATCCCCTACTACGGCTCTCTGACCGAGACCGACCCGGCCGTCGTCGCCCGCGACGGCGTCGACAAGTTCAAGAAGGAACGCTTCGAGGTCATCATCGTCGACACCTCCGGCCGCCACCGGCAGGAGGAGGCCCTGTTCCAGGAGATGGTCGACATCCAGGCCGCCGTCCGCCCGGACGAGACCATCATGGTCCTCGACGCCTCCATCGGCCAGCAGGCCGAGGCCCAGGCCAAGGCCTTCAAGGAGGCCGCCGACTTCGGCGCCATCATCATCACCAAGACCGACGGCCACGCCCACGGCGGCGGCGCCATCTCCGCCGTCGCCGCCACCCGCACGCCCATCGTCTTCATCGGCACCGGCGAGCACATGCTCGACCTCGAGCGCTTCGCCCCGCAGCAGTTCGTCCAGAAGCTGCTCGGCATGGGCGACATGGCCGGCCTGGTCGAGCACGTGCAGTCCCTCAAGCTCGACCAGAAGGACACCATCAAGCACATCACCGAGGGCATCTTCACCGTGCGCGACCTGCGCGACCAGCTCTCCAACATCATGAAGATGGGGCCCCTCTCCAAGATGGCCGGCATGATCCCCGGCATGAGCGGCATGATGCAGGGCATGGACGACGACGAGGGCTCCCTCAAGCTCAAGCGCATGATCTACATCTGCGACTCCATGACCGACAAGGAGCTCGACTCGGACGGCAAGCTCTTCATCGACCAGCCCTCCCGCATGACCCGCGTCGCCCGCGGCTCCGGCACCTCCGTCCGCGAGGTCGAGGACCTCCTCACCCAGCAGCGCATGATGGCCGGCATGGCCAAGAAGATGGGCGGCAACATGAAGAACATGCAGCGCGCCCAGCAGGCCATGGCCGGGCCCAACAAGGCACAGCAGATGGCCGCCATGCAGAAGCGCCTCCAGAGCATGGGTGCCGGCGGCGGTGGCCTGCCCGGCATGGGCGGCATGGGAGGCATGCCCGACATGAGCAGCCTCATGAAGATGTTTGGCGCCGGCGGCGGCGGCGGCGCGGGCGGAGGCGGAATGCCGGATATGCAAGCCATGATGCGACAGATGGGCATGGGGGGGGGAGGAGCCGGCATGCCCGGGATGCCGGGTGGTTCGGGCAGGGGAAGAAGATGAGAAGACGAAAGGGAGGGCCCTGGTCCGGGAAGACGAGTATAATTTTTATTTTATTTTTTTAAGGGGTGTAGCAACTTTCGCGAATGGGTTGATCATCACGACGATTACGATCTAGGTGGGCGAACAGTCAAACAAACATATCACGGCGGTCAAAAGGATGGGACTGGTTTTTCCTTCACTGCACGTATTATTACCTAGCATATGGGATGGCGTTCAACGAGGCTTCGGAAACCAAACCAATTCTACCTTAAAACCCAACCTCCATGCCCACTATGGATCGATGATGACCCCGCCTGTTTTCTTTTACCAATGTTCAAATAAATACCCATCAAGATGCAATAGACAAGCATCGTTGCTTTTCCGAAGGACTCCGTGAGAACCAGTCTCACCCAGGATACCACGCCCAAAGCATGCATATAGTCCAGCAAAGATAAGGAAGCACCAACTGCAACCGCCAGTCTGTCTTGACTATTCCCAGACGGTATTGCGAAAAATCAACCCATCCCGTTCCCCTTGGATTCTAAGAGATGCATCAGAAAAAGAACAACATGGCACACAACTCCTCGTTTTCTGGAAGAGATACTCTCATATATGACCCTTCAAAACGGCAAAAAAAATAGAGAACACCCCGGGGTATCTCGAACGAAATTGAACGGACGAGAAGACTAATGGGAGAAGGCTATTATAAATTCGAAGCCTGCCTGGGGCCGATATCAGACAGCTCGGGTAGCATTGACCCCGCCGTCCAACCCGTCCGGTGCCCCGGAGGAATCGCCATCAGGCTGTTGCGGCAGCGGCCTGGATCGAGACCTCGATCGCGATCGAAAGCCATTCGTCGAGTCCTTCAGCGAGAAACTGGCCCACTCTTTAAAGCTGCTGAAGGTCATGGACTTCTTGAACGACGGGCCCAGGCCCTCTTCGCCCTGGTTGAAAATTTCGTCATGCCGTACGGGGGTCTGTTGTAGCAGCTGCAAGCGTCGCTTGACGAACTTCCACGCTTCAATGCCCACGACGAAGAGAAGAGTAAAAGCCACCGACACGGCCCATTCCCACGAGATGCCGGTGTGCTTGAAAAGCTCGGTGCTCACATAGGGGAGGTATACGGCCGGGAAGACGGAGAGACCGCCGATGATAACGGCCCAAAACAAGAACCTGTTGCTGTACAGGTCCTTGAACAGGGGGAAACGGCTCTCGTCGTCGGGGTCGAGCCGGAAGACAGAACGCCGCAGGCTCTTGAACTCCCAGGCCGACAGTAGAATCATCCAAGTAAGCTCGGCGAAGACGCAGGCCCGAGCACGGAAGACCGGAATACAAGCGTCCGAGTAGGTCTTGTTGCACTCAACGCCAAGGCGGCCGTCGTTGGCGCCCCAGATGACGATGCAGAAGCTGACCATGGTCAATCCTCCCATCATGGTTCCGTATACTAACATGTCGACGATGATTTGGTCCGTGAATATGCCTCGCTTCTTGTCATGGGGTGGCCTTCGCATCACATCCGGCGCCGCCTCCTCCCTGCCAAGCCCAAAGGCAGGGAACGAAGATGTCACCATGTTGATCCAGAGGACCTCGAGCGGCGATATGGGGAACACAGCCAGGCCCGTGCTATCCCGGAAACCTAGACCTGCCACGAGGAGGATCACTTCGCCAACGTTGGACGTGAGTAGGTGAAGAATGAACTTTTGGATGTTGTCGAACATGCGGCGACCCTGGCGGATCGCGGAGACGATTGAGTTGAATTGATCATCCGTTAGCACAATCTTGGAAGCTCCCTTGGCCACGTCAGATCCAGACCCCATGGCTATTCCGACGTCGGCGCGGGCCAGGGAAGGCGCGTCGTTGACGCCGTCCCCGGTCATCGCCATGAATGCGTGTCGGCGTCGGAGGGCGTCAATCATGCGCGACTTGGTCTCGGGAGCACATCGAGCGATAACGAGAGGCAGTTCCGGTAGGCGGTCGATCTCCTCCTTAGTCATGCGGTCGAAATCGGTGGCCTTGAGGACAGCGGCCCGGGCCACGGCCTCTGGCCATATGCCCATATTCCTGGGGATGATGCCGACCTCCTTCGCGATAGCCTTAGCCGTCTCGGGATGGTCACCGGTGAGCATGTGGACCCTGATCCCTGCGGTCGCGCACTCTGCAATGGAAGCCTTGGTCTCCCGGCGGGGCGGATCATAGATGCCAGCCAGCCCAAGCAGGGTGAGACCTTGCTCAACTTCGGCGCGAATGGCAATGTCGCTATCCGAGCCCGAGCCCCCGTAGGAGTGAGGCATGACGAACCTGCCCTTCTCCCACTCCCGGTAGGCGATACCAAGAACCCGTTGACCCTGCGACGCCAGATGGTTCATTTGCTTCAAAACTTCTTCTCTGAGTTCATCGGTAAGGACTTGACTCGAGGTGCCAAAGCCCAGGTGACTGCAGAGGTCAAGGATCCGTTCAACAGCACCCTTGGTGAAGACGACGCTCCTATCGTTCGGGAAGACCTGAGATGCGCCTCCTTGGGGCGCATTGTAGACAACTGACATGCGCTTGATGGAGCTGTCGAAGGGGAATTCGCCTACTTGTTTCCACCCCTCCCTCTCGAGAGACTTCTTGCCGAGCTCGAACCGGTGCGCGAATACCTGGAGGGCAATCTCGGTGGGCTCACCGGTCACCTGCCACTCGGACTCCTCTCGGTCATACCGGACGGTAGCCAGGTTGCACAAGGCGGCTGACAGCAGGAATGCCCGAAGAGCGGGCGTCAAGACGGCGTCAACTTCGGGCGCTGTGGCGGGTAGGGGAATTTTCTCTTTTGGCTCGGGCAGGTCGAAGCGGAGGGTAGCCGCAGACCGTTCGCGGTCGTAATCACATCGGGAATCGTCCTCCTTCTCGTCTACCTCCATCGTCGCGGCGTATCCCACTCGCCCCTGAGTTGGGTCACTAGGACTCCGCGAGTCGTGAACAGTATAGGTGTGGTTCATCGGAAGCCAGGCTTTGCGAACAATCATGGCGCCCTGAGTGAGGGTGCCAGTCTTGTCAGAGCAGATGTTGGTGACACCGCCGAGGGCCTCAAGGGCTGACAAGTCTCGGACGACAACGTTGGCTTTACGCATGACTGTGACGGCCACTACCATGGTGATGGTGAGGACACTGCTGACTGTTAGCATAGATTCCTTTTTTTTTTCTTCTTCTTTTTCTCTTCCTCTTCTCATCGGCCGCCTTTTTTGTTGGGGGGGGGAATGGGAGGTTGAGGATAAAGTAGAACACTTACGCAACAAGAGACTCGGGGATGATGGCAATGCCCAGGGATACGGCATAGATGACGACTTCTCCGGTCAGCACGAAATGGTGGGCGCCAAAGACGATGATGGCGAGGATCACGGCGCATCCGAACAGGTAGTAGGCAAGTGCGGCAAGCTTTCGCTGCAAGGGCGTACCCTCGGTGAGGCCGAGGAACTTGCCAATGGCATCCCAAGTCCGCTTCGAGGCGCCGACGAAAGGCTGCTTCATGCCGTACTTCTTGTAGTTCAAGGAACGACCGGGCTTGCGCTTGCGCTTCGTGGTCGAAGCGGCGATCTCACCAACGGCGGTTTTCATGCCGGTGAAAACCACGATGCCTCGGCCACGACCCTTCCTGACGATGGTGGTTGCGTAAGCGATATTCAAGCGGTCGCCGACACCGACTTGGTCGGCCGAGGTGGCAATCTGATCGGATCCGGGAACGAGTATGTCGGCTTCGATGGACTTGTCGGCGGGGACCGACTCGCCGGTGAGGGATTGCTCGTCGCACGACAAATTCATAGCCTCGTAGATACGAAGATCAGCCGGAACTGTGTCACCCATCTTAAGGAGGACAATGTCCCCGGGTACGACCTGGGCACTGTGAACAGACGTAGGTTAGCAATTGGCGCTTTGGAAACAAGTGGAACTGATAACAGCCGATGCCGGGCAACCAACGGGTTTACTTACTTTGGGACGACCTGGGTCTTTCCATCTCGGAGAACGGTTGCGGAGGGAGATGAAAGGGCTCGCAACGCATCCATGCGCTTTTCGGCACGGAACTCTTGGTAGAAGCCAATGGTAACATTGACGACGACTACAATGGCGAGGACAACTCCCTCGATATAGTCGCCTATACCGAAGCTTAAACCCATGGCGAATATCAGGACCTAAAAAAGGCCAGGCGCGGCGAACGATTAGCAAATTGTCACTTTGGCGTCGGGACTTTGCATGACTTCCTTGTAACACACACGACCATTGTCTGGACAGAATTACAGCGTGTAACACTGACGTTCCGTATTCTTTGCGGTCTGTACAGGAGAGGTGTGGGGAGTGAAAGGGAGTGGGAAATGAACGGGGTGATGTGATCCGGAGTCAGGAGATGGAAGACAGCAGACAGGAGAAAGGAGGTTATAGAACTTACCAGGATCATGGCATTGAAGACCTGCTTGCTGAGTATGATGTACCAGGTAATGGACTTGGAGACCTCGAATTCATTCGGCGGATATTTCTCCTGGGCTTCATTGACCTGTTCGGGGCTGAGGCCTTTCTCGATGTTGACGCCGAGGGTCGCAACGACCTCGTCCACATGCAAGAGAAAGGGATGTTTGGGATATTCGGCCGACATGATGGCGAATGATTCCACGAAATATTCTTTCTTAATGAAATCGTGGGTCAAATTCGATAGGTGCAATATATCTGGGGGTCCAGAGAAGGGGTCCAGAGAAGAGATGGAAGACTTTGTAGAAGCGAGTCCAGGCAGGGTTGGAAGTTGGTTACCATGGACGTAAGCAAGCGCTCACCAGTCGTCTCTCTAGTATAAGGTAGGTGAAGTTGGTTGGATTAGATAGGGGACTGTTGGAAGAAGAACCTGCAGGGAATATGTTCTAAGGAAAGGGATGAAGCAGAAGAACTTGGGCGAACAAGTGGTGTGCCCGGTGTGGTGTGGTGTTGATGACGAGGATGGCGGTAGAAGATACGGAATCTGGGATGCGGCTTCTTGAGGTACCTTATATACCTTCTGAAGAGAAAGAGGGGACAGGAAGGTAAGAGGTACATGCCAGCAGCTACCTTACGTTACCTTATATATACGCCTTCGAGCCTTCCTTGACTGATTATTCCCTTAGGGTCTTATCATCGTGGCGGGTATTGGCATGAAGGTTACCTTAGACAGGTCAAGTTGGAAAATAGACTTCGGTCTTCGGCCATGTCATGGCTTCTGATTAGCGACTACCCCGGAACGGATACCTCCCGCTACTTGCTTTAGTCACGTATGACCTTGATGGGAACGCCATGGAAGCCACTTCCGCTTGTAGTGGTTGTAGTGCAGCGCACGAGTACCTTATACACTTCGTACCTTGCTGGCGGACCGTATCCTGGTGTGTACAAGTTGAATTTCGTTATAGGTACGAAGGACAGTAAGTACGAGTACCGCTTCTCTGCGGTACATTGGCTGGATAAGTGGCAGATGTGGAGAGAAAGGGAACCTTCGGTACGCGCCGCACGTGTAAAGTCAGAAGACCAGACCGGCCCTTTTCGAGATCTCATTGTTTGTGGCGCCATGCGATGAATCGGTGGCGAGACACATATCTGAGTAATGGTCGTCTGTACCTGTCGTATATTGCACCTCGCTGCCCGGAGTTATTCCAACTCATCCTATGGATACTTGATTGAGGATGTAATGTGTGAAGTGCCTTACGATGAAGTATAGAGGCTCATACATCCCGGAGATCCTCATTCCCGACCCTCTCCCTGCCCAAACCTCCGTCAACATTGACCCCTGCGCTCCTCTGCGCCTTGATCTTTTCTCGGGCATCAGCCTGTTCCCTCTTTTTCCTATGACAAGGGTTAGCTATGTTGAAATCAATCCATCACACCGCAGCTCGAGACAAATCATAGAGACGGTTGAGAAGTGGCTCAATAGAAGAGACAGAAAGAAAAGGGGCACTGCAATTGGACGAACCTATCAAGCTCCTCGGTAAAGTCGTGCTCGACAACTTCTTCCCCGGGCGCCTTCTGCGTCCCGCTCTTTCGTTGGACAGCATGAGCAACATCTCCCTCGGCGAACGTCTCGAGCTGTTCGTCGGCATCCTCGTTTTCGTTCTGAAGTTGGAAATTTTCGTCAACGTTCTCCTGCTGGGTGGTGTTTCTTGCTTCGGTTGCGTCGGAGGGGCCAGACGACCGGATCCCCTGACCTTGTGGTTGGTGGGTAACTTCGTCGTGTGAGTATGGGGCATAGCCCGAGGCGTTCCTATTCTCGGACGACATGGTGCGTGATTTGTATCCGTAAATCTCTCTTTTCTCGAGTCGTACGTTCGTAAGTTTGAAGAGATGGAGAGACAATAAAATGGTCGGCGAATTCGCGTAGTTTGTAGATGGGCAGAGAGCGATATGTGTGTGGCGCGTTGAGGCGTGGGAATGAGATGTGATGGAGGATAGCTTACCTTAAGGTAGCCTTGCGTTATCACCCATACGTTGCTATGACGTCATCTTGAAAGTGCATTGTACTCGAGGGGTTGGCAGTGGCAGTGGCAGTGGCAGTTCGGATGATCGGGGCCGGTCCTCACACCGGCCGTCTCTTGCTCCGAGTGGGTAGGACCCCTATGTCTCCGTCTCTTTTCTACGGAGTAATTGAGTAGTTCGTGACTTTCTTGTCGCCATGACTGTCGATCATGCTATATCTTGTCAACAAACGATCTGAACGTGGAAATCGCTGACCTCGGTGGCCCCCACGTGTCGTTGCAACCTCGAGGAGAGAGACGTTGAGTAGACGAGTGCTCGTGATCCGGTCCAAAATCACACCACTTCGATATGTGCTTCTCAATCCACCTTTCTCGATGCTTCGCCACAATGACTTTCTGTTGCACCGACCTACGCGTGCACCATCAATTTGTAATCGCCGACCGCTATCGGGTCTCGTGGCGAAGAGTCGAAAAATGAGACCGGGGTGGTGATGATCTCCATGTGCCTGGAAGCAGGCATGATTCGTCGATTGGACTTTGCGGGGTTGGTCGTCACGACCTCTTATCCCGCGACAATAGACGCGTCGTCACGTATTCTCATGGGGGAGCATAATCTCGAAGCGAATGATTGGTGTCTGGAGTAGTGAACGAGTGAACTGTGCCAAATTGACTCGAACTGATACTGAGACTTCAACCAAAAGCCTTTTGCATCTCTGCAAGTTAAGACAATGGCTCCATCTGCCACCGAGACGCCCCAAACCGCGGCTGAGAGTGTTCAGGTGAAGCAAGTTCCCGCGGCCGAGAGAGAAGCCGACAGTGGTTGAGGCATCGGAGGTGCAAGAGGAGCAGCTGCCCGAGCTGCGAACCGGGCACAAAGAACCCCTCCAACTGAGCGGCGCCCTGGATAAGTATGAGCACTTCGAAGTGACCCCCGTGATCGGGCGCGAGTACGTCGACGTCAACCTCGTCGAGTTGCTAAGAGCTCCCAACTCGGACGAACTGCTCCGTGACCTTGCTATCACCAGTAAGCACAGACAACTCACTGCCATCGCAATGCAATGTATCCATTTACCCTCCATGCTGAACCCCCCCGGGGGAAACCCCCCTGATGCATAGTTTCGCAGCAGGCGTCGTGTTCTTCCGGGAGCAAGACGACGTGACCAACGACATCCAGAAGGAGCTGGTCCAGCGCCTGGGCGAGCTCAGTGGCAACCCGGCCACCTCCAAGCTGCACATCCACCCCATCAACAATGCCGGCCGGGGCGACGACAAGGATGACGAGATCAGTGTCATCTCGTCGGTGCGGCAGAAGGAGCTGTACCTGGATTGCTTCCTCAACTATACCAAGAAGCAGAGCCAGAAGACGCAGTGGCATTCGGACATTACCTTTGAGCCGATTCCTAGCGACTATGCTCTCCTCCGTCTGACGCAGCTGCCGAAGACGGGCGGCGGTAGGTTTCCTTTTTTTTCTTTTCTTCTTCTTCCCCTCTCCTTTTTTTCTTCTTCTCTACTCCCTCCCCCTGTTTTCAAGGGGTACTGGCAAGACTAACCGTGTATTTCGAACTGGGCATGTAGACACACTCTGAGCTTCCGGCTATGAAGTGTACGACCCGCATCTCAGCGCCGCTGCAAAAGTTCCTGGAGACACTAACGGCGACATACGCGCAACCCGGGTTCAACCGAGCCGCCGAGCGCAACGAGTTCCAGATCTACAGCGGCGAGCGCGGCGCGCCGGAAAACGTCGGCGAGGTGCTGGAGGCGATCCACCCGGTAATCCGGACGAACCCGGTCACGGGCTGGAAGAGCGTCTTCGCGGTAGGCCACCACGTCCAGAAGATCAACGGGCTGAGAGACGACGAGTCCAAGCACTTCCTCGACTGGTTCGTGCGGCTGGTGGTCGACAACCACGACCTGCAGGTGCGGTACAAGTGGCAGAACGCCAACGACGTCGGCATCTGGGACAAACCGCTCGGTCTACCACGCCGCCACGCCCGACTACATCTCCGAGCCGGGCTTGGGCGAGAAGCAGGGCGCGCGGTCTGTCAGTCTGGGTGAGCGGCCGTATTTTGACCCGCAAAGCACTAGCAGGCGCGAGGCTCTCAGGGACCAGGCTATCGCTCTTGTGCGAGAGAAGGGGATTGAGGCGCTGCAGGTGTAGATGTGGTTCGAGCGTGACTACTCGGTCGTCAAGTACGGATAGGTAGCAATGTCATTGAACTGGTTGTCCATGGCGAGAATTTGTTTTGCAATAAGCACAGTTTCTGATTTCCGGAGTCTCAAAAGGGTCCAGTGTGAAAATGATAAATCCGGGGAATAACGACGGAACCTGGAGTGGGTAAAGTTGTGGATTGTGCCGACGATTTGGCGATGTATTAATGTATCGGGAGTAAGACGGCCCGGTGGCCCCTTAAGCCCCTTGCTTCGTTTGTCCACCGACTGTAAGTAGAATCTCCCCCGGTTCCCTTCCCCGCGGATAAGGTATCGTGGCTTGGGTAACATCCAATCCTTGGGCACAACTGCCAATTATAAACCGTCAAGCATAAAAGACACTGTAAAGAGCATGGATAGTATTCCATTTGTTTGGGGAAGGCGATCTAGTTACTTTCTCAATACTATAGCGAGAATATAGTATAAAAAGGTGGCTGAACACTATACACCCTAAGGTATGTTTGTCTCCTGACCTGGTGTCGTATTCCCAAATTGCTTGATCCTTGTCTCCTGGAGTAGTATCCTTACGTACTTTGGACGCTTAATATGCGGTACTCGCAGTAAAGCGGAGGAGCTTGGTCCAAACCCGCACTGCCTCGCTGTGTCTTTGGGCAGAGGATTTTCTCTCTTGTCCTCCGCATTGCTCAGCGAAGGCCATTGGCAGATGCGATGCGAGGGCTCTCGGTGAATTGGGTCGTACTGAGATCAGAAAGCCGTCGCTGTTAACCGATTGTGTCCCTGTGTCATCTCAGCCTGGGGTTCGTTCATTGGGGTCCGACTCACGCCTTGCAGATTCACTCATTGTGGATCTCGATTCTCGATTACCAGGAGACGTAGAGTATGAGACGCGTAACACGGCCATCACCATCGGCGTCAGGGACCCTGTCAGCTCTCTACCCTTTCCTGGCCCTCCTTGCGGCAAGCAGCACCATGGCGATGGCGGGCATCGCGCCAGCGCAACCAGCTGTCAACTCGGCCGCCTTCCTCTCCGTCCCAACCCCAACTCCCATCGTGATGACCTTGGAGCCAATTCGGGTCCTCGACGCCCGCGCCCCGCAGCCCAGCACCGTCTCCCTGGCCGGCTACTCGGCGGTCGGCTGCTTCCAACACGGCAGCAATCACATCCTGACCATCACATCGCTGACCGACACCGGCATGACGCCGCAGTTGTGCCGCAACTTCTGCTCGGTCGAATCGGCCTCCATATTCGGGGTCGAGTGGGGTATGAGGTGCTACTGCGGCAATGAGCTCGAGCCCTTTGCTGCTCGGGCTCCCGACGACGAGTGTACCGCGTCATGTTACGGCGCTACTAGCTACGTCTGTGGTGCGAGAAGTCGGATGAATCTCTATGCCCACACCGACATTCATATCTCTGGTGCGTCACTCTTTGCTGCTACTGTTACTGGCAATGGTACTAGCTCTTCCTACCTACCGTCACTGCATCCGAAGGGGATCGCGGGGAAGGAGGGGATAGGGCGGGTGCGTGCCGACAACAAGTATTAATGTTGCCGCTGCAGGTGGCACTTCCGCAACCGCGACCGGCGACAGCAACACTCCTCCGAGTCCTACAGCCGGTTCCAGTTCGGGATCTAGCAGTGACGACGGCAGTATAGACGAGGATGGGAACGACGCCGCCGCCGGACCCGACCCCGGCACCGACCCCAGTGTCAGTCCCGACACAAGCGCGGGCACGTCGCCCGGTCATGACGAAGACGAGCCACCCACCACTTCCGCCCCAGGAGGGGCCAACCTCTCGGTGGGAGCCGTGGTCGGCATTGCCATTGGTGCCGCAGCGATATCCGGTTCCATCACCGCCGCCGTCATGTTCTTCTTCTGCCGCCGACGCGGATTCCGCAATAAAAACGCTGCCGTCTCTTACCCGGCTGCCAGTTCGTCTGGAGGTCCTATGGCCGGGTCCTCTCCCGAGCTGGAGTACGCCCAGGTGACGACGACGCAGTCTGGGAGGCCGCGGGATCATCGGCCGTCAATGGCGATGCCGTATTCGCCGCAGAGCCGCACTCATGAGTTGGGCCATGAAACCTACGAGATGCCGGGTAACAGGTGGCAGGACGAGACGAGAGTGACCGATATCGGGAATTATAAAGAGGCGTAGTCGAAGAGTTGAAGAGCGCAGGGATAAGGAGGAGGGCTGAATTCCCGTGTTGTTCACGATTTTACGGAATCATCATCTGCGTAAACCGTGCCGCCCAGCGCTGCATCTTGTAGAGACGTCATGCAGACCGGAAAACAGGACCGCAACCTGTTCTCCTTTTGACTGTCATGTCATGCTCGTCCGTGACAACGTTGAGTCAACGGTGATTTGAGAACGAAAAAAGGTATCAAAGTACCTTATCCTTATTGGTACTCCGTACCTTAGGTACTCGGTAACTGCGGGTTATACGACGTATTCGGAATACGGGTTGTCATGTGTTCCGGCTGAGTAATCATTTCGGAGGTTCATGAGCCGCAACACCCAAAAAGGGAAAGTCCCCCCACTTCGCACAACTGTAATTTCCCACTTTCGGCGAACGTTCCACATTTCACATTCCCCATTCCACACGCGACGTCCACCCCCCTCGTCCCTCGTCCCTCGTTCCTCTTTTCTCATCCTTCACGATTCTAGCTCCGATGGAAGTCTTGTCAGACAGCCTGCCAAGGCTCTCCATAAGGCAATCGACCTTCACTTCAGCTCCGACAAGTCTGCGCCACGCATTAGGGGCGGCAAGGAAAATGATATTGGGCTTGCATTCGGACATGCGGAACTAATACCGGCGTCTGAAGCGAATGCTATCACGATGAGTACAACTGACATTGACAGTTCATTATACCTAGTGCATTTGCTGGTCTCGGGAGATTATCGAGTCCCCTGATTCCGGGCCTGGGATCTGGCGTACCAGGGACGTCAAAAGGATCGGCTTTCAGGGCTTGACCCCGCGCATTGCGTCTTCTTCTTTCTTCTTTTTTTCTTTCTTTTTTCACGTGGCGCTTGTTGCTCTGGATCATTCTATGGACCGTCAATCACATCCATCCCATGGTCCCCAAAATCTAATTATCTATCACGTGGAGGGGCGCCGGCTGGTCGACTCGCCCGAAAGTCACCCGCCGTGGGCCTAATATGGGGGATTGGGCAATAAGTCCGTGATTGACGACAGTGCGAAAGTGGAACACGTCGAATCCATCAGAACCTCTTGGCCTGCCGAGCCGGGCTTGTCGTTCTATCTCCGGTCCTCTTTCTCCACCAGAGTTCTGGTCTTCGAGAAGAGTACGAGGAAATTAACGAAGTACGTTGGAAGGAGACTCGGAGACTGCTCTTTCATCACCGATGAGGGAACAAATCGTCTAGGCTAGTGCCGACTCCTCCGCCGTGGCAGACGGAGACGCCAACATCCTGACAACCACCGTCTTCCTAAACTCACTGCCGGCCTATGTTCGGGCTTTCCTACTCACACGTTACTTCGTACCACTTCTCGAATCCGGGGTACATGTGGAGAGAGATGACCAACGTGTCTCTCCCGAGTGGAAGTCGTATAGACTGCTCCATGAAATGCCATTGTCTGGTTATGCCCAGCTGTCTATATTGCAAGGCATCCCATACTCTGTATTCAACCCACTCTTACAGCGCGATTCGCTCGATCCGTCCTCCTCGTCGGCTTATTCGATCATGACCAAACCAGAGTCTCAGTTTCTCCGTATCTTACAGAGTTCGAATGCATCCGCTTCCGTTGGCGGGTGCCCATGGGGCCCCACCCCGGGCAGCCACCTACCGAAGTTGCCTTTTTGACGAGTAGCTTAATTCTTCGCTTCGATGGGTTTCCCTCCGGCGCCTCCACTACCTTAGCCACCCAAGTCCCGACCTCTATCGACCTCTGGAAGCCCTGATGGCTACTGGGGGGCCTGCATGAAGTACGGATACTCCATGCGGAGTGCAGCAACCCTCCATCTTTCCTGTTTCAGTCACCAGTCCTTGTTCCCGTGGTTCATTACGGGACCTAGGCGCCAGCTTCCTCTTCGGGGGGTCAGGGTCCGTTCTTTTAGCCTGAACGCAGGCTGAGGAACCTCCCCCCCTTCGAGTCGCCGCTTTTTGCCTGGTTCCCAGACGTGGTCACCAGATGTCTGGATATTTTCCCCCTTGATCGCGGGCCAAGCCTCTTGGATCGGGCTTTGGTTTCTCTCCTACGGACCGTCAATGCGGTGGATGCCTCGTCTCAGTTCGCGTCAGTCCTCGTCATTTGCGCATTGCCTCAACCGGCTTGGGCGAGCCGCCCAGTAGTCCCTCTTACCCAATGGGACGCCGGGGTTTTCTGTCCAGGCAATATGGACCATCGTGGGGACGCCCCGATGACAACGACGAGCCCGTTTACCTACCTAGGTACTTGCCATCCGGTGCCTTGCGTTGTTGAGCCTGGGAACCTGGGCCATCCAGGTTTGTCGGACCGCTTCTCTTGCAGGGGGGGGCCGGTGGCAATGTGACTACCACATGCCCTTCGAAAGAAGAATGGGGGGCGCATTTCTAACTAGCCAGTCGAGGGGCGATCAGAGAGCTCGAGAGAAATATATAAAGGTCGCTCATCATTTCCTCCTTGGTCTTCTCGTTCGGCAGGGAACTCCTTAGAGATCGTCGCTGTCAACAAGTCAATCTCCTCCTTCTCCGTGTCGATCCCTCCTCGTACCTACCGCCTTCTCTCAACAATCAGACAAGATGGTTCTCAGCAAGCTCGCTGGCCTCTTCACGGCCCTCGCCGCCGTCGGACAGGTTGCTGGCCACGGCTACGTGTCCAACATCATCATCAACGGCGTCTCGTACACCAACTACAACCCCAACAGCGATTGGTACCAGCCTCCTGCCAGCCGCCCCGTCCGGTATGTGATCACCAGTCAAAGAGAGAGCCCGGCTGCAACTTGTCGACCTCCTCCCCCGATGTTACGGGACGCAAATATTTCTCTCTCCCCGTCCCAGGAACTCGGAACGCTAACGCTGACTTGTCTATTAGTGCCGGCTGGGCTGCTGAGCAGATGGATCTCGGCTTCGTTGCCCCCAACGCCTATGGATCCCCCGATATCATCTGCCATCGTCAGGCCACCCCCGGCCAGGGCCATATCCGCGTCGCCGCCGGCGATGTCATCACCCTCCAGTGGACTGACTGGCCCGAGTCGCACAAGGGCCCCGTCTTCGACCACCTGGCTCGTTGCGACGGCCACTGCTCGACCGCCAACAAGCAGGACCTCCGCTGGTTCAAGATTGACGGTGCCGGCCTTGTCTCGGCCCCCAACACCTTCGCTGCCGATCTCCTGGTCCAGAACAGCGACCAGTGGTCCGTCCGCATCCCCTCCAACGTTGCCCCGGGCCACTACGTCCTCCGCCACGAGATCCTGGCTCTCCACTCCGCCAGCCAGCCTAACGGTGCCCAGTCGTACCCCCAGTGCATCAACCTCGAGATCACTGGCTCCGGCTCCTCCACCTTCCCCGGCACTGCCGGCACCCAGCTCCTGTCCCCCAACGAGGCCGGCGTCGTCTTCAACGTCTGGGCCCCGGTCTCCAGCTACCCCGTTCCCGGCGGTGCCATCGTTCAGGGCGGCACCAGCATGATCCCCCAGTCCGTTGTCCGGGCCACCGCCACCGGCACCGTTACCCCGGCCGGTCAGGCTACTCCTCCCCCCGGCCCCCCTCCTACCAACCCCCCTCCCACCAACCCTCCTCCCACCAACCCTCCTCCTACCAACCCTCCTCCCACCAACCCTCCTCCTACCAACCCTCCCCCCTCCTCCGGCGGCGCTCCTCACTGGGGCCAGTGCGGTGGCCAGGGCTGGCCGGGCCCCCACACCTGCCAGTCGGGCGCTACCTGCACTCCTCTTAACGACTACTACCACCAGTGCATTCCCAACTAAGCGCCGCGCCAGGTCCCGGGCGAGAAAGTGGTTGACGGAGATGGCAACAACGGTTCAACGCTTCTATGTGTCTAAGCTTTGATGATGAAACGGGGAAAGGTTCACATGGCTAGAGATCTTTTTCTGCTGTGGCCTTCCCACAACTGTACATAACTTTGCATACATAGAGCACATCTACATAAATAATCCCAGTTAGGGTGCTCAATCTTCTACTGCTCGCCTATGAGTCTCTGCTGTGTTTCTGGTGATGTTTGTTCCCGATACGAGAGACGTGACTATGAAAGCAGTATGTGGTTAATTGCTTGAGCCCTCGGGCATAAATCAGTCGAGCGAAGGGGCTTTTGAGGATCCCCGATGTCTGTTCGAACAGTTGCCCCCTGAAGACCTCGCCCTGCCATCATCCCTGGGCCTGCCACTTGCACAATGTTGTCAATCGCACTTATGTCCAACCAACAAGGCATGATGGGATCGATGGGTAAATACCTCTCTGGGAAGGTCGATAAACCGCCACGGGGCAGGATTGTCGGACACAACCCACTCTTCTCACCACATACATCCCTCTTTCTGCTAATAACCCAGGAATCAGGTGGTCCACCACCGACCGCACATTGTCGAATGAAGCCATTCCCGGCCCACCACATCTTTCTTCCAAGCACTGCCAGAGAAAACCCCAGATTTCGGATCATGTCGTCCCATTTTTGCTGCTGGTAAACAAGGTCACTTCATCCGGTTGAAGTTACAAATTCGAAAGTAAGGAGTATCCCTACCGCGATGCGACTGCAAGTACGTGATCTATAGCTATACCGTTAACTCCCGCCGCGGCAAGTGGGTGTGTTCCTGTCGACGGTACGACCAACATGGAATTCTCAGTTGGCTTCGTTTCGAAGGATGAATGGGGGATGGGGATGTACTGGAAGTCATGGACGAGAAGACAAACTCGGTACTGACAGGAGAGATCCTTCGCCAACGAAGGAAGACCGATAACGAGAGTGTAGATCGCTATAATGGAAAGACGTCCCAACGTACAGAAGTGGTTGGGAGTTAGCTTCGCAGGGTTTGACACGCCTTGCAACGGAGCATTCCCGGAACTCGGAAGCATTGTTGAGACGCGATATATGAACATGTTCTCTTATACGGTATCAACAGACCCTACATATGTGACTCTTCGGTTTAGCACTCGGGAATCATTTCTGTGATCCCGGAGTCTTGCCCTCCCCCCCCCCTCTCTTCCCAGCACCCAAAGCGTCGTCTCCCTTATTTCTTGCCAGTTGGGATGGCAAACAAGACAAGCTTATCACCCTCGTTTAGGCTCTTGTCAACGCGGTAGAATCCCCGCCTCTCGAGCTGAATAATGTCGTCCTTCTTCAGCTGCGCAGTCCCCTCATCGCACCAGGCGTTCTCACTCCACGCGGTGTTGGGGTTGAGGAAATCCTCCAACTTGTCGTCCTCCTCCAGCTTGTCCTTCGTCAGGAGGTAGTCAAAGTCCCAGAGCTCGGCCGGTATGAGCTTGGTGCCCTTCGCCGACAGCCACGTCACCTTCTTCTTGGTGCTCTTGAAGTCGCCCTTCAGGTTCAGCTCGGCCGTGATGCCGGCGACCGGGTCGCTGCCCGTGATCTCCCGGATGATGACGTTGCCCCACGACATGGCCGTGATCTCCTCGTCCTTCGTGAACGTCTTGGCGTCCGCCTGGTCCAGCCAGATCTCGTCGGAGAACACCACGTTCTTCTTCCCGACCTCGGCGTTCTTGGGGTGCTTGGGACGCTCCTCGGTCCGCGGGGCCTCCGGCACGTCGGCGCCCGTGAGGGTCACCTTGACCCTGTCCTTCTCGGCGATGGCGGTGTGACGCGGCGCGATCGGGTCGATGACCTTCTTGTTCAGCGCCCAGAGGCCAGCCCAGTCCATGTTCACGACGTTGCGGCTGGGTCCCTGCTTGATGATAAACTCGCGGAGGGCCGGGATGGTCAGGCCACGACGACGGATACCGCGGATCGTGGGGAACCTCGGGTCGTCCCAGCCAGACACCTTGCCCGCGTCCACGAGGGAAGCCAGTTTCCGCTTGGAGAGGAACGTGCGGACGAAGTTGATACGGGAGAAATCCCACATGTAGACTTTGCGAATCTTCAGCGTGTCGATGAACCACTGGTACAGCGGGTTGCGATCCGTGTACTCGGTAGAGCGAAGGGCGTGGGTCACGCCCTCCAGTGAGTCGACCAGCGGGCAGGCGAGGTCGTAGGTGGGGTATACCTTCCAGGTGGTGCCCGTCCGGTGATGCGCGTCGTCGACGTTGCAGCGGTAGATGACGGGGTCCCGCAGGGCCTTGTTGGGATCGTCTACGGACACCTTGGCGCGGATGCAGTTCTTGAGCCCTTCCTCGGAGCCCTTGGTCATCTCCTCGAAGATACGCAGGTTTTCCTCGACAGTTCGCTTCCGGCGCTTCGATTCAATGCCGTCCATACGCTCGGCTCTCATGGTCTCCTGGTCGGTATCATCGGCGTAAGCGCGCCCTTCGGAGATGAGGCGCTTACACATATCGTATAGGTACTGGAAGTAGTCGGACGTATAGGTCAGGGTGTCGTGTGTGATGCCCATGAGATGCAGATCCTCGACGATGGAGTCTTGGAACTCTTCCTTCTCCTTCGAGGGATTGGTGTCATCGAGACGGAGGCGAAGTTGGCCCTTGTAGGCCTCGTGGGCGAAGTAATCGCTTAATAGAGCAGCCTTGGCGTGGCCGATGTGAAGATAACCGGACGGCTCGGGCAGGAACCGGGTAACAACGCCCTGATCGACATTCTGAAGCGCGAGATCGAAGTTTCCACCTGCCTTGCTGCCCGCCACGATCTTTGCCTTCCTGGCAGCTTCGGCGGCTTGGATTTCAGCCTGAATCTCGGGATGTGTTTGTTCGATGAAATTGAACCTGGGAAGCAAGCAACCGAGTTAGGAGGAATTGTCCTGGAGTAAGGACTGGCTTGGATCAAGGGATGCAATCTTGCGCAGTCTGTCAATTCGATTTGACGCACCATCTGGTCAGGTTGGCAAGAGTACCCTTCCGCAGGATTCCGACGGTAGCCTTGTTCGTCTTAAGGGTCTGCCAAATCTTCGTTTCAAGCTCGCTCAGCTTGTAGCCCTCAATGTACGTTCGCAAGGTCAAGTGTTTGTCGAGGGCGCGAAGGTGCGGTTCAATGGACCTGAAATCCCCCGCGAGAATCGTCGGCAAGGCTTGAAGCTCGTCGGGCGTCATGGTGGGCCAGTCGAGGGTGCGTGGAGGAAAGGAGATGGGGGTTGAAAGGGATCAGAAGGGGAAAAGGAGTGGTCACGAATGTCTCGTGCGTTGGCGCGGGGTGTTGTGTTGGTTAATGTCGGGAGTGACACGACTGATATTTTGTGGCGGGGTCGAAAACCCAATGGAGGGGTAAGTGCTGTGCTTTGCGTACCAGCCAGTCACTAGGTACCTAGCCTGCGGAACAGCCCACTTTGCCGATAAGAAATAAGATAACCACGATAAGCAGCTAGTAGCTCCTTCGTACCTTACCAAGGAGGTTACTAATAAACTGATATTAAACTCGGTGGCTGAGCTAAGGGTAGGTATAGGGCTAGTAGGGCGACTTATTAAGCTAAGGATAGGTGTAGGGGGTAGTTAGTGCTAGGTTATATAATATACGTGTATGCCTTAACTAATCTTTAGGTATTAATAGAGGGGTAAATAAGTAAGGGGTAGTATAGTAAAAGATAGTGATAAATTAAGGCGATAGGAAACGATTCGGAAACGATTCGGAAACGTTTCGAAAAGTTTAAATAATTTCTTTAGTATAGATCTCGACTCGGAAATACATCCTAATAGTGAGATTTAGTAAAGGGAGGACTTACTAGAGCCAGAAAGTTAAGAAGACGACTTTTATAACTTAAGATTTATTAAAAATAAGAATCTAAGACTATATCTTTATAGACTATATCCTAATCGTTAACCTCCTCTAGATATAATCTAAAGGAATTAAGTATAGCAGGTATATATATAATAAATCATACTTTATAGTATTCTTTACTAACTAAGATTAAATTCTATTAGATATATAAAACGACCTTATTCTTATTTCTATAGCCGCGTATACTAATAGAAGACTTACCCCGGGTACTCGAGCTATAAAAGTGTAAAAAATCCTATATATAGCTAGGATTTCTAAGATGCCTAAAAGCTGTGTTAGAGGTATAGCGATTATTATCCTATTAGATATTTTAAGTAACGAAGAGAAAAATACTCTATAGAAAGTAGTAGGTAATACCTTTTATCGCGTTATTTATTATTAGTACTAATATACTCTACTCTAGATTTAGTACGAAATAGCTTAAAAATATCCTACCTTATAAACTATAAGTGCTGCACTTAGAGACACACCGGTATAACGACATATATACACCTATTAAGGGGGGAAAGCTTATTAATATCTTCCTACTATAGACTTCTATCACGATCGCGTCTTTAGTTAGCTACTTAATTAGATTAGTTAACGAAGAGTATAAATAAAAGACCTTACTTTATAGAAAAAGGCCGTTAGGTAAGTTAGAAAGCGTATTAGAATACCTTTTAAAGCAGAACTAATAGAGTCTTAGATAAACGCAGGTAATATAATTAAGATTTAGTAAAAAGTCTACGTATTTTAAGCCGGAGGAAACTTATACGCTTATAGTAGATTCTAGCGGCTACCACGTTAGTATTACCTATAAGACCTAAGATTATTTTAAGGTATTTCTAATTAATTAAAGTATCTTACGGATTTCTAATAATATCGTGTACGGTGCTAGTCTTAGACCTTAGCGGATACGACGCGTCGTTATCTAGTTACTATTATTCCCTCGATTTTTTACCCTTATCTTAATCTTATTCGATAGACTCTTAATCCCACTTTACATGGTATTCTTATAAATCCCGATAAGATATACTATTTTTTCGTATCGAATCGTAGAAAACGCCGGATATATAGTACGTTAGCCTGGAAACGTTTCGGAAACGATTCTAAAGACCTATCCTGATATTTCTAAATAGACGAAGTGTATATCGTGGGCCCTAGCGAAATCCAAATACGATAATACGATATCTAGTTTAGATTTTTTATTCTATACGATTTTAATATAATACTATAGGTTATTATAACCTCCTATAGAATATACACCTATCTTCCCCTACCTCCTTTAAAGGCTCCCCCGTCTATTATTAATAGAATTACTCGAGTCCTCGCGAAAATTAAGAATCCGATAATTATATTAAATATATTCCTTAAATTAAGTGAACTAAAAGAGTTTATTACTAAGTATAAAAGGAAAATAATTATAGATATTTATATAAGTCTTACGAATACGGACTACCTTCGATATATTATTCGTAAATAATAGATTATTCCTTTCCCTTAAGGCGGTCGGAGTCTTACTTTAGCTCTAGAGCAGACTAAAAAGGCTAACTAACAGTTATACGTAAGATTCCGCTACTATCTTAAGATATATATATACTAATCTATATACTATATTCTAGTATATCTAGTACTTATACTAATCCGAGCGTAACTATATAGTAATCTGTTTTTTTTATAAGTAAGTAAAATAATAGACTTTTCCCGATATAAAGTCTTTTTTTATCGATACTAACTATAAACACGTTAATAGTGTAGAGTAAAAGGAAATTATTTAGGCCTAGTATAGTTAAAACTCAGAAAGAGATTAGTCCCCGAATTATTACTAAATCGTTTTGGAATCGTTTCTAAACCGTTTCTAATACCTTTTAGTGCTTCCTCTAGCTAAATACTATACTAACTCCGAGATAGCAGAGATATATCTTTATATATTCTACCAGGTTTTTAAGATCCTTGGGGATAAGTATAATATATACGTAAAGTGGAAATACCTTCACGGAACTAGACTTCTTAGGGTAACCTTAGATTAGGCTTTACTAGTAATCCAGGGGTTTAGTAGATACCTCTAGTAAAAATACCAGCTAAACGAATCCTAGGAAATATAAGTCTTTTATAGTCTACGTCTTTATATAGTTTATTTTAGGCATAGTATTAAGAGTATTCTAGGCGGTAATCTAGTAAGAGGAGAAGGCTTTACCTACCGGATTATAATAACTCTACTAGAATACCGGACACGGGAGGACTATAATAAGTTATATAACGCGATTAGCCGTGAGTTTTATCTTTAAATAATTCAGAAACGACTAGGAAATGTTTTAGAAACGATTCGGAAACTATTTAGGATACTTATATATCTTCTAGGGATAATACCGTAGTTCCGAGACTAGACTACTTATAAGCGCCTCCTATGTATCGCGATAGGCTTTTATTAAGCTACCTCGAATATCCCGTATAAGGATTAGAGACTTATTTCTGATAATTCGAATACGGTCGAGGTTATATATTAAGCCTTATACGCGTGGACTAGGCGAAATATTTATATCCTTAAGGTTATTAAGGGGTAAGTTTAATATAATCTCTCGTATACCTACCTTTTAACCTTACTAGATATCACGATTACGATTAGAATCTTATCTTAAGAGATTTTACGACGCGTTCGCTATAAATCCCCGGCTTATAGAGAAATACTAGTATTAGCGGTCGGCTTAAGAGTTAAATGAATCGGAATAGTAAGTTCTATTCTTTTCTACTATATAAGGGAAAAGTCCCTAACCTAAGAATATTATAGAAAGAAAATTTCTTTAGGTGGATACCGACTATAATAAGGCTATTCGTGATCGTTTACGTAGTCGTCCTTTAACTATTAGCCGATTAATTTCGAGATTACCTTTTAACCCTCCTAGCGATTTTAGGGGCTTTAATAATAATAGTATAGAATCAGATTCGCGAAGTTCTCTAGTAAGAAGCGTAAGGAGTATATCGTTAAGTGGAGTTCCTTTAAGACGCTCTCGAAGTTAACGCTAAAATACACGTAATCTTTACTAGCAGGCTACCCTTAGGCAGGTTTAGGCTTTATAAGCTTCCTTATCCTATAAGGAGAGAAATCTTACTATAGAGGAATACCATCGCGAAATAGAACGAAAAGATCGTGAATTATAAGCGTAAATTAAGAGGCAAAGGCTTAAAGATAAGCGGCGTTTCTAGCTAGAATTAAGGTGTATTAAGCTAGAGAGGGAATTATTACTTTATTCCGATAGTTAGAGGTAAATAGAAGGAAATTCTTTAGGTATCGTAATCGTGGTTTATATTCTTATAAGAACGTAAAATAAAAAAAGACCTATTATAAGTAAAAAACTCCTCTATATATACTAAATTATTATTACCGTCGCTATAAAAATAGAAGCTCGGCAGCTTAGAAACGTTTCCTAAATATTTCTAGGATATCTAGTTACTCCTTATTATTAGGAGTACAAGGACGGGCTCTATTAACCCGATAGTTATAAGGGGGGGGGCGGGCAGGAGCCGGGAATTCAAATATAAGAATTATTAGCTAAAGACGTCTAATTTATATAGGAGTTACTAACTTACTAGACACTATTTCCCTATCCGCTATATCTTTATAGCGATATTTAGCCTAGACCTTATAAAAGTGGTCGTAGTTAGAAGGAGGGTAGTCTAGAGAATATATCCTATTAGTTAAGTATAGTATTAGGGTAAGGAAAGATAATATACTACGGCCGATAGAGTTCTAGTCTGTATAAGCCTAGTAACGTTTATCGTTCTGCTAGCTAAAAACGTCTATTTTTATATAAACGATATCGGGCTAAGATTTCAGATATATTAATAATAGTCTCTAAATCGTTTCGGAATCGTTTCCTATATTTCTATTATTATCTTTTAGGATAACCCTAAGATATATATCCTTAGCCACTACTTTAGCCTTATAAGAGGTATTAAGCTATTTATTAATACTAAGGGCGAGGTTCTATATAGTCTTATAATATTAAGCGGTGCGAGAATCATTATAAGCGTTAAGAGAGCCCGACACGGAAGGAGTAGCTTAAGTATAGTAGGTATAGTAAATATATTTCTTAAAGGCACCTAATAACGAGAATTTAAAGCGCTAAACAGATACTATTAGCTAAAGCTTTTAAGCTATCTCGTAAATAATAAGCGACTTATATTAAAACAGAGCTCTCTATTTTCCTTTAGGTATCAGTAAAACAGCTCTCCCGCTACTATAATAACCTTACCTGTCTTAAGAGGACGTTAGTATAGGATAAGGTATTAGAATACTATATATACTTATACTATTAGTCTTAAACTCAGGAAGACTATTATAGCGTTAGCCACTATCCTCCTTAGCTATATACTATTAGTATATAGCCGTGCGTTTATAGTTCGAGGGTATCTTACTAAAGATAATAGACGTGGGTATTAGAGGGAATAAGGGTGGTTAGCGTCTAGATCAGAATCGTTTCCTAATCGTTTCCTAATCGTTTCCTAATTATTTCTAACGAATTTCGTTCAGAAACCTAGTTCGAGTAAGAAAATATACCTAATTATAATAGATAAACTAAAAAAAGTGATAGAGTTAATAGAAAAACTATTAAAAAATAGATATTATAATACTATAAAATCACTATATATAAAGATATAGAGTGGTGATAATAGGAAAAGGTCACGAAGACGTGTAGGCTACGAAAAAGAGGGGAAAAACACGTTAACCTGTTATAACGCGACTCGTGGCTATTAAGAAAACGTTTCCCTATTACCCGAGCTAATCAGAATTTACCCCACACCTATCCTCAGCTTAACAAGTCGCCCCACTAGCCCCACACCTACCCTTAGCTCAGCCACCGAGTTCAACATCAGTTTACATATAGTCTCCTTACCTAGGTAGGTACCTGAGTCTATTTGCGAAAAGATCGATACATAGGTACATACTGTACCTTATTAGGTACTGACCGAGTTATGGGTTCATTCCTCAAGCCTTAGTAGGTAAGGTTACCTTAGGTACGATTCGATATTAATACATTCCATAATGTATTATACCTTGGGTCTCACGAGGTACTTATTAATAAAGAAGTTATCCTCGCTACCTGGTATATTCGGCGCACACAAGAAGGCTTTGTGGGACATAAAAAAAAGCATAGAGTATGTACACCTTGCAGTATGGGGCAGGCCTTTGAAGTATTGCTACGCGCGCCACGCGCAATAGGCATTGAGAAGAAGAAAAGTAAAACCCAACTCCCCCACGGGCTGAGCCCTGATCTCTACCTTATGCTGCCCATATTTCCTCCGGCAATGTCTGTCGACATGCCTTTACGCAGGCCTGCCAAAGAATAGCTCACCCCTCAGTTCCACAGCTCCGGCCCGGGGAAGGGGTACTCGGTCAACCCGCTGTAGACGTTGATGTGCATTCCCGGCTCGGCGGGATCATAGAAGGTCGTCGGGGAAGTCCCCTCGGTCATCTTCCTAGTTCCGCCGTTGGTGACGTTGAGGTTGATGCACTGCGGGTACGCCTGGGCACCGTTGACGTCCCAGGCGCTGTGCAGGGCAATGATCTCATGTCGCAAGACGTAGGTGCCGGACTCGATCTCGGCGGGGATCTCGACGTCCCAGAGGAAGTCGTTCTTGATGAAGTCGTCGACGACCCAGGCCTCCAGCCAGTTGGTCTCCCAGGTGACGTTGGGCTTGAGGCCGGCCTGGGCGATCTTGACGAAGCGCAGGCTGGTCTTGTCGTCCGAGGCGCAGCCGTTGGCGGAGCAGGGCGCCAGGTAGTCGAAGATGGGGCCGACGTGGCTCTCGGGCCAGGTGAACCAGTGCAGCCTGATGGTCGAGCCGGCTTCTACCTGCACGTACTCCTGGCCGGGAACGGCCGACTTGTGGCAGATGATGTCGGGGTGGCCGAAGCTCTGCGGCTCCACGAAGCCGATGTCGGGGTTGTCGGCGGACCAGCCCGGGATGCTGGGCAACGGGTCCTGGTACCGGAAGCCCGGGTCCCATCCGAGGTACTGGGTGGAGGCGGAGGTGATGTATTGCACGAAGCCGTGGGCCGCGACTGTGGAGCTGAGGGCCAAAGCCGCGCCCGAAATCCGCAGGAGCTTGGTCATCTTGTCGTGGAGTGGTGCCTGATTGACTAATAAGGTACCTAGCTAGCTGCTGAAGTCCCCGGGGAAAATGGATGCGGGAAGAAGAGCCACGGACTTTATAGGAGTCCATGGCCCATTTCATCCCCTTCTCTGAGGCCGTTCGGGATACCAAGCATTGCCATCTTTGATCTCGACATGGACAAATCGAGCTACGGACGACAGCGCTCCCGAGTTGCCCATAAGAACCAGGTCTCCGTGACGCAATGGGCTGGATGCGACACCAAAATGGACACAAGTGCAAACGTCGGCGTCGTGATGTTGTCGAAAACTGGAGGACACAAGGTCCGTCCACAACTGCCGATAATCGAGCACGGGGCAAGTCAAAAGCGTTTAACCCGACTTGGACAGCGCCCCCGAGGAGCGGGAAAATGGCGCTGTAAAATCACGGCGACTGGCGGAAAATCAATCCTCGATAAAGTGTTAATATATTGTACACGTACCTGTAGGACGTCTTGGTGGAGGAGGAACGGGTCGAAGTGTGTGTGTCAACCATCTTGATTCTGCCTTCTTTCTGGGGAATGATTAAATGATCATCCGTGTGCATGTGACAGCAGAGCCTGCCAACTCGTTCCAAACGCCTTGCGTCCCTGAAGCGTTATTACGTTACGTTATCCACTCGATGCCAACCCCATTACCTACCTTGTCAGCGACTGACCGCAGCTCAAAGCCGAACCAGAGCCTACATTATGGGAAAGACGGAACCACCCACCGAGACTCATCCACCCCCCCTAAATTGGTACCAGGTAATTATACTGGGCTCCTCCACTCCTCAGGACCCAGCACCCAGTTGCTGTCATTCATGGCTCGCCATAGTAGGGCGCATGATATCTGACCTGCGCAAGGTGCATATATATCACAGAAGGTCGATGTTTCTCAGACCTTCCATGAGCACGGCCTGATGAGTGCGTAGGTTAAGTAGATAGAGGGCATCAGTGGACGGAGTGCCCTTTTGGAGACCTATGTTCGTATACCCTTTCGCCAGAGAAATATATGTCTCGATGTGTGGATGGAGGTGTTCTTCTCGATTCTACGACATTTTATAGCGCTGGTTATTTAGAATGTATAGTCTTTATAGTTGATAAGGCGCAGTGTCCGGTGCGTATACGTGTCAGGGGGTAGTGAGGACCGCGTAAGAGAACGTGGTCAGTGATTTGGTTTCGATCTGATTTCTGGCCCCAGGTGTATGTATAGGCGCTCTATACTCTCTTCATCACTCATGCCGAGGGCATATATGGGTCCTAATCAATCTCTCTCGCCGAGCTAGTTGCACTGAGAAGTTGCCCAGACGGTTAACAGGGCATTGAGGGATTTATTGCCTTCTCCGGGAAAGGGCATTCGTTTACCTGTCTAACATGTCTTGACATCGCTTCGTTATCATGTCCTGCGGGTTATGTGGGTATGCACCAGCCTCCCCAAAAAAGAAACCACGAGTTTTCCCCTTCTCGCCCCCCCCCAACGGCAAACGACGGGACCGGAACCTTTGTCCATGGGGTCGTAAATTCAAACTCCTGCGAGATCGCTTTAATTTCAACAGACGCTCCTTGTTTGCTTGCTTCCCAGCCCACCATCATCTCATCTTCGGTCCACTAGGGAGACCGCCTCCCCTATGCCCCCCCGTGCTCCAAGGCGCGTTCGCCCCGACGTAAGGCCTATCACCACCGCTGCCCGCCGCTCCTCCTCCCCCGGGGCCATACCCGCTAGACCCAGAGCTAGGTGGCTGAAAGGGACCTTGCGTCCCGGACCCCGGGCTCGTCGTCCTCGACCCCGAACCCCAAAGCCGCTGCTTCAGCCTATCCTGCGCCGACCCGCTGCCCGAAGGGTTCGTCGGCGGCGCCGTAGCCGTAGCCGTGTCTCGTCCATATATATCACCCCCCGAGCTAGCCCGGTCGAAGGGGCTCGGCCGCGACGCCGGAGACGCCGCAACCCGGCCGTGACGCAGGCTCTGCGAACCTGGCAATGGTCCTTGCTGCTGTTGTTGTGCTTGGGTCGGGTTCGAGTCCCACAGAGAGCTGAGCGAGGCGGACGGGTTCTGCTGGTGCGTGAGACCCCCGTAGCGGGATCCCACTTGTTGTTGTTGTTGTTGTTGTTGTTGCTGCTGCTGCGAGGCGACGGGGGCGGCGGGCGGCGGGGCTTTCGGGTCGGGGGGCAGCCAGGGCGGGAAGGGCCGGCCTTGCTCGGTGTAGTATTGCCTTAGCACGCGGCACACATGGGTGTCGTCTTCGGTGTCGCCGTCGTTTTCGCTCGCGAGGAGGCGGCTCTGGAGGCTGCTGATTTGGGAGGTGGTGTTGGTCAGGATCTTGCTGTACCACGACATCGTTTTGTCTTGCTCGCCCTCCAAGGGGCGTTTCTGCGGGGTCAGACAAGAATGATGTTCAGACGTTTGGGGGGGGGATCAGCTGAGTGGTTTGTAGTCGTATAAGGCGTAGTAACGTATTGGTATGATTGATTGTGTAATGGGTAGCGTAGTGTGGAGGAAACTTTGGTTTTAGAAGTTGAGATGCAAGCAAAGAAGGGCGAGGGGTTGTGGGCAAGATGATTATCGGTGTTTCAGTGTTCATTAAGGCGCAAGCGGTACGTACTCCTTAGCGTATCCGCAGCTACCAAGGTACGTATTTACCTGACGTCCCTTAGCAGGCAACGGAGAACGAACGTCATGATGGATGGACACCACGCCGACAACCAGATTATTTCCTGAATGAAAGACGTAAAGGCAGGCAAGTTAAACTCGTATTCAGTCGAAGAAGTTCAGGCGCGCCTTTTGCGACTCGTTTTACGATCCCTCAGTGGCTTCTTCCACCGGCGTCTGGAGGCACATGGAAACCTCAGAGGCATGAAGACGTCCCTATAGCATCGCACCACTAACACCAAAGGAGTGTACATGGCTGAACGAACATTGACAACCCGAAAGCCCAGAGACAAATCATTCGTTACGGGTATAATTTGCAAGGCCAACGAAGAAGGAAAAAGAAAGAAAAGAGAAAAGAAAAAAAAAAGATTTGCAATGCCCTCCCACTTTTGTTACGCCAGGTGTATAACGAGTTCCTAACATAATTCGGAATACCACCTCTTACCAGGTCAACTCCTGGGCAATCTTGGGCCGCTCGAGTGCCTTCTGCTTGGCTCGCTTGTTGTTCATCTTGATAGCCTTGCCACGCTTGCGCTTGTCTCCCGCCTTGCGCTTGGCGTCCTCCTCGTCCTCGTCCTCGTCCTCTTCGTCCTCGTCATCATCATCGTGCTCCTCGTCGCTGCCAAGCCAGTCCTCAATGTCCTCAAGTCCCTCGTCCTCGCTCTCCTCAAAGTCGGACACGTACTCAACCTCCTTCTCAAAGTCGTCCTCGGACTCGGCCTCGCTGTCCCTCTCGTCTTCCTCCTCCTCCTCCGACTCGATGCCAGGGTCCATGTCCTTGTCCCGCTTGGCCTGGCCCTCCTTCTCCATGGCGCCCAGGACGCGCTTCCAGATGGACTCGCTGACGTTGAGCGGCTGGTCGCCGTAGGCGCCGGACCGTAACCGCTCCACGAGCTCCCGCTCAATGGTGCGCTCCAGCCGGGCCGCCGCCTCGGCCTTGCGCTCCCTCGCCTCCTCCCGGTTCCGCACCTTGTTCGGCAGCTTGGGCACCAGCTTCTCGCCCAGCCGCGCCTCCTCGGACGCGATCTTGCGCATGCGGATGTTGACCTGCGTCAGGCGCGTGAGGCGCTGCTTGCACTTGTGGACCATGAACTTGGGCCAGTAGATCAGGCGCTCGTCGATCATCTCCAGCGCCTTGGCGTAGTTCCGCGGCAGCTTGATCTTCTCCCAGAGCCGCGACGGCATGTGCGCACGCTCGATCGTCTTCATGTACAGGTAGAGAGTGTCCTTGGTCGGATGTCTCCTGACGGTGGCATACCGGGAATTGGCAAGCGGGCAGGATTGCCTGTTGCAGAAGCCAGTGACGTTCATCTCATTGCGGCAGAATGTCTGTTTCTTGTCCGTGCTAAGGCATTGTGTCAGCAAAGAAATAGGTGGCTGGCAACCCAGGACGAGACGATCAAAACTTACTGGATCTTGAAGGCACAGAACTGGTTGTTTATAATCTCCCAAATCACGCTGTCGCTCGCCATGGTGGTGGTATTTGAGGCGTATGAAAGATTAAAGAGGAGAAGAGTAAAAAGAGAGAGCAAAGAGGGTTTCGTATATGTATACTGGAACAGGAACAAATCTGCCGCTGTCAAACTGTTAGAATGTTTAATTGTGAGAAATGAATTATTTTGTTGCCCACCTCGACAGTACGGAGTAGAGTAGGTAGAGGTGCCAGAGATTTTTCTCGCTGGAGGCTGGACTGAACGGGCCAAGCAAGTAATTAGGTACTAGAAATTTTCGAGAGCTCACAAGACAGTGTCAAAATGATTGCTTGGAGATAAGATAAGGATAAGATACAGGATAAGATAGAGGCGAAGCGGACCAACCATCCAATGAAGACGACCAGAGGCTGGAGCTCTCCACAAATACAAAGGTACCTATGATGTGCTTCACCAACATCGAGTGTCCACGAGTTTCATCCTCGTCCAAGTTAATGCTGTTTATATAATATATTTTCTTCCTTTTTTCTTCTCCTTTTTTCAAGCGATTGGGCTGCGAACCGCGGTCAATGCTGTCCTCCCGTTGCTGGACGCTGAGTCTCGGCCGGATCGGGAACACCTCTCAGCAGGCATGGCGATCTATGAGCATCGCATCAAACTCTATACCCGGAGTATCTTCGAATTCTAGACAAACTAGACGGGTTGCTTCAAAGACGACGGCAACATGGGCAGTTCGTTTTCTAGTAGGAACATTAAGAGGAACACGGGCTGCACCATCGTCAACATATTCTCTGCGGAACTATAGACGCAATTATTCAACGCTCCCGGCCAAGCAGAGCTTCGCCGAGGACACTATATATGCTTTATCTACGGCCCAGGGACGGGCTGGCATCGCCATAATCCGTATTTCAGGTCCAGCTTGCCTCGACGTAGGTTTTGCCCAACTGCTAACTCATTGTCAAAGACATACCTCACACTCTTTAACTTAGATCTATCGGAGCCTCTGCCCATCCAAGGCGCCGCTCAAGCCCCGTTATGCCACTCTTCGGACTCTCATCGACAGTCATGCGCAAGACGGCCCGAATGTCCTCGATTCTGACGCCATCGTGCTCTACTTTCCGGCCCCGAAGACCGTGACGGGCGAAGATGTACTGGAACTGCACGTCCACGGCGGCCCAGCCACCATCAAGGCCGTACTAGCCGCCATCCCCAAGTGCGCCGAGGGCGTCCGCTACGCCGAACCGGGCGAATTCACCCGCCGCGCCTTCCTCAACGACCGCCTCGACCTAGCCCAGGTCGAGAGCCTGGCCGACACCCTCTCCGCCGACACGGAGCAGCAACGCCGCGCCGCCGTCCGCGGCACCTCGGGCGCCCTGGGCCGCACCTACGAGTCGTGGCGCGCCCAACTACTGCTGGCGCGCGGCGAGATCGAGGCCCTGATCGACTTCTCCGAAGACCAGCACTTCGACGAGCCCCCCGCCGAGCTCCTCCGGAACGTCACCGCCCTCGTGGACGGCATGCTGCGCGGCATCCGCCACCACGAGGCCGCCAGCGCGCGCGGGGAGCTGCTGCGCGGCGGCATCCGCATCGCCCTCGTGGGCCCGCCCAACGTGGGGAAGAGCTCGCTCATGAACCTCGTCGTCGGGCGCGAGGCGTCCATCGTCTCCGTCGAGGCGGGCACCACGCGCGATATCGTCGAGGTGAGCCTCGACATTCGCGGGTACCTGTGCTCCTTCGCCGACACGGCCGGGTTCAGGGGCGGGTCGTCATCCTCATCCGGATCGGGCGCCGCCGAGCCGATCGGTATCGTTGAGGAAGAGGGCATCCGTCGCGCGAAGCAGAAGGCGCTCGAATCCGACCTTGTCGTCGTGCTGGCCGCCGTCGAGCCGACTGTCGAAGGCGGGTTCGGCATCGCGTACGACGAAGAGACACTGGAAATTGCGGCGCAGGCGCCGGAGTCCCTTTTGGTGGTCAACAAGCGGGACGCCGTGGATGAGACGACGTTCTTTGCCCTTCTTGAGAAGTTCCGTGCCGTCGTACGTGCTCGAGCGCCGGCGCTGGAGAAGACCGAAGTGATGGCCATATCGTGCAAAGAGGCCCAGGCCGGCTCGTCGGTGGACAGTGGCGGCGTGCACGCGTTGACCGACGAACTGGCAGGCTCGTTTGCCGGCATGACGTCCATGCCTGCCGACATGCAAGATCTTCTGGGTGTCACCGAAAGGCAAAGGCAACTGCTGGAGCAATGCCGGAACTGGCTCGAGGAGTATCGCAGGGTGACGCAGCCATCGGACCAAGCAGAGGAGGAGCCGGACATTGTACTTGCGGCGGAGTACCTGAGATATGCTGCCGACTGTCTCGCCAAGATCACGGGCCGAGGAGAGTCTGGTGATGTTGAGGAGGTACTAGGAGTTATATTCGAAAAGTAAGTCTCAACCCCCTTCCTTTTCTTTTTCTTTTCTTTTCTTTATTTTTTCTCCCGGATTTTGGGACCTGACGGATCAACAATTTGCAGATTTTGCGTGGGAAAATAAAATTAAAAAAAGAATAAAGAATATGTAAGATATAATGGAAATCTATAATTCTATGAGGAATTAGATTCTGTGAACCGGGGACGGTGGCGTCCTCACAGATCTAGCTCTACATGTCTATCTATGCTCCTGCGCCACCCATGCTTCGACCGCCTCATGAAAGTGCAAGCAAACGCCGAGTTTTGCGCCCAAGAGAAGACAGAACTCCGCCGTTTCGCGCCGTTGCTTATCCCCTCCATCCATGCAAAGGCAAGAGCTCAAAAACCAAACGTAATCCAGGCGTTGAACAATAGAAAGAAGACAACATGAGAAAGGGAGTGGAGGAAAAACTTTTTTGGCGTCTGGACAGTCTTGGTGTCCTGGTAGTCTTTGGCCTCTCCTCCTGGGAGCGTGGGAGGAAATGCTGCAGGACGCTAAGACGGCTCTCCCTCGGGGAGACCAGCAGACTGAGGAGATGCGACATCGTGTGGGTGTATAAGTCGAGAGGCGGCAAGGGAGGGAAAAGGAGATGCCGTTCTGAGTTGAGAAGCGGGTGAAGGGGGGCAGAGGAGGTCCTGAGGTGCCTCAATGCCGTGACATGTATCGAGGGTTCAGATGTTCATTCGTCGTCATCGTCGCCGTCGCCCTTGTTATAGCCAGAGCGGCCTCGGTTCTGACGTTCATCGTCGTCTCCGTCTCGGTTATAGCCGCTACGTCCATAGACGGCCACTGTGGGAGCAGACTTAAAAGCGAATGCAGCCATTGTGTCTGAAGTAGGGAGATATATGGGATTCGATGTGTGGAGTTGGATTGTTAAGCCTTTGGTCTAACTGGGAGAGGAGCAGATGGGTAATATGTCTTCAGTCGTTGCTTGGGAAGAGTGAAGGAAGATGAAATTCCGTAAAGGCTTTGATGATGGGGTGAAGGTATGATGGTTGTCGTGTGTGTGTGTGTGTGTGTGTGTGTGTGTGTGTGTGCGTGTGTGAGAGAGAGAGAGAGTGAGGATATATTCTGAGGAGCGGTAGGAGAAGCTTAAGACTTGAAGCTGAGTGAAGGCTGTGATGTTGTTGGTGATAGGGATATCTTTTCTCGTCTGGAGGGGGCCATCTCGGGATATTATATAGACGAGATGGATGATCAAGCATCTTCTCTGACGACCTGGACCCTTGATGTACGGTATGTACCTCATCCGTGAAGTCATCGCCTCGCGTCTAGGAAATAGGGCCGGGGACATTGATCGGGAGGAAGAGGTTCTGGCCCCCGCGGCCACGGCCACGGTCACAACACGGTAGATCCCGAGCGCGAGACGTCATGGCAAGGATGCCACGAGCCAGGCAGAGAAGTCCTATCGGTAGCGAGCGGTCAAGATGCTAAGCCCTGTACTCTGGAGTGGTGGCTCCTGCTCACCCAACCTAGAATCCGCGGATGCGGGTCGTCCGGTTGGATTTCGAAGAGCCCCAAAATGGAACATGGGGCCCAGGCCCTTGGGAAGGGTAGGGGGTCGGTCCCTGAAAGGGTAACACACCCGCGCCATGGTACGGCAGGCGGCCTGCGGTCTGCGGTCGGTAAGGATGGAAAAGGGGGGGCTCGGGATTACGGCTACTCGAGCGGGATGACAGGGAGCAGGGGTTTGAAATGCCGTGAGGAAGTTGACTAAGGGTTGACTCCCTCGAAGCTAATAAGCAGAGTCCTGAGAAATGTGAGGAATCCCAGAGGGTGCAGGTTGACGGACAGGCATGGTGTGAGATTCGACTGGTCCGCTGCAGATGAGAAGGGTGAGGCCAAGACCAGCAGGTAGGCAGAAGGAACAGAAAGAACCCAATCACTAATCGCAGGGCATAGGGCTGAATGAAGGTGAGAAGTCGAGTCATGGGTAATTTAGGTGGCAACAGACAAGGGAAGGGGAAGGACAACGTCTAGTCGCACCATGATAGGCGGTGCAGAGACCAGGATGCGAAAGTGCTAAATACGGACAAGGTGCTCTAAACGCGTTTCCGTAGTATGACGTCGGATAAGACCAAAGAGAAAAACTTATCAGAAAAGAAGCCGAAAATAATAACTATACTTAGTAGATGGTGTCGTAGGCAGCAATGAGCCAAGAAAGAAAAGAAAAGAAGAAGAAAAAAGGGACCCCAAGGACATGGCCACATGAGATGTTTCCTTTTCGGTTGTTTGTAAGGTTTGCCACAGATCTACAACTTCGTGACAAGTCAGATGTTCGGTGTTGCAGCAGACGTTGGTACGTTGTGTAAGCTTGCGATCTATGCTTACTTCAGCGGGCTTCGACAATGCCGAATTTAGAGGAAGTCGAAGGAAAAGCATAGGCTGATAAATGTCGCATACAATAGGTAGGTAATAACCCGGGATTTGCGCCATTGGATTCGGGATTTGAGATGACTGAATTGATGCATTTGTCTGGAAAACTTTGGAAAGAGTGACAAAGAGAAACAAAGGGAAGGGCGAAGAGTACCTACGGTAAGGTACCTTAGGTAGGTATGTAATTACTGATAAATCCGGAGCCTGCCATAAGGTACCGGTACCTAGGTAGTCGCGAGTGCACGGCCGAAGCTTAGTCGCGAGGTACGGCCGAAACCACGGAATGGAGGTAACTAAATCCGAACCCACTCACTTGAAGTCCTGCCAGATACAGATGGATTTACCGGTATTCGTTGCACACAAGAGGTCGAGTTTATTCTCGGTGCCTGGATGGGAATTCATTACCCAAGACGAGCATCAAGGACGTCACGCGACAAACTGCAGATCGGTGGGATACCGAGTCGGCCGGTGACACGAAGAGTCAGATCCACACCTTGATCGAGGCACCGATCCTCGTCCGAGACAACTCTGGACGTACACTACATTACAACGTATGTACTCTGAAGATGGCGCACCAGATGACTGCAAGTTGTCTATTTTCTTTTCTTCCCAGTCTCTACGTTCTCGGTCTTCGCCGTCACATGATGACAATAGGCACCGCATCAACGTTGGCTCGATGCATCTACGAGGGAGGAGATGCGCTGCTGTTGACCGCCTCAATTCGATGACGGACTCGCATTAGATCAGCCAAGGAGGCGGTACATTGGAAATCCCCGGAAGACCGGAGGCCTGGTGAAGATGTTCTTCGTCATTGCGGTGGCAGTTAACGGGGACACTCCAATAACGAGGGGAATACCCAACCAGTGGGGATCTCAAACAAGGCGCAGCCAAGGGAAAGTGATGGTACTTCGTAAGCGCTTGGCAGAATCCCAGTCAGAACAGCCCAATCCGCTGGCGAGGGGAAAATAGGTAGATTGTTTGGATTCATGATGGATGGTGATGGTGGTAGGTATGGTAATAGTGGCATGCCATGCACGGCTTCATCCGCGTACTTGGGACGGAAGGGTCCATTGTCCATTTCCAGGCCAAGTACAAGTACACTTACTCTGGTCATACATAGGTGAATAATAGCGGTCTACTTTACACGTGTAGATGCAGACGGCATACAAGTGAAGAGATGGAAAAAGCCCGGTTCGTCCATTGGATTGGATCGACGTCAAAATCCCCCCTCCCCTTGTCGGTGGGTCCACCAACGACCTCTTTGCCATTTCAGGAGAGGTTCCACCTCGGCAAGGGGGATATGGCGTCTAACAATAGGAACTCTCGAGAGTCGCGACGCCATTGGCCAGGGAAGCATCGCGACTAATTTGGGTAGTACCAAACATTAAGTACCTTACCTTACTTACACTACAACGTACTGTAATCTTAAGGTACACGTTATCAAGTATTTCTCGTCAATATTCGGCGTAAAAAGCATGGGAGCGACTTGCTGTTAAGTACCTACCTGATCTGAACAGCTATCCGTCATAGCTGACAAGAACCCTGTAATGGCACTGCAACGGTCATCACAGGACCTTTTTATTTATTTATTTTTTATTGTCGTTTGTCCGGCTCCATCCGTCTCCATGACTTCTATTCTCCGTTCTGTTTTACGAGCAATCGCCTCACCAGCAGATTCAGGAACCAAACTTGACACTCGTAACATCCGCAGCATCCGTCCCCTGAGTCACACGTTGACGCTCCAAACAGAACGCCATCTTCGCATCCATCCGTTCCGTCCCCCTTCTCTGCATCCACAATATATTTCCGGGTGGTAGTTTATCGACGCCCACTTCACGAACTACCTTAGTATAGAACGAACCGAACCATGAGGCCCTGGCCCCCAATCCCATCTTAGTGTTTCTTCGAAACGTGAGGAGGGCCTTCCAGAAGGCTTCGGTACTGCTCGCCACATGGAATTCCTGTGGATCGACCCCTGGTAGGATTCGCCAAGCCACACCGATCAGATCCCTTCCCAACCAAGTTTCATCCTGGTACACGTGTACTGCCATGAGTACGCGTACAAAGTACAACGCAACAGAGAACGGACGATTTCGTTCGTACGACCCATGTTGGTCGACTCTAGCTCTGATTTGCGTCGTTTTGATTAGACCGGCTTCCGCCGTCCGCGCGTCTACGACGACATCTAACTAGGGAGTTTACCGCGATCACCGGCCCACACGCATCTGTATCGCCCGCCCTCATGTTGAACGCTTTTGGAGCATCAGGATTCCGCCACAACCTATTTCAGGTGAAAAAGCCCCGAGCCCTTTTTTGTCCGTCTCTGGTTGAATCACTTGGGAGGATTCGCATCGCAATCGCCCCGGATGCCCTTGTCGACTTCTTTCTTTACGTCTTTCGTGGGAGTGTCTTCGTTCCCGCACAACTTTGATGAGATTGAGGTCCGAGTGTGTCGTGCGTTGAATGCCCCCCATGCGGCTTATCCACCACGTGGAAGTGCGACGGTATCAGCGAGACAGTGCTGCATTTCCCCGGGAGGGAAGAGGAAGCTCCCCAACTCCTAATGGGTTCCCTCCTCATTTCATCGATCGTCCAACCCCATCGTGCAGTTTACTGGCAATCATTCTAAGCCCAGACCCCGGTCATCTCACCCGCTGCATTAGCGTCACTTCTCTCTGCTTCAACCCCTTGGCACTTCATCACATCGGCCTCAAACTGGCACCTTACTGTACACGTACAGGCGGAAGCCCACAAGACCCTGAGTGTTCCCGATAACCTGCCTCCGTTCCATCTTCCTCACCTCACAGCGGTCCTAAAGAGGATCTTCTTCTCACCCCTGGCCCGGCCGAGTTTTCGGATGCCTACCTCTGCTGATAGCTATTGGTTCAGTGGAAGTCTCCGTACTGCCCCCAACCCACGTGAGCACTAATGCTGCTGTCGACAATACGCGGGTAGTATCCGTAATCTTATTGTCATCACTGTGAACCGGGGTATAGGCAGCAGCAGTGCTTGCAGGCAGGCAAACCCTCCTCCCCAGAACAATACGCAGAGATTTAGATTTCTGCAGGGCCCTCCAGGCTTCTAGGTTTCTAGGCTTCCATTCCGAAGTCAAGGGTCTGGGAAGCACCCCCCTTTTCACCGGTTAAGGGCGCTGGAGCCCATTGAGACAGTTTCGCTCCTCGTGTCGGCGCAATCTTGTCAGCCTCAAGTTCTGCTTGTTTTGATGGCTTTGCGTCTAGCGAAAACTCCGTTCATCGGTTCTTGACTATGTGGACTTCAGCTGTGTCTAGGCAATTGCCCAACGACTTCTCTAAGGTTTTCTTCCACTTTTTGGTGTTCATGGGGACGAGTAAGCAGTCAGTCTTCAAAAGGGGTTGAAGAAAGGAGCCGCCCGTAAGCAGAGACATGGTTCCCCTGACGCCGCGGCTTCTTGCATAAGGTAGCATGGGGCCTAGCAAGGGAACGCAAACTTCTCTGCAAGTTGCCCTTAGTCCTACGCTCGAATGAACCCGATTACGGCCTCAGACTCCGAAACGAGTGTCACTGGTAGGGTTACGACTACGCACACGGCCGAAATACCAGTGACGCCAGGGAAACCCCAGTCGTCCTCGATACGCGGTTAAGACCTTTTATAGATGCACCAGGATACACAGACAACGCCACAGCCAGGCTTCACCTGCTACAGGCTCTGTAGTGCGACCCATACGCCAATTCAGACGTAGGGGCAAGACCTGCGCAACAGCAGTCACAAATTCAGGGGCAGAGACACACTCACCAAGAACTTGAATGAGGCCCCAACCTAGACAAGGGGAACATATGATGGCACTCGGGGGCCCTCTCCGCTCTCGGCTGACGGCTTCAGATCCTCAGGGTTTGCACCACACCCGGCGCTCCCAAACGGCCGGGCCACAGGGCCCATGCTGTGCAGTGCAGGCCTACCTTCCCAGATCCCCAAGGGGGACCTGGTTCGGCGCGATCGAGCCGAGAGCAGCCCTACCTCGGTCAGATACAGCCGAGTGCTATGTACCTGAATGTACAGGGGTTTTCCTGGAAACTCGTACCTTTTCCGCGTATTTCTCGCTGTCATTCATGCTTTGTGCAGTTTCCGGGGCCGCCTCATCGGGCCAAACCACGTCCATTGGGTGTGCCCGGGACCGTTCTTTTCATTCGGATTGCTTCACGTGTTATGAGTGTAGACGCACCAGCGAAACACCAGTTTCCTTTTCACATACATGCCCAAGTTGTTATTCTCCTGGTATAGCCACATATATCAGAAGCGTTTCCCGTCGACCTCCCAGTAACCTTCCGTCACTCATCCAGGGAGTAGCGATATCTGAAAGGGCGGCACAGCCCTAGAAGCTCCACCTACGCATTCCTCAAAAGCTCTAGAGGTCAACGGCGCCCACGGGTAACCCCCTATTACAACTACAACTAAGACTCAGGAACATCATTCATCATGAAATGTGCGTCAAATCATTCGGTCACCTATTTCCGGTGACATGGTCTATGTCCAGGCTTCCCATGCCAGCAATGTGAAATGTGTATACGCCCAGAGATTGGCTCTCTTGCTGAAGCCCCTTTCTCATCCAAACCCCGTTTTACAGCTCATCTCTAACGTGTCCTGCTTCGCCAAGGTCATCCATGGCCATGATCGAGACGACAAGACTGGTCCAGCCAGTGAAGTGCTGCGTCCTCTGGCCTTTGCCGTTCTCGGGGTTGTACTGCTCCCAGGCAAAGCCAGTCTCCTGCCAATTCTTGAATACGTTGTCCACGACATTCTTGCGGAGGCGGGTGTATAGGTCCTTGGCTCGGTCCTGGAAGGGGCCTTCTTGGGTGGCGACGTTCTGCGGATAATGTATTAGAATCCAACCTCGTCCCGCGCAGAGAAGGGTGTTACTTATACAATACGTACCTTGAGTTGAACGATGACCATGTAGTTGATGTTGATCCAGATCGGACTCTTCCAGTAATTCTCCCCAGTTCCGTAGAGCTCGTGCTTCTTGCTCAGGCTTCTAATTCCGTAGGGGCTGAATAGTTCTTTCTCATCGCCGATGAGATCCAACAGCCTGCCCAGTTTAGGATCATCGGGCTGCAGAAGGCCGACGAGGAACGGGAACAGAGAGATATAGCCCCTATGGCACACCAGGGCGTGTTCCTCGAATTCGTCGATGGTTGCATCGCAGTAGCAGCCTTCGTCCTCGGACCAATGCAGGTCGTTGAGATTGTGTTGAATGGCAGTCAGAATCTTCTCGTACTCCGCTGCCTCATCTGTGAGGCCAAGAGCACCGGCAATGTTCATGAGCGACTTGGCCATCAAACCCACCCAGGACATCAAGTCAACGTGCAGCTCGCCGGGATGAGGAGGCAGCGGACGGGGATAGTCATCCAGGCCGCTGGTCAGGAGGTGGCTTTCGGTCCGGCCGCGCCATCGGTAAGCCTCCTTGCTCGAGAATGCTTCACGGTCATAACCCTTGACCTCACCGCGCTGCGTATCTCTAAACCAGAAGAACTGGCGTCGAAGCAGTGGGTACAGATGGCGCAGGTACGATTCGCCGAGCTCGACATTATCGAGAAGAGCAGTTCGCAAGTTCCCCGCTGTCAAGGGCTCCTCTTTTGCCACTGGCTGTGTCCCATTTGCCCTGCGCACGCGTTCCATGAAACTCTCGATGATGAGGAAAAGGGTGGGCGGATTAGCGTAGTGAGGGTACTGAACCTGAAATTCCTCCGGAACCCTGCTTCGGGCTTCGTGTCCAAGGATCATTTCCCGGCCAATCCAGCCATCCTCATCCATGAGATTGTACCAGCTACTGACAATATCAAGCGTCAGATCTATGTCCCACTCGGCGATGGGGACCAAATGGAAGCCCTCATCCCAGAGAAAACCACGGGGAAAGAATGGGCGAGAAGGGACACTGGTGTAAAGTTCGAATGGACCTTCGGTGACCGGGCGGTTGCTGGCTCTGGCGGCCGCGGCCTCCTCCCAGAAACCTTCATTCTCCTCCTCGTATTCGGGGGCATTGGACCGGTCAACCAGATGGTCGCCATAGAAGTATCCGATGCCGCCCATCAGGTTGGAGAGCATGGTCTTGCCGAATGTTTGATATTTCTCGGCAGTAAAGGGAGCTTTCAAATCGAAGATGGAAGAGAACCTGCTGCCGAAGAATTCGCTGTTGGTTTTGATCTCACGAGTCACATCCGCGCTCGTCAATTCGGACCCAGCAGAGGCAGATGAGAAGATGAAGTCAAACTCGAAAGCGCCCTCGAACATTTTCTGCACAATGTGCACATTGCCCTTTCCTGGGCTATTTTCCAGCTGGTATGTGACCCAGGGAGGGAGAGGTTTTTCCAACTCGTAGTCAGTCTGCAGCGCTTTGACCGAATCTTGAATCTGCCGGTACACGACGCCGCGTGCCTGCCAGATTAGTTCCGGAGGAAAGTTGAGGGATCGGACTGTTGTCAAGGCACCGTTCCTAGTCTTCGCGAGAGGGTGATCGTTAGGTGGGCGGCCGCCCTCGCCACGGGTGACGACAAGCTTGTAATTGCCTAGCTTGTCCGATCGACCTTGAAAAGTGACATCGCCCTCGAAGCCAGGCCCGCTAGCTTTCTCGTTGACGAATAGCTCAGAATCAGGCTCTTCTTGAGCAATGTAGTAATGGACCATGGTCTTTAAGTCGGCAGAAGCACCCTCTCTGGGAACGCCTTTGATTCTTGCTGCCCAGCTGCCGCCATGAGCACCAGCAGGGACCTTGACGAACGAGGTAGTGATGTCAATCTGGTTGTTTTCGTCGTGGATCGACTGAATTCCGCCTCGTCGGGCATCATATTCGTCCCATCCGTAGCCGTCAATTTCGTGCTGCTCGCAGGTGTACCGGAAGCCTGGGAGAGGAAATGTCAGCCATGACCAAGGTGGGTTGCCTAGGAATAACAACCAACAGAAGAGACCGACCTTTTTGAACATCCTGGTAGTCATCAACCTTGGACCACATCAATCCGGTCCAAAGAGCCTTAGGGATGCGGGGCTGAACACCAAAGTACAAGTTCGGCTTGTAAGGACCCCAGAAAAGACTCTCATTGTTCAGGCGCGCAATTTCGCTGTTCAAGATGGAGGCCGGCCCAGGTCCTGCCTCAGAAGCATCCCAATCCAGCTCAGCACCATCAGCAGTCCCCGCTGCCAGGGAAAGGTGCAGTCCATTGATGTGGAGGAGGATGAAAGCCAGGAAAGCGGCCAACCGTCGCCTTTGGGCCATGTTCACGGCTGCGCAGGAAATCAAATAGGCAACATGTGAGCTCTTTAGTTGTGTGCGTAAACCCAAGAATCTTCACAGACTCAGGTTTTGGTTGTACGCGTTAAGGTGTTGGGAATTGATAGAGCTCAAGATTGGGGGAACACGTTCAGCAAGAGCTCCAAGGAAGGAAGGCACGAGGCTAGAAGGTGGTATGTGACCAAGGTACCTAGGGCAAGGCTGACCAATCAAGTTCCAGTTTGAGAGCTGAGCTCATCGTAAGGCGAGGGCCTAGGTACCTTAGTGGAATCCAAGCTTATCGATAAGACTATCCCTGATTCCTTTAATTCTGAGGTCGTTTTTGGTGTGAGACTACCAAGCTCGGGCCCCCAGGACTCGATGCAGCATAATGCGAGAGATCCTAGTAGCCTCGTCGCATCGCGTGAACACAGTCCAGATCGCAACACATCGATCAGGAAGACATTCGCCCAATTTTCGCCGACGGATCCTATCACTCTGCACATACTGCATATTTCTTGCAAGCCGGGTTCCGTTTTATTCCTTTAACGAAAGACGCTGCGCTGCCATCCTGGAGCAGCAAAACACGTACACCGACTTCTGCGATATGACCAGATAATTTCGTGATAGCTGTGCTGGACGAAGATGCTGTTGGGCATACACCTATCCTAGGATGAGCTCGGATCCCCTGCTTCCCATTGCCCCCGCCAGGGTTAGGGCATTGGCTTTGCCCGTCGGCCGCATCAAGACCGAGCGCTTCGCATCTTTCGTCGAACGGCTTCGAGAAGAACATGTTGTCTACTTACGCGATGTCAGCCCGGACGGGCGTCCGAATAGAAGTCTGCCTTCTCCCTGGACCTTCCCCTATGTGATAAAGATGATAGGACCCTGGGCTGATTATTCCGACCTGCAGACATGTTTTCACCCTTGGCCTTCCCGGACGGTGCCATGTTCTACGACGTTGTCACCCACCTACCGCCCCCCTCACACCTCGCCTTGTCACCCTTCGACCTATACCGAGAGCCCCTTGCAGTTATCGCGATAGCAGACGGCGCTGAACTCGATCGGGGCGTCTTCAACAAGCGCAACTCGCCTATGGCGCCGACCACTTTCGAACAAAATATTCGGGCGCTGTATCAAGACCTTGAAGACCTCCGCGATGGCTACGCGAAGGCGCTGGTTCATAATGTCGTTATATTCGATTATATGCCCTCCACCGAGCAGCCGCTACCCCTGCCGGAAGGCATCATGACTATTCCGCCGCCGGAACACTGCAAACGGACGACCATGAAAACCGTCATGTGCGACGTGTCGTCCCTTCTATTGGCGGAAATGACGACGCTGGCCAAATCCTTCGAGGCCATGACCGTGATCGAGTCCCCAGGCTATGCCTCGTCTGCTAGGCCCACGAATGGTTCGGCATGGGGGGGGGATGAATCTGCCTCGGCCATGAGACGGAATTCCCAATATTCCCTGCCGTCCAATCCACAGCGATCGAACTCCACAAGCGGCTTGCCCGATCGAAGCCAGGCTCGCATGTCCATGCCCCCAGTCCCCTCCAAAGGGTCCCCGTTGCCGTCGAGCAGCTCGACGCCCCTTCGTCCCTCTACCCCCGTCCGAAGCGGGCTATCTAACCCACCGACGACTTTCGACGAGATATCGGGCGGTAGTTTCAGCAATCCCCCGAGTCCCGAGCAGAAGGGCGGTCCGCGCCCGGGATCTGGTGAATACGCCGGTAAAGCAGCGATTCAGGACAGGGTCTCAGTTCAAGGCTTTGGGCCTGGTGGGTTGAATGAACGCTGGAGGAACAAGGGCCGGGGAAGAGTCCTTGTCATTCTGGGTTCGCTCTACCTCCAGGCTGGTCGTTGGAGCGACGCATTGAAAGAACTCTCAGACGGTGCCACCGTTGCGAGATCAATAAACGACCATATTTGGCATGGCAAAGCTCTGGAGCTGATCGTGGTCAGCTTGTTACTTCTGGGATGGGCGAAAATCGAGTTCCAAATCCCAACAGTCTGTCTGCCCCAAGACAAAGCTAGCACGGCGATCCTGGCGGCGCAGGAAGCTGCTGTGCCCGAGGATCCATTGCAGCCGAAGCACCTGCGGCGCCTACAGCTTGCTTTGCCTGACCTCCTGGACCGCATCGTTGGCCTGTACTCGCGACTTACTGCTGAGCACCTACCCCCCCTCCCCATGGCAGAAGTCACTATTCGATGTTGCAAGCTCATGTCGGCACTTCATCTGGCGGACGGGAAACTGGGGGATCGTGCATTCGAAACGATGGTTCTCGGCAGGCTGCCGACTCAGTCCCTGACGACGTCTCCTCGGCTGACGATAAACCCCAGCCGCCAGCAGATTGTGACTTTGCTCTTCCGCGCATTCCCTTCGTCGGCGTCGGAACTTTTGACAATTGTCGACAGGGCGACCATATTAGCGGGCATTGCTTCAGTCCTAGGACCACTTGGCCATCAGCGAAAGAAGGCAATGGTCATACGCGAGCTCGTCTCTGTGCTCATCAGTGGTCTTGTGGAGGCGCGAACGCGCGGCGCGGCAGACGTCGGCATCCATCCTGCCGCGGGCTTGGTGGCCCTCAATGCCGCTATCGGGCGCGGCAACGGCTCCCTTGCCCTTGAGCTCGGTGAAGGCGACGTGGAGCAGGGCGTGGATGCCTTTCTCGGCATGCTCTGCAAATCTTATGGTGTCGTGGGCTTTGACATGGCGCGGAAACTTGCGCAGAAATCTCCGCCCGAGGACGGTGATCAAGGCGACGATTCCAACCAGGCTGTTATTGCTAGGATTGAGGGACAATCGGCAGCCCGGTTTTTTGGTTTCACGGGGGTTAAGCTCAACATCCTCAGAGCATGCATCAACTTCTCTGAGGCTCTCCCTGATTTCAACGGGGTATTGAAATACTCCAGCGATCTGCTTCGCTCTGCAGGTTCGGGTATCGCTCCAGGTCCGCGAAGGGAAGATGCGTCACCGTGCATCGCAAGGGAAGAGCAAGTCCGCCTTGCCACCAACATTTCGAGGACGTTCTCTCTAGCCAACCGATTGGGACTTCATCATCTGGTGGCGGAGTATTGGGACGAGTTCTTAGTACGGGGGGTAACATTGGTAGCGCGCCCAAGCACGAGGGTGCCAGTTCCACATGCCAAGGCCATCTTGCCCGGGGCATCGGGCGCTCGCACATCTCAAGACGTGGACCCTTTCATATATAATCCTTTCCTCAAGAAGCCCGATGACGCCGTCGTCGAGCACATACTCGTCGCCAATGAGCCGGCGACGTTCAAGGTCACTTTACAGAACCCTTTTGACATTGAAGTGGAAATCGAAAGCATCCGTCTTGACGCCCAGGGCGTCGAGTTTGAGTCCTACGCCCAGGCCCTAGTCCTTGGACCCTATCGGACCCAAGTCGTCAAGCTGGTAGGAGTGCCCAAACAAGTGGGCGCTCTCACAATCACGGGTGCCGTGGTTCGCGTCCATGGCTGCCGGGAGAGAAGCTTCCCCATCTTCCAGCAGCCTTTCACCCCCAAGAACGAAGCAAAGGTCAAGGCTATTGGGCTGGGCGCTTTGGAAGAAAACGTCTCCACCGCCCTGTCTCGGGAACCTTTGTTGACGGCGGAGAAGATCGGCTTGACTGTCATCAGCCAACAACCGGTTGTCGTAGTGAAGTCCACGACCTTGCCGCAATCCTCCATGATGGTCCTTGAGGGCGAGAGGCAGCTCTTCTCCACCACGCTGGAAAACCTGTCGACAACAGTGGCAGCCGACTTTATGCTTTTTTCTTTCGAGGACTCTACGCAAAGCCCGTTACAAGCCGCCATCAACAATCGAGAGGCATCGCCTGCCGAGCTGTATGAATACGAGTATATCCTTATGAAGCGACCGGCTCTGAGGAAAGTGACGAAAAATAGCGCAGAAAAGCGGTACATCGCTCCTGGAAGGACGGCCACGTTTGACTTTGAAATCCTCGGCAAGCCCGGATTGACAAAGGCGACTTTGCAAGTCGACTATGCGCATCTTGGGGTCCCCCCCGACGAGGTCGTGGACAAATTCCACACACGACGGGTGTCCCTGGACCTGACCGTCACGGTCAACGCAAGCGTCGAGGTTGCTAGGTTCGACGTGCTACCACTTCACGGTGTCATTCCACGCAACGTGTGGGCAATGGCGGGATGCGAAGGCGGCTCGCAGAAGGAGGCCTCGCCTGAGGATTACTGTCTACTAACAATGGATCTCCGGAACGCATGGCCCAGCCAGATGCAGGTCCGGATTGAAGGAGAAGACGGCGTCGCAATACAGGAGCACATCCTTCCGGGAAACACCACTCGAGTCATGGTCCCCGTCCGACGACTGCACTTGGAAGACCCCCATGCCTCCATACCAGCGCTGAACCCATCGCGACAGCGCCAGTTCGTTGTCAGCAGCAGCAAGATATCCCCAGACATGGAGCGAGCGAACCGGGAAGCGTTCTGGTTCAGGGAGAAGCTGCTTGACAACCTCTCGGCCAAGTGGGAGACGGTGTCGGGGCCCAAACGAGCGGGTTTCGTCGAGCTGCGGATGATCCGGCTCATACCTCGTATGTTGGAAGCCCTGAAGGTGGAAGAGGTCGGAATCGACATTTCCGTGGCCAGTCAAGCTGCGCAGGCGTCGGAAGTGTACGTCGACGAATTCGTTCCGCTCAAAGTCCGAGTAACGAACCGGACAAACCGCCCTATCTACCCTATGCTACGACTCATGCCTGCGCTCTGCCATCGGCCGCTCAACGTCGCTCTCGACTTTACACGGAAGTTGGGGTGGAACGGCACGCTTCAACAGCCACTCCCGCTGCTCGATGCGAGGTCGAGCACAGACGTCGAACTCTGCATCACGACGCTGTGTAGGGGCGAATTCGAAATCACGGCATCGGTCGAGGAGATCCAGGTCTGGGAGGAGCAGCCGAAGAAGGAGGAGAAGGAGGAGAGCGGACGCCCAAGATCGGATACGCAGACCATGTTAGAGGCCGCCTTGGGTACTAAAGAGCGTCGTGTCTGGCACTCTCGGCAGCCGTGTATTATCACGGTCAAGGACCGCCCGTAGATGGTCCTATTTTCGAGCGATGACACCTGCCTTGGGATTGCCGGGGGATGAGATGAATATACCCTAATCTCAAAATTCCCTACCACGACGTCCACGCACGATACAGCTTCTGTGCTTCAGCATTGCAACAAGCAAGGGGCGTGATATGACATGATTCACCTTGTGAATTGCCCAACTCTCTTACTAAGCAGGATAAGGTAGCTCAGACAATTTATTACCTACCGTAGGTACTTTGATGATTCCGAACTCGGGCCCGCGGGAACAGAACCACAAAAATCCCCCGCCCTGTCTGTCACGTTATCGTTCCGGTGCTAGCCGATTGATAAGATACGCCAAGGGACTTCCGGGTTCGCCCCCCTGGACCCGGAGATTTCATCTCAAAAAGTTCTGATAAGACGCGCATGCTTCATATGTGCATTACAGGACGTAGGGTCCCCAGGGATAGCAACTTGACATCCTCGCCGCTCGCGAATCAAGGGCATGTCAACGTAATTTCTTTTTCCTCCCTAAAGGGTCAAACAGGACGATTCGGCCCGCCATAGATTAAAAGGTACAAAAAATGTCTAGGCCTCAGGTCCTGTTCCTCGATGCGTACGACTCGTTCACCAACAACATCGTCTCGCTTCTGACGACCTTGCTACATGCCGATGTCCACGTCCTCCCGATTGATAACCCCTCACTCGACCAGAACTCGCCGGATTTCGAACGTCTTCTCCGCCTGGAGCTCGCGCAGTACCATGCTGTAGTTTGCGGGCCCGGTCCAGGGTCTCCGGAAATCGATCGCGATGTGGGGCTCATGAGGCAGATCTGGAGTCTAAACGAGGACGATCTCCTTCCCGTTCTTGGTGTATGTCTTGGTTTTCAGAGTTTGGTGGTTGCTTCAGGCGGGAAGGTAAGGAGGCTGCGGAGGGGCCTCCACGGCATGGTGCGGGATATCGAGCACCAGAAACCACCAACGGCACCGTGGTCTCTCAAACGAGGAGACATTTTCCACGGTGTTGATGCATTCAAGGCAACCATCTATCACAGCTTGTGTGCCGATGTCGGCCAAGACGTCCTTTCCGAGGATGAGTGGAGGGTCAAGAAGTGGGAGGCTCCCAGCGACACTCCTGATTTGCTGCCCCTGGCATGGACTCTTGAGGATCGAGAGGATGGCACTGAGCGTATCTTGATGGCGGTCAAGCACCGGACGAAACCTTTTTGGGGGCTGCAATATCACCCAGAATCCATCTGCACCGAAGTCGAGGGCCATGCTGCCATCAGGAACTGGTTTCGAGAAGCTCTCAGGTGGAATGTGGAAGCCGGTCGGAAGGTCGTGACGGGAGAATCCAGCTTGGCACGAAACGCCACGAGAGCAAGCCTCTTGTCCGAGGTGCGACTCCTGCGGGATACTACGGCAGCAACTGGCTCGGCGAAAGGCGCACCGTGGACCGAGTCCATGTCTCCAGTTGCAGCTGTCGGTCTAGATTGCGGGTATACGCACCGGACGATTCCACTGCCGGCGCATATCAAGATCCCCGATGTAGTTGAGATCCTCCGTCGCGAGGCGTCGTCGGAGCATATCATCCTGGATTCGGCGAATGCAGACAAGATGGCTACGGGGGCTGCGGACGTCAGAGGCCGCTACAGTATCATTGCCCTGGATGTCGCGGAAGCGTTGCGGATCGAGTACCATGTGGGGGACGACTTCGCCACGGCTCGAATACCCGCCATTCAGGGTGTCGCTGTTGATCTTAAGGAGACCATACCGTTCACCTACCATCAGAATATCTGGCAATTGCTAGCTGATTTTCTGGAGAAGCGGCAGCTAACGGAGAGCATCCCCGTGGAATCGCCGTTTAAGGGCGGATTCATGGGCTACATCACATACGAGATGGGGCTCCAGGGTATGGATGTCGAGGTTGGAGACCGAGGACACAGGAGACCTGACTTGTGCTTCGCATGGGTCACGAAGAGTATCGTCATGGACCATTTGCGAAATGTGGTGCACGTCCAGCACTTGCAGAAGAAAAAGCTCATTCACGACTTTTGGGTCGATTCCATTGTGGAGTCGCTACAAACCTCAGATCTGTGGCGGGATACCAACCACGACCTGAACGGTTTATCCACGAATGGCGGTATCGAGACCTCACGTGCGGTCATCACGACCCCCATGGCGCACGAATATGAGGAGAAAGTCCGTCAATGCCAGGATTACATCGCGGCGGGGGAATCCTACGAGCTGTGCTTGACCGACCAGACCACAATCACGTTGCCGGCGGCGATGACGGGAGCTCCAGCCATGCGCTGCCATCCGAGAGCAGCGAACGGCCAGACCCAACCTTGCACGAAACCCCCAACCTCGGACACCGCGTGGAACCTCTATCGCACCCTGCGCACGCGCCAACCAGCGCCCTTCGGCTCGTTCCTACGCCTCGGCGGCGCCACCATCGTCAGCTCCTCGCCCGAGCGGTTCCTCGAGTACTCCTGCGGCGGGCTGTGTTCGATGCGACCCATGAAGGGCACGGTCCGCAAATCGCCCGCCGTGTCGACACTTGCGCAGGCGGAGGAGATTCTGCATGTGCCCAAGGAGGAAGCCGAGAACCTGATGATCGTGGACCTGGTCCGGCACGACCTCCATGGCGTGTGTGGGTCCGGTAACGTCACCGTGCCGCATCTGATGAAGGTCGAGGAATACGCGAGCGTCTTCCAGATGATCACCGTCGTCAACGGACAGCTCCCGGAACCCGAGAAACAGGGCCATGGAGGAGCGAGGGGGGAGTGGTATACGGGACTCGACGTGCTGGCGGCGAGCTTGCCGCCGGGGAGCATGACCGGGGCGCCGAAGAAGCGGAGCTGCGAGCTGCTGCAGGAGATTGAGGGGCTCAAGGAACGAAGCATCTATTCCGGCGTGGTGGGGTACATGGATGTCACAGGCAAAGGAGACTGGAGCGTGACCATCAGGACGATGTTCCGCTGGGATGACGAAGTGGCGGCTCCCGGAGAAGGAGAATCGGAAGGCACGGAGGTGTGGCACATCGGGGCAGGTGGTGCTGTGACTATACTCAGCACCCCCGAGGGAGAACGAGAAGAGATGTTCACCAAGCTGACCGGGCCCTTGGGAGTGTTCTCGTCGGGCTCATAGGCCGACGATTCCGAAGCACGCTCTTTTCTTAGAAAATTACTGTGTGGCGCTTTAGATGCGGTACGAAGATGGCGGGGACTTTAGATATTGGGGTTTTCAACCATGTTCGGGGGGGGTATGGCGAGGGGAGCATTGCATGGCGTTATAACGGAAGGATACCTCAACGTATCGAGCTCCTGGTTCGAATTAGATGGGATAATGCCAATCAGCTCACGCAAAATATCGCATTCCCAAGCGAAGTGTCGTTCGAAGGAATTGATGCTTGGTATTGCTTCCACACCTGGTCCGCGTCAATTAATCCAGTCATGAATTATCATGGCATACCCCCCCCTTGCAACTGATGACTATGCCCGCCTGTCCCTCCAGCCATTCTGTTCCCCACCACAAAACCAGAAGTCGCAACAACAAAAGCGGTGTTCCGTATTGTACAGGCTCCCTCCTCTTGGATTGTCGCCAGAGTCCCCTTTCTCTGACTCCTACAGCACGAATCACGGTGTCTGAGAGACACGGTTCACAGTGTCCTTTGCCTTTTCATCCTCGAGCCCCGATTTGCGCCAGGTATTAGAATTAGAACTCCTGATCCTCCTGGAAGAACATGCCGAAGCTGATGATGGTGCCGTAAATGAGCAAGCCACCGGCTATGGACATGATCATGGCCTCGACTCGGATAAGGTCGGAGTGCGCAAGGACGACGGGCAGAGCTGAAAGCGAGGGTGTGTTAGCAAAACATGACTAGGCGTACGAAGCGAGACGAGACCTCGTGGTGACATGGAGTTGTGCAGAGCCAGCATCACGCAGGAGCAGGAAGTGTGTGCAATGACGAACCAATGCCCATGACAACGAGGAAGCCAGTGCAGAAGCGGCCGAGATCGATGATGGCTCCGCCGGAGCTCTCAACGAAATCATCCGGGTTGGCGCAGCGAGAACAGATCCAGTTGGGGAGGGGCGCGATCACGTAGGTCGCGACGACGATGAGGGGATAGTAGACCTTCCATAGGGCGCAGGAGAGGATGACGAGGAGGAAGCCGATGGCGAGGACGAAGGAGAGGGCGATGATGGTCTTGAGGCCTGCGTTGGGCATGGTGGGCGGATGGAAAACCCCCTTGGTAGGGGTGCGAGACCTATTGAGGCTATGTGATTTTGTGTTCTTCGAAGAAATGGAGACGACGAGATTCGAATGGTAGTGGTTCTGTGTTGTTTGATTGTTCGCCTTTCGTGGGTTGAATGGATTAGAATGTTGACGACATATGCGAGACCGGCGGTTCTGGTGCGAGTAAGAAGACCAGAAGACCAGGCAGGCGATCAACAAGGTCCCGGGTCCGAAAGAGGCGGCCGGAGTCGTCACAGTGCAGTTGCATAAGTGGGTAAGGTACGTACCATAATTGCACGGACCACAATCTTGGGCACTTCTGCCGCCAGCCCGGTAAACTCATATCGCTAAGGTGCATACGGAGTACGCAGGGGCACCTCCGAGTTGGGATTTGAGGTCCATAAGGTAGTTGGCACTGTTACTCTGTATATTGCCTAAATATATTATACAAAAGGGAGATATTTGAACTACTTCGTAAAAAACGCACGGAATGACATTGTTCTTTCAGCAAGTAAAAGTGTATCGTATCATCCCAGCCCAGATTACGACGTATAATGTATAATCGGTTATCCCCCATATGCACTACCAGCTTTGCAACAACAAAGCTCTATGCAGATAATGGGGCACTAATACTACTTCGGTATGGTCACCCCACGACCAGCACCCCCCTGCACCAGGCTGAAGGTGCAACGCAAAGCTCAAGCTGCCTGCTGCTGAGAACCAACCACTTACGGTGATGGAACGAACCCCCCAAGCTCTATCAACCATCACCACCGACTACTACAACAACCCAAGTTAACGCCCGACTGTCGCTGCACCCGGACCACACGACCTTCAAATTCAACGAACAAATATTCGCTTTCGATAAACGCTTAGTAGGCCGCAGGGAAGAGGACCAGGATGTTCAGGAACAATTACGACAACGACTCGGTCACATTGTATGTCCTCCTTCCGTCGGCCCTCTCGAATAGCCTCCTGGGGAGCAATCCGCTAACGGGGAGCCCTCTGTGCGCCTTGACTTCTAGCTCGCCGCAAGGCAGGATATTCCAAATCGAGTATGCGGCCGAAGCCGTGAAGCAGGGTTCAGTGGTCGTCGGTCTCGTCAGCAAAACACACGCCGTCCTAGTAGCAGTCAAGGTATGCATAATCTCCGGTCTTTTGTGTTTCGCGCCTATCTAACACTGCCGTTTCCTTTCCTCCTTCACAGCGCAATGCCGAAGAACTATCCTCCTACCAAAAGAAGCTCTTCGCCGTCGACGAGCACGCCGGCATCGCCATCGCAGGCCTCACCTCCGACGCCCGCGTCCTCTCCAACTTCATGAAGCAGCAGTGCCTCGGCCACCGCATGACCTACGGCCGGTCCATGCCGCTGCGCACCCTCGTCGACCTGATCGGCGAGAAGGCCCAGATGAACACCCAAGTCTACGGCAAGCGGCCGTACGGCGTGGGGCTCCTCGTCGCGGGCGTGGACGAGACGGGCCCGCACCTCTTTGAGTTCCAACCGTCGGGCATGACCGAGGAGATGTCCGCCTTCGCCATCGGCGCCCGGTCCCAGATGGCCCGCACCTACCTCGAGCGCAACGTCGAGTCCTTCGCCGACTGCAGCCGCGAGGAGCTCGTCCGCCACGGCCTGCTCGCCCTCCGCGAGAGTCTCGTGCAGGACCGCGAGCTCACCGTCGATAATACCAGCATTGCCATCGTGGGGCTGGAGGAACCTGCCGATGCCGAGAAGACGAAGAAGAAGACCCTGCGCCCGTTCCAGTTGCTCGATGGGCAAGATGTCAAGGAGTGGATTGATGCCTCTAACGTGCCGGCTGAGGGAGAGGGTGAACAAAGCGGTGACGGCGATCGTATGAATGTTGATGAGTGAAAGACAAGCGGAAAAAGAAGAGCGTTGGGGAAGTAGAAGAGGACAGTAGGTTTGGCCAGGGCAAGGCGAGGTTGTCAAAGAGACGCTGATATCTCGAGCGATTGGTACCACTAGATGAGGCTGTCGCGCTTCTGCGTCCTATCAATGCAAGCATGCATTACTACGGCCCATTCCTGCGCAAAGCAGGTGGAAAGAAGGAGTCGGGGAAACTCGAAAGGCCCCCATAGGGTCTAAATCTGTCAACTATGTTCTGCGATGAAGGCTGATCAGAGACATCGGGACCGGACGTTGACCGTGGTAGCCTGATGCGCTTTCGTGTTGCTAACCGTCTTCTCTCGCGGTCTTCCATATACACTTGTCCCCGTTCCCGACTATCGGGGATGGACATGCAGCCTGACAGCCTGACAGCTATCTAGATGAATCAAAGAAGATGATGCTACCAGACCCAGGCCTGACCCCGGTGCAAAGTACAAGTCTCATAAAGCACCCCTTCTATTTTCCCGTCTTATATCGTTGCGCCTTTTGCCATATACATCTAGTAAGCGTTACAGAAAAGAAGGAATAACCCAGAGAGTTAAGACGGACCGAGGAGCACAATGCGGTGGCATAACACGACCTTCACCTCTACCGCCGCCTGATAAAAGCACCCAGATGCATGCCCAAACATGATCTAATCCCATCTCATCCTATCTCACCATGCTGGTACTTCGCCAATGGATTCGGACAGATCCAGGGAGACCTCTAAATACTGACCATCTAAGTCTTGTTCCACTCGAGCTTCATTGTCGATGACGGCACCTGGTATACCTGCAAGGCGCGAACAGCCTCTTCGGCGGTTGAGGCAGTCACGAGGATGTCAGCGTTGCCACCCTTGATGAAGCCCTCGTCGACGGCGCGACGGACCCACGCCAGGATGCCATCGAAGAAGCCGTCAATGTTGAGGAGACAGATCCCGCGCTCGTGGATGCCGAGCTGAACCCAGGTGGTCGTCTCGAGGACCTCCTCGATGGTGCCAAAGCCGCCGGAGAGGGCGATGAAGCCGGAGCCGGGGCCGCCGGCGATGACTTCCTGGGCCATCATGCGCTTGCGGGTGTGCATGTCCTTCACGACGGTGGTGCGTCCGTAGACGGACTCCTCGGGGATCTGCATTTCGTTGGCATCGACGCTCTGGTAGGTCCCGTCACGTTCGTACTTGACGAGGGCTTCGGGGATGATGCCGTGGGCCCAGTCAGGGCCGGATAGGGCCACGAGGGTTTTGGCGACCTCCCCCATCAGACCTACGGTTCCGCCGCCATAGACTGAAATTTGTATCTTGTCAGCTGAGGTCAAGTGGGTGCAAAAGGTGTACACATTGGGTCACCCCGGGATGGATGTCGAGGTGCCAAAGGAAAGAAAACGATAAAGAAGAAAAGAAGAAAGAAGAAAAAGAAGAAGAAAAAGAAAAAGAAAAGAAAAAAGCAAGGCCTTGACATGTCCACTACCGTGGGTTTGGTCTGCTAGCGAAGGGGAAGAGCGATAAGGGCGAGAGGAACATTACCCAGAGCGATTTTGTTTGCTGCCATAACTCTCGCCAGCTGACGAGCCGCTTCCATGTGCGCCGGGTTGTAACCAGCCGATGCTCCGCAGTACACACAGATCTTTGTCCTCGGCGTTGTGCCATTGTCGGCCACCGTGGTTTCGCTTGGGTTGACTTGCGATGCCGCCGCGGACGACCCGTTGGTTGCCATGTTGAATTTTTGCTTAGGTATAGTGCAGCTTGAGATTGGTGAAATAAGACGAACAGATCCAATAAAAGTAAAGCTGGATTGGAACGAGCAAGATTGTTCGCGACTGCGGGTGGCGATTCTAGTGTGTTTGGGAGGGGGGGGGTGAGGTCTTGAAAGTGGTAAACACGTCCAACCCCTGCGCAATGGACAACCAACCACACTTCTGGCTATAGAAAAGGGGTATCTGAACTGACGGAAGCCGGCTTGCGTCGCTGCGGGAGCTGGTTTCCCAAAGTGAACTCTGGCTGAGAGAGAGGTTCGATGGTGAGGTAGAGTGATGTGGAGGAGATACGGGGACACGCAGAGTGAGTCAGAGTGAGCAGTGTCAGGCAGAAAGGGGGGATAGTAAGCCGCGAGTGAGGTAAGGGCTTCTGAGACGGGAGTTTCGTGAGAGCCAGGCAACCCTGCAAAATGATAACAAGTCCCTGGATGCTTAGCCGTTAGAAGGTGTCAGAGAGGAAAGGTGAGTAGTCGTAGCTCTAGCGGTGAACGGACTTGATTTGTCGCAGGGTAATTACACATTTAGGCCGTGGATACCCAGTGAATAAGTTGTTGGTTGAAGAAAACGGGCGGTCAGATCAAGTGTGAGAGGACAAGGTTCTGGCTAAATGGCACGTTTCGTAATTGAGAGACGAGTCTTTTTCAGAAATGTTATTGCCTAAGAGTTATTTCTTGATTGTCTTGCCGTCGGGGTTCAGAGGTAAGAGAGTGAGAGACTTCTATGAAGTATCGGGACAGTGACGTCGCCATCTCGGTGTAATTATCGCACTCGAAGGCCCGGGTTTTGTGGAGACAAAGGCACCGAGCAATGCAAGGTACAGTACCCCGGATTAGGTACCTATTGTTGATATTACCTAGGTAGTTTAATGGTCCTAGCACAGGGCTCGATTCAACCCACAGTCGAGACCTTTATTAATCGGGTTCAAAGCTACTACTACATCTACAGTTGTCGGTGATGAAGCATCGGGAGTCAACGGTCGAAGTTTGATCCTCTGGTTTAAGAAAATTACAAACCGCCAAAAGGGTATCGGTCTTGCCGAGCAAGGTGCCACCGCTGATTAGACGTCGGTCGGGTGGTGTTTCGACTGTGTAACTGGACGCCCCTGAAGGAGCACAGTTGCGTGGATGATTCGGTATTAGCCAGTTTACGTTCGGTATTCCCGGACTCTGCTGTGCTTGTAGCGGCTCCGCAAAACCGTCCTCGTCCTGCTCTTCCTCATTCATCAGGAACCGGAGGATGGGTAGGGCGATGGTCCCCTGGGAAATTGGTAGGTGTTGTGTCGAGTTCACGGCGGGATCCCGGAACTGATTGGCCCCGCCCCACGTGCAAACGAGCGGGCGACCTATAGGTACGTATTTATCGATCCTGGTCCGTGCGAGCATGCATCGAATGACGCTAGGTATACCCGATACGCATGGGCGTTTTTCCTGGATTGCAGCAGCATGTTTCTTCCTGCATTACAACATACGAATACAACGTGCCTCCAGAACAACGCTTGGCCGTTCTTTTCATCGCAACGTACCTATTTCACGACGACAAGCGATCGGTACCGGCCTAGGTATCGTTCATCTGGCTGTCGGCAACCGCTATAGACCAACTTTACGAATTGTCAAGCTGCTTTGCCGCAACTGGGTCTAAACCATGCCTCAACCGAACAACCCGGCTGCAGCTGGCCAGCAGCAGCAGCAGCAGCAGCAGCAACAACAAGAGCAGCCATGGGTGCGTTTTCTCTGCTCCGAGACCTCCTCGTACCTCGTAGCAGGCGTTTTCCTAAGCTGATACTGATTCTGATGGTCGTCCGCAAACAGGGTATCAGCAACACTCAAAAGCTCATCATCGGTGGCGTGCTCTGGCTCGGCATGAACATCGCGAGCAATGTTTACTTCAAGAAGCCTGTTGGTGTCGGCACCCAGGTCACCGACCCCAACGGCAAGGTCTACACCGTTCCGGACAACATCGACGATATTCCTCCCTATCTCCTTCGCCCTCGGACCCTGAATGAAGGCGCAACCTACAGTGCGGTGCCCCGAAAGCTGGCGCCCATGTGGCCCATGGACAGCTACATCGACATCACCGTGACGGTCTCCGAGTCGCCCAGGCCCCGGCCCCTCGAGGCCACCCCGTCCGAGAAGGTTGTCATGCAGGAAACCCGTTTCCACATGGGAGATTCCAGCGATAAACGATCCGTCGACACGACCATCGATCTGCCCCAGTCTGTTCAGAACAATGGCACGCTGTGGGGCCATTTCTATGTGGGCCTCACGGGAAGCCCTCTCGATCCTCTCGGCCCCGGCTTCGACTTGGCCTCTGCCTATCATTTTGCCTACCCCCTGACGCAATATCTCCCCAAGAAGAAGGAAGTCAAGGCAAGGTCTTTGCTCGAGGGTGTCCCGGAAGATGCCAGCGAGGCGGGAGAGCAAGAGAAAGAGATTGACCGGGAGGAGAACGTCGGCCCTATCATCGCCAACTATTATCACCCCAACTTTACCCTGTCCATCATTCCCGACTCGGGCGTCTTGGACTACCGGACTCTCCATCCTGCGACCCGTCACTTCTTGCGAACAGAGCCCACCGGCGCTCGGGACGGCACGGGTCAGAATTCGTGGTACTGTAGGTTTTGATTTTGATTTTGAGTGGTTGTGGACCCAACCACACGCACACACACACACACACACACACACACACAATGTTCACTCGCCTCCCTGGTGCGAATCCTTGTGCTGACTCAAGAAATGCTTAGATCCCGTCCTCTTCGTCAACAACTTCTGGCAATTGAAGAACCATATGATGTTGCTCAACGAGACTGTCACGACCGTCCCCATGCACATCGACCTCGGCAACCTCCGCCACTTCCTATTCGGCATAATGTCGTCCCTCGAGCTCAGCAGCAAGGAGAGCGCGCGCCAGGTCGCCTTCGGCCAGTCCGTGCCGGGCGGCGGCGACGGCTCCGAAATGGAGATGGTGAAGACGATTTTCCTCGACTCGAACCCGTACCTCCTGGCCATAACGGCGGTCGTCTCCGTGGCGCACATCATCTTGGAGATGCTCGCCTTCGGGTCGGACATTGCGCACTACCGCAAGAAGAAGGACAACGTCGGCATCTCGGTCCGCTCGATCCTGGCCAACGCCTTCATGCAGGCGGTCATCCTGCTGTACCTCATCGACAACTCGGAGAACACGAGCTGGATCATCCTCGGGTCGCAGGGCATGGGCATCGTCATCGAGCTCTGGAAGATCACCACCGTGGTCGACGTCAAGGTGGAGCCCGGCGGCCCGGGCTCCTGGCTGCCGTTCAAGATTGTGTTCGCCGACAAGTACAAGCTGAGCGAGACGGAAGAGAAGACCAAGGAGTACGACGAGATTGCGTTCCGCTACATGTACGTGGCCGCCGTGCCGCTGCTCATCGCCTACGCCATCTACTCGCTGGTCTACGAGACGCACAAGTCGTGGTACTCGTACATCATCACGAGCCTGGTCGGGTCGGTGTACGCGTACGGGTTCCTCATGATGGTGCCGTCGCTGTACATCAACTACCGGCTCAAGAGCGTGGCGCACATGCCGGGCAAGGCCATGATGTACAAGTTCCTCAACACGTTCATCGACGACCTCTTTGCGTTCACCATCAAGATGCCCGTCCTGCACCGGCTGGCGACGTTCCGGGACGATGTCATCTTCTTCATTTACCTCTACCAGCGCTGGGCGTACCGCGTCGACTACACGCGGGTGAACGAGTTTGGGCAGGGTGGTGATGAAGAGGTCACTGCGGCGGAGAAGGCCAAGGTGCAGGAACTGTTGGAGCAGGATGCGGCCGCGCAGGAGGGAGAGAAGGAAGCCCGGGAGGGAACGGCGAAGAAGGCGACGGGGGCTGACACGGGGAAGGCGAAGAAGAGGAGAGCGTGAGGTTGAAGGAAGCAAGGGGAAAGAAAACATGTTCCAATTTCCCCCATTGGGTTATTTCTGGTGGTTGAGAAAAGTAATGGCATAACAGGGGGGATTTCTGCACCATATTTATAGACTAAGGTAGGTAGGCGGTCATTGTAGAAGAGGAGGGATTGTGCCTTATGGAGCTAGACAGACGGCAAGGCAATGTGCTGCAAGCTGATATTCTTTGCATATAAAGACCACCTCTGAAGCCACATGCACGTTTCAAGTGTGGCTCAGCACCACCCGCAAGAAACGGGCCTACCTTAGCTACTGGTCCTGGGAGGATGTACCAGGTAATTAAGGTAGGTACCTACCTTATTTAAGGCAAGGTACCTAGGTACCTACCTTACCTGATGTGGGTTACTGAACGTGGTACCTTAGGTAGTCCGTAAAGACGGAGACTGAAGGGACAGAATCGAAGGTGTTGACGATCAGAGCGACAGTTGTCTCCTCGACTTCACTCACGTCCCATAGCTTCATGTCCAATATTGCTGCGCCGCCACCGCTCCACCATCCGGGCGGTGCAACAGACGGCAGGTACCGCTATACTATAAGGACCCAACTACCTTAGGAATACAAACTACTCAGTAATTACTGCGTATCTTGTACCCCATACCTTCCTCTTACTCTGTAATCTAATTAAGGCTGCGGGTTCGTCATCTTCCCCACCCGCCTGTCAGACGACAGGAACGGATCCTGACACCGAAGGGGACGTTAGCATTGAGCTCAGAGCTAAGCACAAATCTGCTCCGACTCGGGAAGCGAACTCCCTCCTCGCTCCTCCCTCCTCGCTCCCCCCTCCCCTTTCTCCTTCGTCCGTTTGGTTTTCTCGTCTTGTTGACTCCTTATTCACCCCTTACTCTATCCTCTCCCAGTCTCTGCCACGATCCCCATACCCAGTCCTCTCTCTCTCTCTAATTACACCAGACGTCCATCTGGCTCCACGACAACACGGCCGCCTAGCGAGGGGCCCGTGGCCCACAATCACGCCCTCCTTTCCCTCAGCATGAGCAAGGCCACCGTCGGGTCCTTGCTAGCTGACACTGCAAATTCCATTACCGACAGTCTACGCATTCTCGATGGGTCCGACAAGAGCCAATGGGGCGCCGACGAACATGAACAGCTCCGACGCCTCGAACATGCCCTCGACGAGGCCAGGAAGGATTTCCAGGAGCTTTCTCCCTTCCTTGATGGCCAGCGCTACTATATGAACGACCGCCGACGTGAGTCTTTACCTACTGTTTTGCTTTGCTTTGCTTTGCTTTGCTTTTATCGCCCCACCTTCCAGTTTCACTGCCTCGTCGACAGTCGAATGCGCCCAGCTAACCCTTTCCACCAACTCCTCTAGCCCAGTCGATTGAAGAGCTATCCATCTTGAATACCAAGTTCCAACACCACGCCGAAAGCTTCCGCCACTGGGCGCATCAGGGCGGGCCCATCAATCCCCTCTGGGCCGTCGAGACCTCCACCCTCAGCCGCGAACTGCACCGCGCTCAGTGTCGCGCGGCTCGTCGTATTTTCGCGTCGAAACAAGAGCAGGCCGCCCCGCGCTGTCTCGGCGCCTTCCTCGTCTTCCGCAAGCAGCGCGAATGGGCCCTCAGGCGAGCGCAGAGGAGACGTCAGCAGCAGAAAAGGTCCAGCGGTGGAGATGCCAGTCACGACCAGGTTCCGGTCCAACAACAGCAACAACAGCAACAACAGCAACAACAGCAACAACAACAACAACAACAACAACAACAACAACAACAACAACAACAACAACAACAACGACCCCCGCCCACCCCAACAGCTAGGGAGCTTCACCGGCATCGGAGGAAAGGGTCGAGCTTGGTCCCCGCCGACGATCGCGCCGCCGATAGCGCAGCGGACGATGAGTACGAGGAACAACGTTTCCGCATGGAGGAGCTAGCACTGTGCAATTCCATCGGTAAATTCCAGCGGTTCGGCGACCGCGACATTGCTTTCGTTTGCGACTTTTGCGACGGGCACATCATATGGGAGGACCTCGAGACCATGCCGTCGATGCGAACCGTGGACGAAGAGACCGCGGCGGCGGCGGCGGAGGCGCATCCGGGAGCCGTCGACGGCGGTCCCGCGACGCAGGGGCACGATAGTACGGCCGTCCCCCGCGCCACGCGACCGCTGCCGCCCGAACCGCCGGGGATCCTGCATTGGCAGGCCACGGGGTTCACCGTGTCGGGACACGGGGAGAAGAGCGTGGTGTTTCCGCCGCTGGCGATCGCGAACCATGTTGCGCCGACGACGCAGATCGATTGGGTCGCGCAGCTGCGGTGTCCCGCCTGCGATGAGCCGCCGGCCGAGGGCGGGGAGGACGAGGGGACGGGCGTCTGGCGGATGGACGACGAACTTGTTTTCGATGACTTGGCGGCGTTCGAGGAGCATTTATACTGGCAGCACACACCTACATACGTGCCGAGTATACCCGTGTCGTTACCGCTTCCATCGACGAGCTGCCTGTTAATGTGACCAGAGCGGAGGAGGGATGACTCTACGCCGAGACGGATGGAGCGGGAATGTTACGGAAAGGTGCCCGTTATCGACAAGCAACTCACCTGAGGGACACGTTTACTAATGGGCGGGGTAAGACAAATTCGGGAATTCGCTGGCGACACGGCGTTCTGAGGGTTAAAAGGGAGGGGAAGGCTTGTGGAGAGAAGGGACATGAAGCCCCGCCCTGTGCTGTGACAGGGCGGGAAAGGAATGGCTATTTATGATGTTTTTGACGCTTCACGTTGTGACGACTGGGCTTTTTGTGAAGAAGCATTGCATACATGGGTCTTTTAGAGGAGGGCCGCTGTGGAGGACTGTCCATATACCCCTGTAGTCGATTTTTGATCAAGATTTTTGTTCCTCTGTATTTCATGACCGAATAGACAGCGTACTTCGGAGTATTTATTTTCCTCTCCTGCTTTTGCAGCCCGTTGGATAAGAGGAGACAGCCGCTGGTGTCCGGTTTACGAACCCAGCTGTACATTTTTCGTTCCATGGTAAACAGAAACAGAAGGCAAGAATGTCTCCTGTGATGATGCAGAACTATATGCAACCTGTTGAAGCACAAAGATTCGTATACTCGCTTGCCCAAATCTTCCCGCCATCCGCCCTTGCCGAAAACAAGAAACAACAGACTCGTTACACTTCAAAACACCTGAACCAGACAGGGGATCCCATAGGCTATATAGTAGGGCAGTGGTGGAGGAGTCTCCAGATCCCCCCCGGACGAAAAGACGCGCAACACTACAAAAACCGCCACCACAAAAAGAGAATGATAAAAAAGCCTAGCCCGGCCACGGGACCGTATTGCTTCAGAAGAAGCTCCCAGTTAATGCGCACGGCGGCGCGTCGGTACTTCTTGCTGTCATCACGGAGGCGGGAGCTGATCTCGCCCATGCGCTCGAGCGAGTCGCCGCGGTAGAGGAGGTCCTCGATATTCTTGGTCATGATCTTGGTGACGTCGCGGAGCTCGGTGTTGAGGCGGTCGAGGTTGTTGGCGGCGCGGGCGTCGGCGTAGGTGGCCTTGGTGCGGGAGATGAAGGTGTCGAAGTCCATGAAGGCGTAGGGGCGGAGGGTGGGGCTCTGGACCTGGGCGGCCGGGTGGGTCTGGTGGAACTCGCGGGCGAGGTCGGCGAGGTAGGTGAAGGCCAGCTCGCGCGGGTAGGAGCGGTCGGTGATGGTGAGGAAGATGACGTCCCCGTCGATGAAGTAGTGGAGGGTCGCCTGGCCCAGCTCGAGGCTCGCGCGGGGTTCGGATTTGCGGGTGACCTTGCGCAGCACGGCGCGGATTTGGTCCTTGATCTCTATCACGTCGTCTTCTTGGTGCTCGTCGTCGACGGAGGCGCAGAGCATTAGACCTGGAAAGGGGGAGGTCGGAATGGAGCCCGAAGGTTAGCTTGGTTCCATGGCTCATGGATGGTGCGATAATAGGAGGGCGGAGAAAGGGAAAGAAGAAAGAAAGAAAAATTGGGAGATCGGAGCTATGGCATGGCCTACATACCATCGAGCCTTGCTATTTGTGTCGACCGGATAGCTCTCGACATGATGGGCTATGGGCGTAGATAGAAGAGTGCGACAAGATCGATTCCCTTTGGGGGGGGCAGAGCGTCGGTTGAGGGAACTGAGGCCGACGTTGCGGGTATCGCGTGTCGTGGGATATTCCCTGACTGTCGACAAAAAAAGATGAACGGGAGAGAAAGAAGTAAAATATATGACGTGTCCTCAAGGCTGGAGAAGCTATGTGTCTTCCGCTGCGTACCTAGGTAGAAGCTAGAGTTGAGATATGATCCGCGTTTTGTAGGCAGCCAGATGAATACCGTCGCCTGGCACGTGTCGTGCTGTGTAAGGTACTAAGGTGTGGCTTCTGTTGAAATGGTGATTTCTTGTCGATGGGCGCAATTGAAGACGTCCTGCCTTTATTAGCATCTACGAAGTGGTACGGGGGTGGGGGGTGGGTACTGGTGGTAAGGTACCTTATTATCCATGCAAGTGAGGCTGATGCGGAGTTTTATACAATACCGTACCGTAGTTGTGGCTTGTAATGAAGCTTTCCCAGCCTCCATTTGCGACAACGGCGGACAGGAGCTCAGAGCTCTCCCCTCAATCGCCAGAGCTGTCCCCGAGACAAGAAGGAACATCTCAGATCTCACCATTTTTCAATATCTGCTCAATCTTTTTCCGAAGCTTTCATTTCCTTATGCTTTATAGTTGATTCAATGTGGCCAGTTCTTATACACCCTGGGAATTGTTAATCGGGGTTTTCTTCTGGCTTTCACCACACATCCATGCCCTTGCTTTCCCCAAGTCTCAAGTTCTCAATATCAGCGGATCAACGGTCTCTGGCGTCTACCTTATATTGGCGAACGTACTACCAACGGATTTCTCATTAGGCTTCTCATTCGTCCGAGTCTTATGGAGGCTCAAAGTTCGATGCTGAGATCATATTCCTGCCACCGACCTACCCTCGGGTAACTATGCTTGCCCCTTGGGCCCCCAGGATTCTACGTGAAACCTCTTTAGCGACACCGGGCCTTAGAGACACAATGAACAGCATAAACAACGCAATGGAGACGCAACACAACATAGAAAGGCCCGATGACAACATGGCCCGGCCTCCAAGCCCTACCTCCAGGTCTTCTAGTCTTTCTCCGCCACCATCTTCACCTTTGGACGAATTGCCCATACCCTCACCCCCACAGAGCCCTTCCCCTGAACGCCACGATATATCTCTCGATAGTATTACAATATCATCGCCGAAATCCACCATCGGTCTCCCGGATATGGCACCAGTAACACGAAGCGCTTCGCGGAAACTCGTCGCCCAGATAGACCCTCAAGAGCCCCACGAAGTGGAACAGGAAAAGGACACTAGGGACACGACTTCCATGTCCAAGCCTAAAAGCAGCGGAAAGGGCATTATCAAGAAGATTACCAATAAGGTTCCGCGACAGAAATGGACACCAGAAAGGCTCCTGGCTGACCCAAAGTCTCCGGTTGCGCGAGCGGACATCAGAGTACGTCACCCCTCTCAAGGCCTGTCATTCTCAGCGTCGTAATCGTAATTATAATTATTTCTTTACTTGTCTCAAGTCTGGGTCCGTCTCCATTACGTTGGCTTCACTTGATCCACGCCGATGACTAACTTCAACAAAGAGCCTCCTCTGCAATAACCCACCGGCATGGGACATCCTGACTCCGCAGGAGAAGACTGAAATTCTTGCCCTCTTTCCGTCGGGGACCCCTATCATCAATGCCGGTACACCTGACGCCCGACCCGACATGGCTCTTCTCGCTTCAGACGACAACTTCCGGCACGACTGCGCACGATACGCCGAGAACCTGGCCGAGGGAAAGCACGATCCCCAGTGGTTAGCCGAGGCTTGGGCCGCCTCCGAGCAACGTCGGGTCGGGGAGTTCGAGAAGTACCTCGAAGAGAAGTTTGAGGAGGAATGGGGCGTCAAGTTGCCGGACCACATGAGGCGTAGTACGGATCGCCCAGCCACTTCACAGGCGGGCAGTCAGGACTCTGCGCCCTCTAGCCACCCGGGCAGCCAAAATGCCGACAATGCGCCAGACGATAGGAACGATGCGGGGGATGCTGGAAGGGGAGAGGTGAATGGTGACTGTGAATCGGGCGGCTCTTACGCGGCAAGATCTCCCGCTGCCGAAGGTGCTTCCCCTGCTAAGAAGCAGAGGATCTCCTAGGGGGTTGCGGGAAAACGGCTACTGCTCTGAAGTTTTTGGAGATAGTTATCGCTATACGAGGTTTCGCCAGGGCACAATGAAGTAAGAGCATTTGATGGCCGAGTTCTGAGACCGAGGACTGTTTTAAGGGAGGTGTGGACACCCAGCACAATGTAGCGATCATATGAAGCACTAATGCTAATTTTCGACAGATTGATGTTCTCCTGAACGGTTCCCAATGCGCCACCAGAGAACTACCAACCCCGGGGGTGGCTTAGATTCAATATCCGAGCTTGTGACCCTGGACCGCTGGTATTCCCACGCTTCTTCGCTGGCGCTTACATGGCCCGCTTCCCATTGCAAAATTCTGGGCGCCATGTTCGTCACCGGGGGGGCTTGTGAGGGCTATGAGCATCTAGAACTAACTTTTGACAGTATGCTATGGACCGTCACGATACGAATTCGCTGGAGGATAATGGCAGACGCTAGAGAATGTCCGCTACCCCTGGGTAGCGTCCGGTAGGATATGGTTACCTTGGCCTTCGTGTATCAATGAACTGTTCAGTCCATGTGTCCACGTGAAGGAGCAAAATTGGCCTGGCCGTTTGGGTTTGCATTTGCTTTGTTTGTTTGGCAGGACCTATAAGTCGCACAGTTCTTTATTTCCCTGTATCGAACGCGCCGAGGCACAATCAAGTGACGTTGCTGAGGAAAGACCAGAGATCTTTATGCTTTTTCGAGGGTATCGTATATTAAAGTCTGTTCGGAACGTCTTTGACAGGCATCTCTACGGTAAGCCGCAGGGGGCTATGTTTGACCTTCTAAAAATAGTAATCCGTGTATGTATCTAAGGTAGGTGATCGTGCGTCGATCTCCGCCTTTGTACCAACCGTCCAAGCCCCCCCGCACCCCTGTTGTCTGACCATGATCGCATCTTCAAAGTTCTAGATCACCTACTTCAGACTCCGAGGGATAGGTATTTCATACTTCGCTTCGTAGCCTCAGCCTCATTCTCTGTTATTCATCTGTGAGCCTTGTCAACACAGGCTTCGGCCGATGTGCCCTCCTTCCATCAACTCCTAAACATATTGAATGAAGACGCTGGTTGTGGAATATAACAATGCAAGAATGCAACGTTTCGCAGCCCGGATCCGGTCTCGTCTCTCTAGATTCGCTGATTCCACCTCGTCCCAAGAGCCAGCCATGCCCGTGTTGCTTTGATTTGGATGCGCCGACTGCTCTTCAAAACACCAACGACTTGGCTTGGAGCCAGAGCGAGTCCGTCATCCGTCTAAGCCGGAGTCGGAGAAACCTCGAGAGCTCGGCAAGATACGGCTGTCCAATATGCTCGGTTCTTCTCGAGGTATTGATGTTCTTTGGCTTGGACTCCCCAGGTGACGACAGGGCCCGTAACATAGAGCTGAGAGTGCCTACCGACTCGGGAAACGTGGAGATATCGGTCGACGTCTACTACATGGAAGTCTACGTGCAGTTATATATGTGTACGCGGCTCTGCTTCTCTTTGGCTTGGGGAATACGGTAGCTATGCTGACACGGGTAGTTTGCAGCTCATCAGAAGTCATGGAATCGGATTCGACCCCTGCCAGACTTAAGTACTGATTATCTGTCGGAAGAAAGTCTATCGTTTATCAAGTCTCACCTACAGACATGCCTTGCTAGCCACCGCCTCTGTTGCCAGGGCGACGGTAGCCTGCCAGCTCGGCTTCTCGAAGTAGGCCATCGTGGCGATAGCCACATACGTCTTATTGACACCGACAGCGTTTCCTCTGCAAGGTACATTGCTCTTAGCTATTGTTGGGGCAATGCTATCACTGTGAGGACTACATTGGCTAGTTTAGAGGATATGCAGTCGGGTATTGACGTCTCCATGCTGCCACAAGTGTACGTGGACGCCATCGCCTTGACGCGAGAACTTGGAATTCAGTATCTCTGGGTCGACGCACTCTGCATTATCCAGGATAGTATCGAAGACTGGGAGGCCGAATCCGCAAACATGTCCGACATCTACGCCGGCGCCTATCTCACCATTGCGGCGGCGTCGTCTGGGTCGGCCGACAGAACCGTCCTTCGTCGCCATCCTCGCGCTGAGTCGTATGCCGACCAATACTACGGGCGAGTGTTCACGAAACGGGTAGCAGACGAAGAAGGCGCCCACATGCTGAAGGCGAGGGTCATCCCGGAAGTCGGCGTCCATTCCAAGTGGCAAGACCGCTCCGATGAGCGTATTCCAAGAGAGCCATGGTCAAGGCGAACATGGACCCTGCAGGAACAGCTGCTTTCGACGCGGTTGCTCTCTTTCTCCACGGCAGAGATGCAGTGGACCTGTCTGGAGGCCGTGGCCTGCGAGTGTCGCTCCCAACTAAACCACCGTCGCCTGTTCGGCCCGAATCCGGTTTCGCAGATCACGCGACCTGCCGATGCCTTCCGGTTCTGGCACAAGCTCATCGAGAACTGTTCCGACCGGGACCTGACGGATGCGCGGGACAAACTGACGGCGATATCCGGGATCGCCGCGATATTGCATCGGAAAACACGATCCCGCTACGCTGCGGGCTTGTGGGCGGACAACATTGACGCGGATCTCCTTTGGCGGAGGGCCCACCCGACGACGACTGAGCCACCTCGGCCTGGGTACGTTGCGCCGTCTTTCTCGTGGGCCTCGGTCGAGGGGGAGGTGGATTACTGCTGCTTCAAGAACGGCAAATTGCCTTACCATAAAAGTGCATCTGTCGAGGCCGTTGAAACGGTCGCTAGTCGGAACGCTCCCTTGGGTCGCGTAGAGGGTGGACGGCTTACGATTCGCGGACCGCTCATTCAGGGATGCATGGAAGAGTCGTCCCGTCCCGGGGTGTATGTTGTGAGGCTGTGTCAGATGCGGTTGGTGGAAGTACTCGCCGACGGCGTTCTTCAGCAAGTTGTAGTGGCAGGACCAGATGGCAGCCTTGAGACGACTGTCTGCAGATGGAGTCCTTCGGGGTCCGGGTCCACCCAGAACTTGTCAACTGACACGGAAGGAGATCCAGGCACGGAAGAGGAAGAAGTGGAAGCGACTGGTCAAATACTCATCGCCGCCAAACCAGATGTCGCGGGTCCGAGGATGAGGTGCTGGGTGATGAGACTCGGTTATTTCTCTTCCGCATCAGATCTAGCAAGTCCACAGATCAGGGACCACGAATTGTTGATACTAGGCAAGTCGCCGAGGAGTCCAGGGAATTTTGAGAGGGTTGGCCTCGCCACATATCCTGTTAAAGAGGGAAGAAGTTCAGTGCTTGAGGAAGTGAGCGAACAGGAACATATAGCCACCATCACGATAGTGTGAGTTGGTTCATGACATACTGTACGGACATCATATAGTGGAGGAGTATAGGTAGTCCTGTTCAGCATAAGAATAAAAAAACGGCCGGAAATAGAGAGACTGATGAATTATTCCACCGTTTGAAACGCGCAGTAAGTGATGATTTCTGAGTAAATTATCTTGACAAAAATATACTTGGAATGTGTGAGGATTGACAACTACGTACGGTGAGCACTTCCGTACCTTTACGCTACGGTACTACGCTGAAACAGTTGCGGCGAAACCCAACATCCTCCTCTGTTCCAAAGGGTTCGTTTCTTCAACAAGTCAAGCCAACCAACTCATCCTCTATTCAGTTGCCCGACGACCAAGCTCCAGGCATCTTAAAACTCTTCATACCAGAATGGTTTCTTCTACTCGATCTCATAGTAGATCCCACAGTCTCCTTCTGATCCAGAAATTACTAAATTTGCGCGACAGTGCGAGTCCCTTGACTCTGGTATTAGATACTCTAGAGCAGGGCGCAGCACCCGTGGTTCGAGAGTATATTTCCAGGGCGAAGGTGAGAAACACCCTCGGTCACTGGACGTTGGGGAGCATATGCCTCCCTCCCGCTCTCGTCGTGGCAAAAAACATCCTCTTTACCCGGGCCCATTTCTCACGCCTGTCATTTCCATAGGCCTCAAAGACAAAAGTCATATTCCTCTCGTTTGCTACCCTGCGAAAACCTCGAGATGCGGATGTGTTCGTGAAGGGCCGAGGAAAACCCCTCACGTCGCTGAGAAAAGAGCTGGTCTCTCACTATCCAAAACCTGGAAAGTCTGCGGGTAGCGTCAAAGAGAAACTTTCCATGCAGAGTGAGTACACGGTGCGCCCTCTCTGGCTCTTGTGGAGCCGAATGATGCAGAGGAAGAAGAGGAGAAAAGGAGAAAAGGGGCGTCATGCTACATGTATTATGATACTTACTCACACAACTTCCGCAGGAGTGCTCCTCATAGTCGACTCGCTCAACGAGCTTGCCACGACAGCCCCCCACTCTCTCCCCGGCTTTCTCTCCAGCGTCATCGGCCCGGCCGTCTCGATGGTGGGCGTATATCACACGGATGTCCCTCTCGTTCTCCCGAGGACAGTGAGCGAATACGAGCCTCACCCTCTCACCCTTCTCTGCCACCTGGCCACCTCCATCCTCCGGTTGTCTAGCCTACGGCAGGAGATTGAGCGACAAAAAGCACGGAACAGGAGCCTACAGGAGCCGGAATGGGGGTTACAGGAGGAACGGGAGGGCGTGCTGATCGGGCTGAAGGGGGAGATCAAGTCTGGAGACTATGGGGGAGTGGTGCTGGACATGGAGCTCCGACGACGTAGCGGCCGGGCGGTGAAGGAGAAGTTTGCACTGTTTCCTGGAACACGGGGACCGCCGGGGGGATCGCACCTGGCGGCGGCGGCAGCAGCAGCAGCAGCAGCAAAACTGCCACCACCATCAGGTGTAGGCCAGGACAAAGGCACGCCGTCTAGGCTGATGCTGCTTTCAGACCACCATGCATTCGCACCCTCGGACGAGAGTGGCCAGTCTGGCGGAGGGGCTGGCGGCGATGAGGGACCGGAGAGTACCTTCAATCTAGGCCTGACGGAGAAGCAGAGACGAGACCGAGAAGGCATTGTACTGCCGTACTTTGATGCGCAGACGGATATAGGGGCTGGTGAGGGAGGCCGGATTCTGTACGAGATGGGCCGGGAGGACGATTTCGATGACGAGGAAGACGAGATTTGAGTTGGCGGATAGATAGCATCGATATGTCAGTCAAACACTCATTTTCGGTATCATTTCGTGCAACCTAGCAGTCTACCCTACCCATTGCTGGACGATACTGTCAATTCATGGATTCCACGCGTCGGGATCGCAGAGGCCATGATTTCCTTACGTGCCCCCGAGGTATGCACCTTGGCGCAAACCCAGTGGGCCATGGTTCCTAACATCAAATCCAGAGACCTATTGCGGAATGACATGACTTTCACCAAGCTGGATCAACCCAGAGGGTAGCATTGATGAGGAAAACCAGCAGTCCATCTTCTTCACAACACCACATCAAGCAGCGTCACAATGAAAATAGGAAATGCAAAATCAAAAATTGCGCCCACGATGGCCCCGAAGGACAATCGAAGGAGGCCGACTCCGCGATGTGCAATGCAGGCCTTCCTCCTTACTCCGCGGCCTTCTTGAGCGCCCCAGAGTTGGACAAGGTAAGTATGAAGAAGAAAAAGAGAAGAAAACAAAACATAAAACTTGGGTAGGGTTGGGGGTATTTATACTCCCCAGGGCAGCTGGGAAACGGGGAGTGCACGGTCCATCAAATATTGATTACGTAGCTCGCACAGGCAGCAGCGCTTTCCCTTGCTCATGGACCGTTGTTGCCACCTTCAACGGGTCTTACCTAATGCATCGGGACGCCTTGTTGAAACATCAAGGTACTTGTACTATGTACCTTCCTAATCGTCCTGATACGGTCACTGACGGCGTCAGTCTGCATTGGCCTTGCCGAATAGGCTGCTACATACCTACCTACCTTATGATTGCCTACTTCGGAGGTATCTTGGGATGCATCTTTCCGTTGATCCAAGTTCAGCATACTTTGTCCAAAAGGCCCCTACCCCTTCCTTCCGCCAAATGTCTCTTCATTGTCACCATATGAAACCCTGTCAAAACCATTAGAACCGGCTTCTAGACGACACATCCCTCCCGATTTCTCTCTGTTCTCCCCAACCAACCAATGCATCCGCACTCACGACTCTCCACGGACTCTTCCCCTTCAACTCCAGCGTCCCGCTTCGCCGACTCTCCTCGAAGCATCGCACCTGCTTAGGCTTCCCTTCGTCAGCCCTCAGTCGGACCAGAAACAACGGTGCGGGATGCCACCGTCCACTTCCCAATCCACCGCCGATCCCCCAGGCTCTCCGACACATGACTCCGACTCTGATCTAGACCTCGACCTACACGAGCTCGATCCAGCGACGTCTTCTCATCGATCTTTCAACCGTTCAGGACATAATCGCGACTCCTCCGATCAGAGGGCTCCGAGAATTGCCCTCCGCAATCTTCGTATGGGGGGCTTGCGACGGGCCAAGCGGTCCAGGGGATACGGGGAGCTGGGGCAGGACCTGGATAACACCGGCGACGACGCCGAAGCTCTACTAGACGATGCAGAAAGACACGGGTCTCGTTCCATGGACCGGGACCATGCTTCGGGGGATGACGCGCCCCTTCTCCCAGGAGGCTCGTCGTCCTCACGGCGCCGATCCTTCGCGCAGGAGGGCCTGGGAAGGTTATCGGCCTTACGGTCTAACTTGCGACTTCCTGGGTTCATGGGGGGTTCGGGGGAGCAACAGTCAGGCAGGGACACGAGCGACGACCAGGACGAAGAAGAGGAAGACGACCCCTCGGCGTCACGACTTGTTCCCGTCGGGTTTGCCGACCCATCGAGATTCCCGCCGAATAGAATATCCAACGCGAAGTATACCGCTTTCACCTTCCTCCCCGTCACACTCTACAATGAGTTCTCCTTCTTCTTCAACATGTATTTCCTACTTGTCGCGCTTTCCCAGGCGATACCCGCCCTGCGGATCGGATACCTCACGACTTACATCGCCCCCCTGGCCTTCGTCTTGGTGATTACAATGGGAAAGGAGGCCTACGACGACATCGGGAGGCGAAAGAGGGATAACGAAGCCAATGCGGAAGAGTATACCGTGCTCCATTTTGAAGAGCCCGGACAAGCTATGGCGGCGGCCTCCCAGCGCTCCCACAGAAAACTCAAATCAGACTCGGTGAAGAGGAGGCGGAGGAGGCTTCTCAAAAATGGAGAAAGGTTATCGGACATTCGCGAGGAGGAGGAGCGCATCGAGGGTCAAGGGTTGTTGCAGTCGCAGCCTTCCTCCGTGGTCCGCGAGTTGCCCCGAAAATCTCGCGACTTGAAGGTCGGCGATGTTTTGAAGCTCAGCAAGGGTCAGCGGGTGCCGGCCGATGTTGTGATTCTCAAATGCGAGACCCCGGAGACTGCACACGATACGGTGGCACACGAAGACGTGCCAACAGGAGAGGAGGATCTTCTCGTCGACCCAGAGCGAGAACCCCATTCGTCTAACAAAGGCAAAGGCCCCGATGTCCGGGACATTGTCCAAGACAATGTCCAAGACAACGATGTTGGTGGACCTGGGGGTGAGACGTTCATTCGAACCGACCAACTGGACGGTGAAACCGATTGGAAGTTACGCCTGGCCTGCCCGCTGTCGCAAAATCTACCCGCGGAAGAGTTCGTTCGCTTGCGTGTCACGGGCGGGAAGCCGGATAAGAGGGTGAACGAGTTTCTGGGGTCCATCGAACTTCTACCCACCAAGGAAGATGCGCAGGTCCTCTCCAGCACTCTTCCAGGGGTTGGCGATGCTTCCAAATCTGCGGCTTTGTCCGTTGATAACACGGCCTGGGCCAACACCGTCATTGCGTCGCAAGCCACGACGTTTGCCGTCATCGTGTACACCGGCGTGCAGACCAGATCTGCGCTCTCCACCGCTCCCTCGAGGTCCAAGACCGGCCTCCTGGAATATGAGATCAACTCGTTGACCAAGATTCTCTGCGCCATCACCCTCGCTCTATCGGTCATCTTGGTCGCCATTGAGGGTTTCGAGAATACCGAGGGCAACGTCTGGTATGTCAAGATCATGCGCTTCCTCGTCTTGTTCTCCACCATCGTGCCTATTAGCCTGCGAGTCAACCTTGATCTCGGGAAAAGTGCGTACTCCTGGTTCATTCATCGCGACCCTGGTATCCCGGGCGCCGTGGTACGGACAAGCACGATACCCGAGGATCTCGGCCGTATCGAGTACTTGCTTAGCGACAAGACGGGCACCTTGACGCAGAACGACATGGAGATGAAGAAGATCCATGTCGGTACCGTATCGTACGCCAACGAAGCCATGGACGAAGTCGTCTCCTACGTTAGGCAGGGTTTTCATGTCCAGCCGACTGTCGACCCGGCATCCAGAAAGGCCCTCATCACGCCCTCTTCGACCTTTGCGACTACCGCGAATATAGGCACGACGCGTACACGACGAGAGATCGGGACTCGGGTTAGGGACGTTGTGCTAGCGCTCGCGCTGTGCCACAACGTGACCCCGACTACCGAGGAGGAGGGTGGCAAGACGGTCACGTCGTACCAGGCATCTTCGCCTGACGAGATCGCCATCGTACGGTGGACCGAATATGTCGGCCTTCGCCTTGCCCACAGAGATCGCAAGGCCATGGTGCTCGAGTCCACCGAGACGGGTAGGACGGTGGTGCAAGTTCGCATTCTGGACGTTTTCCCCTTCACCTCGGAGGGTAAGCGGATGGGCGTCATCGTCCAGTTTTACGAGTCGATGCAGTCCGGAATCCCCGACCTCGACAGCGGCGAGATTTGGTTCTACCAGAAAGGCGCAGATACCGTCATGGGCTCCATCGTCGTCGAGAATGACTGGTTGGACGAGGAGACGGCCAACATGGCCCGTGAAGGTCTGCGGACGCTCGTCGTCGGGCGCAAGCGGCTCTCCCATCAGCAGTATCGGGAATTCTCCCGGGACTACCAAGAGGCATCTCTCGTCATCAACGGGCGCGATGCGAGCATGCAGCGCGTCGTTTCGGAACACCTCGAGCGGAGCCTGGAGCTCCTCGGCGTCACGGGCGTCGAGGACAAGCTGCAGAAAGACGTCAAGCCCTCGTTGGAGCTCCTCCGAAACGCCGGCATCAAGATTTGGATGTTGACGGGCGACAAGGTCGAGACGGCCAGGTGCGTGGCCGTCAGCTCGAAGCTTGTGGCGCGGGGACAGTTCATCTACACGGTGGCCAAGCTCAAGCGGAAGGACAACGCGCGGGACCACCTGGACTTTCTGCGGAGCAAGACGGACTCGTGCCTCCTCATCGACGGCGAGAGCTTGGCCCTCTTCCTGACGCATTTCCGCGTCGAGTTCATCTCGGTGGCCGTGCAGCTGCCGACCGTCGTGGCCTGCCGCTGTTCCCCGACGCAGAAGGCCGAGGTCGCCGAGCTGATCAAGGAACACACGAAGAAGAGGGTCTGCTGTATCGGCGACGGCGGCAACGACGTGTCCATGATCCAGGCGGCGGACGTCGGGGTGGGTATTGTGGGCAAGGAAGGGCGGCAGGCGAGTTTGGCGGCCGATTTCTCCATCGAACAGTTCCACCACTTGACCAAGTTGCTGGTGTGGCATGGCCGCAACAGCTACAAGCGCAGCGCCAAATTGGCTCAGTTTGTCATTCATCGTGGTCTCATCATCGCCGTGTGCCAGACCATGTACAGCATTGCCATCGATTTCGAGCCTGAGGGTCTTTACAAGGTGAGACCCCCCTACTTCCTCCTCCGCCTTCTCCTTTTCCCTTGTTTTCAGTCTTCTCTAACACAAAGTGCAGGATTGGCTCCTCGTAGGATATGCGACGATTTACACGGCAGCGCCTGTGCTCTCCCTAGTGCTCGACAAGGACGTCGACGAGAACCTGGCGAACCTCTATCCGGAGCTCTACAAGGAACTCACCTCGGGCCGGTCCCTCTCGTACCGGACATTCTTCGTCTGGGTCCTCGTCTCCGTCTACCAAGGCTGCGTGATCCAGGGCCTATCCCAGCTTCTCGTCGAGGTGGACGGGCCGAAGATGGTGGCCGTCTCATACACCGTGCTCGTCCTCAACGAGCTGCTCATGGTGGCTATCGAGATCACCACCTGGCATCCGGTCATGATTGTGTCTATCCTGGGAACCTTCCTCGCCTTCGTCGGCTCTATACCGTTCCTGGGCGGTTACTACGATTTGGAATTCATCATCACTCTGTAAGTGGTCTCCTACTCTCTTTCGTGTTGCAATGCATTGGGCTATGCTCTAGCAACAGCTGCTGACGAGTGTAAAGGGGATTCTACTGGCGCATCCTGGCCATCGGGGCCATATCGCTCGTCCCACCGTACGCGGCGAAACTCATCGGGAGGGCATTGAAGCCGCCTTCCTACAGAAAAGTGCAGAGCTCATAAATCGTCTTCTAAGCCTCCCGTTGGGGTCGTTCATTGACAAAAGGAGTTATTGAATGGGGTTTTGGGGGGCATATGGGGGGGTTTTTTTTTTTTTTTTTTTTTTTCCTTCTCGAAGCGGTCACATTGTTAGCAAACATGATAAATCATTGGCATTTGGGATTGTATTTTGCTACGTCTCCCGGAATCCAAGGTGAGAGACTCCTGAATGGATATCCACCCCTATTTACATGCAAGAAGCGCCATTGTAGGCTTTTCTATATTCAATGCTGGGGTATATGACATATGTTGAATGTGGTCGTCGTCGTTGTCATGGTAATGGTAGCGGTAGGTGTGGTCGTGGCAGTGGCAGTGGTAGTCGAAGAGGGAGGGGGGAATGAGAGGGCAAGGCGAATCGCTTCTTCTCACATCTTAAGAACGATCCAATCCTTCAGCAGGCCCGGATCCCTCCTCTCCAATTCCCCCAGGACACCGCCCACAGTGCCCTGAACCTGGGCGCCGCCCTCCCACGGCCTGGGCCCCACGTAGGCGGCGATGAAGCCGTCCGGGCCCGACACAAGCAGCAGGTTCTTCCCCGGCGCGTCCTCGGGAGGACAGCGGCAGGCCTCGCGGGAGGCGAGGTCCTTTCGGCCCTGGTTGGGGGCGCCATCTGGCATGTTCGCCTGCAGAGGCTGGGAATGGAACTCGCACGGCGGCGGCGGCGTCGACGTCGACGTCGACGTCTTCGACAGCGATACTGCAGCGGCGGGGGCGGGGGCCGGGGCGGTTCCCTTTGAGGCGCCGCTGCCGTGGCGCAGAGCTCCCAGCAAGTCCTTCGGGGTGATGGCGGTGCCCTCGTCATCCACGACGGAATGCACGCGTACCCTATCCCCGTGGCGCGCCTTCATGGAAAGGAGCTGGGCGGTGATGCTCGTCGGGGCGGCGAAGTCCGGGCCCCTGATTTCTTCCGCTTCGTCGTCGCTCGCGAAACTGCCTGATAGAAAACTCCTCCACCAGGGGCGTGATCCAGAGCTCGATTTCCCCCCGGTCGAGGCGGAGAGATCCTGCATGTCGGATCTGGACCGCATGGCCCACAGGATCTTGACGTTCGGCTTCGCGTCGTCGTCGTCGTCGTCGTCGTCGTCTTCGAGGACAGAATGGGCGGCTTGCAGGGCCGTCGCGATGCCGGTCCCGCCGGCGAGGAAGACGACTTGCTTTCCTCCCTGCTCGCGCTGCGGCTCTTCCCCTCCGGCAGCTGACACGCCGTCTATTTCCTCTTTGCCGTAGAGGCCGAGACGCGAGTGCAGATCGAACCCGCCGTGAGGTCCACGCAGCTCTACGCGGCTCCCGACCGGTAAGCGGCTCAGATAGGTAGAGACCTCTCCTCCGTCTACCGCACGAACAAGCAGACGTACAACCGCTGCGTGGTCGGGAGCAGACGATAAGGGGGGAAGCGGGGTGTATTCCCGCGCAATTTGGAGTTGGGGCTGCTTCACTTCGACGGACCAGAGGTCGAAAGTGCGCCACGGATCTGCGAGCTGGGACGCGATGTCGGAGGAGGTGAGAGACGGGAAATCGGAGGGGGAGGGGCGGAGAGTCAGGACGAAGGAGGTGGGAGAGACCTGGTCGCGGGATACGAGCTCGAATGGGGTGAAGACGTCTCTGGAGAGGATTTGGTTTCGGGGTGGAGATGGTGTAGAGGCGAGATAGTAGAAGACCGATGCGCTTGCGAATGTGAAAATAAAGAAGAGCGTCAATGGTCGGTAAGACCGTCTACGTGGTGGAGTGTTGGTATTGGCGTTGGAAGTCTTCTTTTTGGCGTTGGGAGAAGTGCGTCTGGTCGTCGTCGAAGTGGATAGGGATGAGCGCTGCTGCTGGGTGCCTGGTTTACACACCGAGCCGGCTATAGTTTGCCATTGAGAACGGAGACCATGGTTGGCTGAGGACCGTGAGATGAGCGTCTTGGATGGAGCGAGACAGAAGACACCCCTTCTCCCTGTTCGTCCCGTGGTGAGGAGAATGGGCGTCGGTGACCCTCGTAAAGTCGAGGCTATGAAGATGCGTTGAGATGACATGATAATTCCGGGAATTGCTAGCTTATCTCCATGATTTGTGGTGAGGTATTATGAGGAAGAATGTAAGAGGGTATGAGAGATGGTTCACGGCAATAATGTACGGGTGAGATGGGGTTGGATGAGAGAACGTTGGATTCAAGTAAAATGAGTGGAAGACGGAGTATAAACCGAGGTGCAAAACGCACGCGATCACGTGACATCGCGAGGGAGCTCATTCTCATTGGCGGTACAACATGTGCGAATGCTCGGCTCCGAGTCCGGGCTTCGTGTCTAAGGTCCTTAAGGCATCCTAGGTAAGGTACGTACCTAGATTGACCAAAGATACAATGTATAAGAGAATATGACAATACCTTATACATAGAAGCTGTCGACAATCCATCATATTCTCAAGATCTTCCTGTCCTGGTCGATCCCGCCACGGAACATATCCTGAATCACCTTCCCTTCCAAGATGGTCTCCCTGATGATGCCGTCCACATGCTTTGGCTCGACTCGACCATACCAAATACCTCTTCCCGCCAGCGGATGGTCTCCGCCGTCTCGTGTTTTTGTTCCGGGGGGAATATATACGATCACATTGCCCGCAAACTTGTGACCACCAATATGGCTAATGGCTCCAACCCTCGCCGCCACACCCTCCCCAACCGTCACCGTCTCCCCATCGCTTTCAGTCGTAGCAAACTCTTCCGCGTCCTTTCCAGCATTCTCCTCCTCTTCCACAACCACAGGCCCCTTACCAACAGGAACCCCCAACCGGGGCAGGCTCGCCTCGAACTCAGCCCTCAAGACCGGCCCAGCGACCCCGCACCGCATGTCCCGTCCGCCATGCCCGCAGATCAGAACCATGACCTCCCTCACGTCCCGCACGCCGCGGAGCAGCTTCCGGGAAGCCGGCTTCCGCGTGAGCCGGTCGCGGTGCGCAGGCGGCAGCGCGTCGTGCGCGGGGTGTGGCTTCGTCGGGAGGAGATAGCCCTCTACAAGGGCACGCACGCTGTCGGTGGACTCGCGTGACACCCAGGGGATGTACGTGAAGCTGGGGAGGAGGTAGACGGAGGTCGACGTCGTGGTCTGCTGGTCTGTAGCAGTCCGTTGGGGGACTGGCGAGGAGGGGAAAGATGCGTTTAGGACTGAGGTGTTATGAAAGGGCTGGTGTCAAATCTGTCAGGCAACGTATCTTCATTATAGACATGTCGGGTGAGAAGGGGAAAGGTGAAAGGGGGAAAGAGAGATGAAAGTCATTTGCAGGACCACTTACATCGCTGTACATGCCACCACGACCATACAGACCCTTAAGCCCGGCAGCGAGGTTCTCCCCGCCATCCTCCTCCTCAATCCGCGAAGGCCAGTCGTCACGACCCGTACAGACAAGCACCTGCTCGGCATACCCGGACATGACGCCGTTCAGCGGACTGCTCCGATCGATCTCCAACCCCGCCGGCGGCTGCGGGGTGGCAGCACAGGCGCACGTCGGCGGGGGACATGTCGGCACCGTGGGGAACGACGGCGGCGGTCTCACGGCAGATAGCCAGGAGGGGCGTTTGCGGGGGGGGCCGTGGTCTTTGTTGTCGTCCCCGCCAACAGCAACGGCACCGCTACTTCTGGGGCTCCGGGACTTGGTCGTGGTGCTGAAACGTGCCCTGCATAACTGTGCAGGCGACCTGGCAAGATGGTGCCGGGTCCAGTACGAGGACGGGGAGGATGGGGAGGATGACAGTGACAGTGGCAGTGACAGTGGCAGTGAGAGGGGGTGTGAGACCTGCACTGAAGTTGCCGCTGAAGTCACGGCCCTCGGTAAGCGGTGTCCACGCATCTTTTCGCGGGCCCCGTAATCGCCTCTTTTTACCCTTTCCTTACCCCCCAGTCAGTCCGTGTAATTGAGTATTCATTGGAGATTATTATGCGGTGAGCAGGGTTTCGCAAACAGTACCGAACTTGGGGGAAAGGGGGTTCGCCAAGATCAGGCAGACGCGATACGATGTTTTCCTGGGAACGATAAAAGGAGAAGACATCGAGTAATTACTTTGTCTTTGTACTTTGTACAAAGATGGGGGAAAAAGAAAGGATCCAACGGTCGGAACATCGGGCCGTTCTCTCAATGACTCAGCAGATGAATTCTCGGGTGCACAGCATGTACAGATGTTCAATAAGATCGGAGCCGGCAGCGGAGCTTGGCAACCTTATCTCGGCCGGCAGTTATTGCGTTCTGTCGGCCCGGTTCCCGCTACTCCGATATGTAGTTCGGTTTTAATTCGTCCATCCCGACCATCCATACGACAACGTTGGTGCCAAGAACTGGAAGCGGAAGTACAACATAACCTCTCTCCTACGGAGGATCCGTAAGCCGTACTCATACCTGATACCTACTGATCTGCCTTTGTTTGAAGATGTACGCGTAACCGAACATCTGTTGGTATTTTTCTTTGGTAAGAGAGACGAGTCCATCTGCATTGTCGGCTATTGCTCCTTGGCAGCATCACACTCCTCCAGTGCTAATCGATGACACATAAAACACCATCGCACATGTTAGGCTGACACCCTGGGCAGTACCTCGAAACCCACGGGGCAGTGGTTGGCTTGTTGCGTTGGTGATCTTGGTCTCACGTTTGAATCATCACTTTTCATTCGACAAGAGCAAGGGGGGTTGCGGTAATTAAGAAGCGGCTTCTTCCTCGCGCAAAATGGTTATGGCCATCCGGGCCATCATGCCAGCTACCTAGTCCATCCATCCAAGACGCAGAACTCGGCTCGTTCCTGCTTGTCCCATACTCCTATGGCTTGTTGAGGCTGAACAAAACCCCCGAAAGAAATAGTGAAAGATATAGACAGGGGGTCCAAATATAGACAGGAAGAAAAGAAAAAATACAAATGGCCAATGAAGAAATGGAGGATGCGTCAAACAATAGTACCCAATACGCTCGCCTCCTCGCGTAAAGTAAGAATGCCTGAGGAAAGGCTGAACCAATAAAAAGGGCAACAAAATGCCGGCGGCGAAAAGGTAAAGCCCCCCCCCCCCCCAATGGACCGCTTCGGGAGAAGCCCTGGCGACCATCATCTCTCACCTCACCCCTTCCCAAATATGAAACCACAGCCAAAAGACCAACGCCTGGTAACTCCACGCAATGCTCATGAAATCCATGGATTATGCCCCCAACCCCAGTCCTTCCCTTTCGTCGCCCTGCAGCGTGCGAAATATGTAGTAGTTGACATTCATCTTCACCATCTCCATGTAGCCACCCTCGGCGGCCTTGAGACATGAGGGGAATGCAACAAAAAAGTTGAAGAATACTTAGGTAGCAGGAAGGAAAAGTAGGTTTGCCGACAAAAGTGCCCCCGATAAACGGAAGCAAGTGCACTAAATTTCGCGCGTCGGGCTTAACGTAGAAATTGGCCGGGTCTTGTTCGAATGTCATGGACGGGAGACGGATCTTCTGACGGAGACTGGTAGCCGTTGTCCCCCGTCTTTCTAAGCAAGCAGTGAAGCGTACGAGTCAACGTGCCAAGGGCGATTGAGTACACCCTCGTGGATCCGGGGCAGCTCAATGATCGGGCGGTGCTGGTGCCAGGATAGGCTCGATTTCCTGCTGTCTAGCGGATGACCAGTCGCCTGTGATGACTCCTGGCCCACTGGGGAGTACGTGTCGAAGCCAAGCCGTAGCCTCTTGGGCGGCGAAGTGGCCTCCGGGCTACGCTGACGGACCGTGCTCCCACGCGGAGAAGTCGACCCACTCGAGTCTGACCCAGATCGACGGCCATCAGTCAATGCCGAGGATGCGCCAGACCGCCTCACACCATCCACATCTGCGGACGGAGGCGATGACGCTGTGTTGTTGTTGCTGCTTCCGTGACTGCTGCTGTGTCCTCCCCGTGGCCTAAAGAATCCCAGTTAGCTCATGAACTTCGAGTGAAAAGACGGCCGCCGAAGGGAGTGGGGGTGGGGGGATTGTTTCCCAACTTACGCATTCTTGAACTTGCAAACCCGACCGAATTTCTCGCATTGAACGCAACGTGGGTAGTCCGGGTCGCATTTGATCTTCTTCTCCCGGCAGGTAATGCAGGCAATGGCAAGCCTCTTCCTCGGCTTACCCGCCTTCGTCACGCCCCAGTGGGCGTTGACAGCCTCACCGTCGATGACCGTCTTGCAGTGGCTCCCGTCGTCGTAAAAATAGCACATGCCCTCTCCCGGGACCTCGGCCGCTCGCACGAAGCGTGGGAGGAAATGCGTCCCAGTCCAGATCTTGGGACCCAGGCCGTCTTTGGATGGCACACCTTCGGCGACCGCCGTGCTAGTCGAGGTCCTGCGCGGAGTAGCTGCCGTCTCGGTCGGTGACCTTTGCTCGCGCCCCCCTGATCGAGCGTCCGGCCCAGCCGAGAACGGGAATGGTAACCGTTCGTGCGGGGACCGCAGCGGCGCCGAGGCGTCTCTGCCTCCCAGGGCATACTCGTGCCTTCCCGTCTCCTGCTGCAACGACCACCGTCCACCTAGTCCTGCACCAGACCTGGTTTCCGGGCGGCCCTGTTCAGAGTCCCGGTGGTCAGAGGATCCAGAACCGGAGAAAGAGCGAGTCATGGAGTGCAACGCCGGTCGATCGTGGTCGAATCTTGCCTCGTAGGCCGTCAATGATGGGATGAAAGGAGAGAAGAAGGATGCCGGGTAAGGTCCGTCCGGGTGGACTGGCGAAATGCGGGGCCGGTCGAGGGGCGACGTCGCCGGATAGGAACCCGGGCGTTCTGATGAGGGCGAAAATAGAGGGCGGGCCGAAGGGGGAGGCCCAAACAGACTGCTGATGGGAGGAAGTTGCTGTCGGGGTGCCTGCGGGGCAGACTTCTCGGCTTCATCCACATCTTTGCTCCCGTGCGAAGACACGCTGCTCGTTGCGCTATGGTCATAGGTGGACATGGACGGAGAGGTGGAGGCGGTGGTTGAAGAAGCCCAGGATTGAAGATCGGCCGGTGGTGATGGCCTTGACGAGTAGGAGGATGAAGACGGGCTCACCAGTTCGGGAGGGGAATCTGGGAGGGGGGCCAAGCGAGGGTGGGGTTCCAAAGTTAACATTCCCATCGAGAACTGCGGGTTTGGCCAGGTGGCCGTCGTGAGTCGTCAATAGATCAGAGAGGCTTCCTGCCGAAGGCTTCGAAGGAAGAGCGACGACGAGCGACAAGTGAAGCCGAGTTGGGAGTGATTCGCGGTCAGCTACTGGAGGTGTCGATGGTGGAGGCGTTGATTTGATATGCTCGGTAGGAACCTCGGAGAAGATGAAACCGTCACGACCAACAGGACTCTAGTCTCTAACTATGTGAAGTGTAGAGAGACGGGAAGAGGGAAGGTATGAAGTAAGTTTGAGTAGGGCGAGGTTGAGAAACGTGTGTAAAAAGGGAAGTCTCGAGGGGATGCCCCTCGAAGCATGGACATTGATCTTCATTATGTATGAATATACGGAGTGTACACCCGGCTTCGTCTGTCTGGCAAGGGGTAGGGTGTACGTTGTAGGGAAATCCGTCTAGTTTCGTACCCTCTTCTTGTTGGAGCCGAAGCAGGGGGACCAACGGGCTGGGTTGGCTTGGCTTGAGTAGCACCTGGGGGGGTGGCTCGATGCGGCCATATGGGGGTGTAAGTGAGGAAGTGAGGCGCCCGATAGGACGCTGCAAGTATGTATTATGTACGTTGTATGTTCCTCCTCGATATGCACTGGGACTCTGGGAGGGCCAGCGACTCCACGTGCTGCTGTCCATATCAGCTGCTTCAGGCGGCTAGTAGGATGTGTCTCAGTGAGAAATACCGATCCATTCGTACGGATATTTCCTATGCCATACAAAATAAGAAGGGAGGAGGCCGAGGAGGAACCTACCGTCGCCGAATACACGGTCTCTCGGCGGAGGGACAAGGCGCACACACCCGCAAAACGAGAGAGGGAGAGAGAGAGAGAGAGAGAGAGGGTGAACGCGAGAGCGAGAGTGTTCCTGTACTGGCCGGCAAATGCCGTCGACGCTCATCAGCCACAGAGATGCCACGAGGAACTTGCCGTGCCCCATATGCAAATTCATACATAGCAGGAATGAGCTCCACACAGCCCTCTACTAGTCCGCCCGCCCACCTGGGGTGTGGTGCAAAGGGGTGCCGGGGACTCGGAGTTACATAGATAGGGGTACCCTGGAGGGACGGAAGGGATAAAAAGAAAAGTTGGCGCCAAGGATCGGTAAAACGTGCGTGGCATGGACCAGGGCATTACCGGCTTCTCACTGTCGAGGCTTCCAATGAGCGAGATTGGAGGCTTAGGTAGCCCGGCCGAATGACGGCATCCACCTTAGGAAACGCGTGTGCGGATTATTTCGTACGAATAACCGAAATGGACAATTCCTGGGGGGTGAACCTGGGAGAGCGTGCGGATCGTGTCCACCTGGGGTTAAAGATAGGAATAGAAGAAGAAATATTTGACGGGCGGACCAGATGCACGACATGTAAGTGCCGCAACGCCAAAGGCTCTCCAGTTGATTTGGGCCAAACAACGGGCGTGTGGTGAGGTGATGATAGACCGTTTGAATAGCATCCACAGGAAACCGTCCAATGTTTACGCATAATAGTCTCCCACTACCTTGGGCGTGGCGCCAAGGACTCTTTCAGACAAAGTGACCGTACCGTGATGGCGGTAGAAGGCGCCTTGGGATCGTGCTGTGGCGTTGTCCCAAGAAAAGAAATTCGCGAGACCTGCCTTTCTGGTACATTATGAATAATGTTCCGAATCGTCTCCTCGGAAAGGTGGTTGGTCGGATATAGATAAGGAATACCTATTCGTACAGCTGGCATGTCATCTTACGAAATAACGACCGAATATTGAGGCGAGGGAACACCACGCTTGCAGAGTGTATGTATGATCTAGGTTGACCGGAAGCCTGGTCGGTGCCATCTCCCTGGGTACGTTGTGGGGAAGATATTTGCCGCACGTGGATCGTGTGCGCTCTCGAATGTTGGAATATGCCGAGATACTGCGGAACGGAGGGGGCCATATCACGCATCCTGGGGTGAGCCGTGAGGGGGAAGTCACGCCTCGCAGGTACTTCGTCATCATCATCGTACGAAGTAGCATCGTGGCAGGCAACTCGCCCCCTTGCTAAACCGCAGGATTGCAGCACCCACCTGCCCCAGAATGGCTCTCCGGCACACTTGTCCCGTTAGGCATGGGCGACAGATGGAGTAGGTATGAATGAATACGGAGTATGTCGAACCTCCCCAGGCATTCGAGGAGATGGGAAATACTTGGGTGGTGTGGTTGAGGATAGGCATCTACATTCCTCTCAGTGCTGATTCGTACTTTTAGTTGGCAGCACACAGGAATGAGGGAGCACCTTTGCTTGAGGCATAGCAAGCCACAGAATGCCTGTCAAGAACATGTTACCACACCTGAGCGGGACTTCCCATGGCATGTCGCGGGTGTCCGAGCGGCACCATGGTAGAAAAGCCGTCAGGCAGTTCTAGCACACCACCATGATTCGCACCATGATCTTAGATGCGTATGTATGTATGTTGTATGTAAATGGACGTTCGCAGGAGAGTCGATCTATGTACCTTGTGGAGAAGGACGAGGGAGAGAAAAAATGGAGCGAAGAGGCGATCTTGTTGTCTAGCGTCGCCCGCGGCGGCAAGCTAGTGCCCCGGTTACCGACTCATTGGAGTCGATGGGACGAGGCCGTCAGTGCAACCATCGATATTTCACTCATATTTCACCGTTTCCCCTGGATGCCTGTGCGTGCATGGGCCTTGCGAGTACCCTTGCACGGGGATAAGAGGAATGTGGGCGATGGAATCGGTAATTATCCTGCAATATCAACGACTCGGTACGGAGTGAGAGCGGAGCGCGAAGGGCGGGGAAACGAATATCAGTACGAAGTAAAGAACTGACTGGCAAAACCTCAACATATCGATCGCAAGATATGGTATTGGTGCAAACGGAGTCTTATCTTTTTCTTTCTTGATTTTGTGGGCTTTTTTTGGTGTATGCCAAGGCAGAAAAGACAAAGGACGACTGATAACCAACAAAAGACGGCTTTTGTGTACGGATAAGGGTAGGGTAGGGTAGTGGGCAGTGGGCGATAGGCGATGAATCATCGTGGTCTTGTTGATCGGGTGGTGTCGGCTAGTCGGAAAAAAACATGTCTGGTTCGTGCTCGTGGTACAAAGTCATAAGTACGGGATGTTCCGCCACACCCAAGAATGGTAACAAGGTACTATGTAGTAAATCTCCATACGGATAATACGTAATTATGAAGTATTGGACGCTGTACATACTTGTATGGGCGATGTTGGATCGGACCCCAGCGAGACAGGTAGCTAAGGTCAAGGACGCTGTTGTAAGAGGGGCGTAACGGATACTAATCACAATCCGTCCGTTCCTCGCTATCTGTCGCCCGGTGGCCGTTTGGGGGAGTACCGTATTGTTACGAAGTAGATACGTATTTAATTTCCGGGCTTCGTGATGAAGAGAACAACACAACGTACAACACGGGTTGCACAGACCCGATCTCGACACAGCTCGCTGTTGTTTTCCGTATCAGGAGCCGGTCCCGTTACGTAGTACCGAGGACGCTCTTAATTGCATTATCCAGCAGTATATACGCACATGTTTCAGATAAGGTGGTTCTTAACATCGGGACATGGATCCGAGACCCAAACGGCTAACAAGAACGGCGGAAACGGGCTGATTTCTGGGGGAAATCATTTATTCGTAGAGCCCTGCCGGCTATTAGGACCTGCTAAGGTTGGATGGAGAGTGGAGGTGGCGGCGGGTCGTGGGATATTCCGTCGGCAGTGGCAGAACGATACGACCCAAGTGTCCGTACAGGAAAAGACAGGCGAGGTGGAAAATGCCGTCCATTCCCTGGCCCTCCAATGTACGTTGTACAAGGTAGTGTACCACCTACGAAGTACCTACGTACGGCGAATAGATCTCGGGGGAGGCGCTGCGGCGCACCAACCGGGCGGAATTCTGGGGCCCATGGCTCGCTTAATTGGACCGAACCAAGCCTGCCCCTTGCGGAAACCAAAGTGCGCCTGGGTACGTACCCGTTGGTTCTGAGATGCAGGGTGTGAGGACGGGTGTCGTGCCATCCCGTCCCGTGTCGCACTCTCGATACCGTAAAGGTAAGAAGATGCAATGAGTGTATATAAGGTAGGTAGGGAGGTCAGGGTCGGGGTATATATATAGTCCGAGGGTCTCGTAGGTTGATAGAGGGTTGCACGAATCCTCGATCACTGATCAACGACAAGAGTTGGCGGCTGTAGCTGGGCATCGTGAGATTGAGAGTCGAGTTGAAACATGAAGTACCTACCCACAAAGTACGAATATTACTCGTAATTATTTCGTAGAGGGAAGGTCCTCCGCGGCAGGCAAGTCAGACAAAAACGGTCCTGTCTTGTATATAGCGGACCTGTGCCCCCGTGAGACGGGGGGAAGCAGCGTATCGATGTACCTTGTACTTCGTTCATACCGATTTAAGTGCAGTTTCAAGACCCTACCAAACATGAATGGCCTCGGTAGTTGCCAGTCTGGTTCATGCCTGCAGGTTAGACTTGCCCATGTGTACGTGTAAACACCAGGTTCTGTAGCGAGTGCCAAGCATCATATTTGGCATGTACAAAAGATATCACCCCATCTTCCCCTCTTTTCCCTTCCTCCTCGACTCCTCCATCATATATCACTGATTTCCTGGGTTCTTAATCAGGAGTCAACAACGGATGTGTCCGTATTACTGCGTCACCAAGCACGCATGGAAATTTCAGCGTCGCTTGCAACATTCGTAATAACAACGCAGGCGTCTATTCCATCCATTGTACATTGGTAGTCTACCACATATATGTCTTGGTACTGTACCGTTTATCATGGGCCGGTCACCAAGTCTGGAGATGGTACGATGTTTCGTAGTTTCGTCGTATTTCTGCAGTCCTGAAGCAATGATCTGTACTCCATACCCGGGTACTACAGGTACCGTAATTAATTACCTTACAGGCAAGACTGCGTGTCAGCGAATCCTTTCTCGTTCACCAAATCCCGAAGTTCATCCAGTGCCAAGGCATCGGCAATACCACCGCACACACCTCGCGTTCTCGCGCTTTCGCGTGTTCTGCGGAGTCCCAACCGTACGCTATAGGCACCCCAGCAAAGTGTCCCGCACTTCTTTCAACAGGGCTCGCTCGTTGGTTGGATGAAGTCGGGGTTTAGAGACGCAGCTCGTCGAAAAGAATAACAATCATCTCTAAACTTCGTAATCGTCCTATTCGTAGTGTTAGGTCTCACCCATCTTGATTTCGTATTGCCTTCGTCGATTTCAATACACACGCATATATATGTATGCCGGAGTAGGGCTTCCCACGGGCCGGATTTGAAACACTTACCGTAAAGCCTCACGGTGAGTATTGGGATTTCCCGTCTTCCCGTGGAGCCTCCGGGCACTGACCGGCAAATCGGCCGGCCAGTTCAGCGAGGCACGCGAATCCCCGCCGCAGATAAGCACCGAGGATGCGGAGTTTACCGTCTGGGACATTCTCCATTTCAGGTACCTTACCTATTCAAGAACACATTCCTCGTGGCATGTGTCCAGCGCCGAAAAGGAAGCACTTCGTATTTCGCACTATTCGATAACTAGGTCTGCTGTCGTCCAAACGTAGGTAATCTTTTTATTTTATTTTTCAACTTGGTACGCCATTATTATGACCTGGGATTCCTGTCAAGGGAAATATGTCGTATTTTGGCAAGAACCTCACAACTAAGTACGTACCGAGTAAATCAGTGACTGCTTTACCTAACACGGGTCGAATAGGCATCGAATTCTACCTTACGAAGTAGAATCCGCCCATTGTTCATAACCCTATCGTCTCGTTGGCGCCGCGATGTTGCTCCTTTCGCTTGCTTCCCAGGTGAGACGGGACCAGCTTCTCAACCAACCCCTGGCCTCCAGCTCCTGAAATGCGGCAGCCCTGCCACAGAAACCAGCCACCGCATATCGATGCGACGGAACCAAATTGCCAGTCGCAGATATCCTGCACAGTGCTAGCCCCTGTGTGAAATAATGGCTTGGTCAGATTCCACCGACATCTGAAATAAGCGAAAATGACCAAGTGCCGTAGCCCAAGTGGGCTCGATCGATGATTACCTTAGGTATGTACATACGTTGTACGCTTGCAAGTGCACCACATATTACTCCGTACTATGGAAAGAAATCGGCTCCTGGAAGATTCCGGCCTACCTACAACGTACCTTATCCTACGGAGTAAGTAATCAGCACCCAGCCTGCTGGACACGTTCCCGGGAAAACCCCCTCACCCCGCTTTGCAGACGGCAATAGCGCGTCCCACGTCGTGGGTGCGATCTGCTATAGGCAAGGATGCGACATAAGGTGATCATCTCCCAAAGCCATGGGGAACACGTTCATGCGTGTATACATATACGGAATTAATAGTCGAAGTACGTCGTAGATAATGAAGGATCCTGGATGTATGTTGTATCGAATGTTTTCTATCCCTGCCCAACTATTAACTCACACTCCAAAGAAAAGAGGGAAAAGGAATGATGGGGACACACCCGTCAAACCAGCGTAGCATCGTAATTGATTACTTCGCAAGAGCCGTCATTACTCTCTTATTGAAAGCATATTTCGTTTCTTTGGACTTGACCCGATGAATGAAGCACACAGGGCGGGGTTTGGTCCCCGAGCCCCGATCCGGCATCCAAGCTCCAATTGCGTGATAGGAACTAGGAGACTCCCCCCGCTCTTCTCCAACATCGACAAAGACGTCTGATCGTCATGTGACCGACCCGACGCGACCCGATCCGACCATGCAAAGGACACCCTTCCCAGTATATAAAGCAGCACTTAAGGGCTATCGCCTCCCGGATTCCTATTCCAGTTCTGCCGACTGACTCTCTGGGAGGTAGGTAGTGAGTGGTGAGTACTCAGTAATGAATGCGGACAAAGGCAGTTAGGCCGATGACGACGTTCTTGAGGCTCGTTCTTGTCAACTCAACTGTGACAGAGGATAAGCCCAAGCCAATGCTCCAAATCATCTCTGCACCAGACTGGGACTGGGTATGTCCAGTGGATCGATGAACTGTTAAATGCTGATCTGCTATCTGGCAGCTTTGTGTCTTCGGGCTCCTTAACAGGTGTCAATTGAGCGCTGGATCGTCACCGGTCCGGTAGTCGTCCCAAGATCTACGAAATCATTACTGAACTAGATTCCGTCGCAGTGCACTAGCCATAAATAGTAGGCACACGAACCCGATTCTAATTTTAGGGGCACCACACTGGAGGACGCCTGCCAGGTCCCCTGCCCTCCCTTGGTACATTACGCTATGTACCGTTGTGCCTATTCCAGATTGGACGGAGGATTCCGTCTTGTCGCGAGGCTCGGTGTAACCAAAGCGGAGGTATTGGAGATTTCCGTGTTTCTTCTCAGAGGGGCCCTGTCCACTTAATCGTTTCGCTCCTTGCGCCGGATTTGGCATGTTATCTCCCGCATAGGATAGGACAGCCTCCCTCACTCAGTGCGTGTCCTTATCATGTGTGGCTTTACACATTGTAGCTACCTAGGTAATTAACATAAAGGGCCGGCTATGTACATCCGTACTTCTAGTTCACACCTACGGATGGGTCTTTATTAGTCGGATAGCCTTGGCTTACCGAGATAAATTCAGCGTGGCTCGGGCTTGGTCTCAGCAGTCCCAAAATACTGTTTTATATAAAGTACGAACTGGATAGTGGTCCTAGCCACTACGCAATGAACAGGTCATTGTTCTTGACGTTATCCGTTTGGCTTGTTCGTCAAAAGACAACCTTGGGTTCCGTTAAACGAATCGGCAATTTTATACCTTAACGTTGTGCAAATCGGAATGGAGATCGATAAACAGGGGAGCTACCTACGTGTACTACACACACCGTATTATCCGTAGATTCCGTACAGCAGGTAGATCGGCACGCGTGCGAGTGTCAGGAGATATCGAGTCAAGAACGAAAAGCAAAAACAACCAGTTCCTGAGGCTACCTAAGGTAAGGTATGCGAAGAGGTACGCTTTATCTTATCGCGTTAGGTTCGGTATTTCTCTCGAAACCCCCATCCCTGCCGATGTCTCCTCGATTTAGGTAGTAGAACG